AAATAACTGTCCAATATTTTTTAAGGAACATGTTTCAGACCTTTGGGAGTTAGTTAGACAAAAAAAAAAAAGAAAAAGAAAAAAAAAATATTTGGGGTGTTCGGGTTTCCTGAAGGTAATACCCGGGTATTAGGTTATGGGGCTAGGGTAAGGTTTAAGATTTTTGGCGTTAGAGTTAAAATCAGTGTCCAAAACCTTTTTAGGAACATGTTTAAGACCTTTTGGAGTTGGTTACACCAAAAAAAAATGTAAAATGAAAAAAAAAAATATTTGGGGTGTTCGGGCTTCCTGAAGGTAGGTGTGCGGGTATTAGGTTATGGGGCTAGGGTAAGGTTTAAGGTTTTTGGCGTGAGGGTTAAAATCACTGTCCAAAACCTTTGTAGGACCTCTTTTCCAACCTTTTGGTGTTAGTTAGACCAAAAAAAAACGAAAAATGAAAAAAAAATATTTGGGGTTTTTGGGCTTCCTCAAGGTAATACCCGGGTATTAGGTTATGGGGCTTTGAAAAGGTTTAAGGTTTTTGGCGTGAGGGTTAAAATCACTGTCCAAAACCTTTGTAGGAAGTCTTTTCCAACCTTTTGGAGTTAGTTAGACCAATAAAAAAATGAAAAATGAAAAAAAAATATTTGGGGTGTTCGGGCTTCCTGAAGGTAATACCCGGGTATTAGGTTTTGGGGCTAGGATTAGGTTTAAGGTTTTTGGCGTTAGGGTTAAAATCACTGTCCAATATTTTTTAAGGAACATGTTTCAGACCTTTTGGAGTTAGTTAGACCAAAAAAAAAGAAAAAAGAAAAAAAAATATTTGGGGTTTTCGGGCTTCCTGAAGGTATTAGGTTTTGGGGCTAGGGTAAGGTTTAAGGTTATTGGCGTTAGGGTTAAAATCACTGTCCAAAACCTTTGTTGGAACTCTTTTCCAACCTTTTGGAGTTAGTTAGACCAAAAAAAAAAGAAAAAAAAAACAAATATATTTGGGGTGTTTCGGCTTCCTGAAGGTAATACCCTTCAGGTTTAAGTATTAGGTTATGGGGCTTGGGTAAGGTTTAAGGTTTTTGGCGTGAGGGTTAAAATCAGTGTCCAAAACCTTTTTAGGAACATGTTTCAGACCTTTGGGAGTTAGTTAGACAAAAAAAAAAGAAAAAAGAAAAAAATATATTTGGGGTGTTCGGGCTTCCTGAAGGTAATACCCTTCAGGTTTAAGTATTAGGTTATGGGGCTTGGGTAAGGTTTAAGGTTTTTGGCGTGAGGGTTAAAATCAGTGTCCAAAACCTTTTTAGGAACATGTTTCAGACCTTTTGGAGTTGGTTACACTAAAAAAAATTGTACAATGAAAAAAAAATATTTGGGGTGTTCGGGCTTCCTGAAGGTAATACCAGGGTACAAGGTTATGGGGCTATGGTAAGATTTAAGGTTTTTGGCGTAAGGGTCAAAATCACTGTCCAAAACCTTTGTAGGAACTCTTTTCCAACCTTTTGGAGTTAGTTAGACCAAAAAAATGAAAAATGAAAAAAATATATTTGGGGTTTTCGGGCTTCCTGAAGGTAATACCTGGGTATTAGGTTATGGGGCTATGGTAAGGTTTAAGGTTATTGGCGTTAGGGTTAAAATCAGTGTCCAAAACCTTTATTGGAACTCTTTTCCAACCTTTTGGAGTTAGTTAGACCAAAAAAAAAAAGAAAAATAAAACAAATATATTTGGGGTGTTTAAGCTTCCTGAAGGTAATACCCGGGTATTAGGTTATGGGGCTTGGGTAAGGTTTAAGGTTATTGGCGTGAGGGTTAAAATCACTGTCCGAAACCTTTTTAGGAACATGTTTCAGACCTTTTGGAGTTGGTTACACTAAAAAAAAGTTGTACAATGAAAAAAAAATATTTGGGGTGTTCGGGCTTCCTGAAGGTAATACCCGGGTATAAGGTTATGGGGCTATGGTAAGATTTAAGGTTTTTGGCGTTAGGGTTAAAATCACTGTCCAAAACCTTTGTAGGAACTCTTTTCCAACCTTTTGGAGTTAGTTAGACAAAAAGAAAATGAAAACTGAAAAAAAAAATGTTTGGGGTTTTCGGGCTTCCTGAAGGTAATATCCGGGTATTAGGTCATGGGGCTATGGTAAGGTTTAAGGTTTTTGGCATTAGGGTTAAAATCACTGTCCAAAACCTTTGTAGGAACTCTTTTCCAACCTTTTGGAGTTAGTTAGACCAAAAAAAATGAAAAATGAAAAAAATATATTAGGGGTTTTCGGGCTTCCTGAAGGTAATACCTGGGTATTAGGTTATGGGGCTATGGTAAGGTTTAAGGTTATTGGCGTTAGGGTTAAAATCAGTGTCCAAAACCTTTGTTGGAACTCTTTTCCAACCTTTTGGAGTTAGTTAGACCAAAAAAAAAAGAAAAATAAAACAAATATATTTGGGGTGTTTAGGCTTCCTGAAGGAAATACTCGGGTATTAGGGTATGGGGCTTGGGTAAGGTTTAAGGTTTTTGGCGTGAGGGTTAAAATCACTGTCCGAAACCTTTTTAGGAACATGTTTCAGACCTTTTGGAGTTGGTTACACTAAAAAAAATTTTACAATGAAAAAAAAATATTTGGGGTGTTCGGGCTTCCTGAAGGTAATACCCGGGTATAAGGTTATGGGGCTATGGTAAGATTTAAGGTTTTTGGCGTTAGGGTTAAAATCACTGTCCAAAACCTTTGTAGGAACTCTTTTCCAACCTTTTGGAATTAGTTAGACAAAAAGAAAATGAAAACTGAAAAAAAAATGTTTGGGGTTTTCGGGCTTCCTGAAGGTAATATCCGGGTATTAGGTCATGGGGCTATGGTAAGGTTTAAGGTTTTTGGCATTAGGGTTAAAATCACTGTCCAAAACCTTTGTAGGAACTCTTTTCCAACCTTTTGGAGTTAGTTAGACCAAAAAAAATGAAAAATGAAAAAAAAATATTTAGGGTTTACGGGCTTCCTGAAGGTAATACCCGGGTATTAGGGTATGGGGCTAGGGTAAGGTTTAAGTTTTTTGGCGTTGGGGTTAAAATCACTGTCCAAAACCTTGTTAGGAACATGTTTCAGACCTTTTGGAGTTGGTTTCACCAAAAAAAAATGAAAGATGAAAAAAAAATATTTGGGGTGTTCAGGCTTCCTGAAGTTAATACCCGGGTATTAGGTTATGGGGCTTGGGTAAGGTTTAAGGTTTTTGGCGTGAGGGTTAAAATCACTGTCCGAAACCTTTTTAGGAACATGTTTCAGACCTTTTGGAGTTGGTTACACTAAAAAAAATTGTACAATGAAAAAAAATATTTGGGGTGTTCGGGCTTCCTGAAGGTAATACCCGGGTATAAGGTTATGGGGCTTGGGTAAGGTTTAAGGTTTTTGGCGTGAGGGTTAAAATCACTGTCCGAAACCTTTTTAGGAACATGTTTCAGACCTTTTGGAGTTGGTTACACTAAAAAAAATTGTACAATGAAAAAAAAATATTTGGGGTGTTCGGGCTTCCTGAAGGTAATACCCGGGTATTAGGTCATGGGGCTATGGTAAGGTTTAAGGTATTTTGGCATTAGGGTTAAAATCACTGTCCAAAACCTTTGTAGGAACTCTTTTCCAACCTTTTGGAGTTAGTTAGACCAAAAAAAATGAAAAATGAAAAAAATATATTTGGGGTTTTCGGGCTTCCTGAAGGTAATACCTGGGTATTAGGTTATGGGGCTATGGTAAGGTTTAAGGTTTTTGGCGTTAGGGTTAAAATCACTGTCCAAAAACTTTGTAGGAACTCTTTTCCAACCTTTTGGAGTTAGTTAGACAAAAAGAAAATGAAAACTGAAAAAAAAATGTTTGGGGTGTTCGGGCTTCCTGAAGGTAATACCCGGGTATTAGGTCATGGGGCTATGGTAAGGTTTAAGGTTTTTTGGCATTAGGGTTAAAATCACTGTCCAAAACCTTTGTAGGAACTCTTTTCCAACCTTTTGGAGTTAGTTAGACCAAAAAAAATGAAAAATGAAAAAAATATATTTGGGGTTTTCGGGCTTCCTGAAGGTAATACCTGGGTATTAGGTTATGGGGCTATGGTAAGGTTTAAGGTTTTTGGCGTTAGGGTTAAAATCACACTCCAAAACCTATGTAGGAACTCTTTTCCAACCTTTTGGTGTTAGTTAGACTTAAAAAAAAAATGAAAAATGAAAAAGAATATTTGGGGTGTTCGGGCTTCCTGAAGGTATTATTAGGTTATTAGGTTATGGGGCTAGGGTAAGGTTTAAGTTTTTTGGCGTAAGGGTTAAAATCAGTGTCCAAAACCTTTTTAGGAACTCTTTTCCAACCTTTTGGAGTTAGTTAGACAAAAAAAGAGAAAAAATATATATATATATATTTGGGGTGTTTGGGCTTCCTGAAGGTATTATTAGGTTATTAGGTTATGGGGCTAGGGTAAGGTTTAAGTTTTTTGGCGTAAGGGTTAAAATCAGTGTCCAAAACCTTTTTAGGAACATGTTTCAGACCTTTTGGAGTTATTTAGATAAAAAAAAATTAAAAATGAAAAAAAATATTTGGGGTGTTCGGGCTTCCTGAAGGTAATACCTGGGTATTAGGTTATGGGGCTATGGTAAGGTTTAAGGTTTTTGGCGTTAGGGTTAAATATCCAATATTAAGTTTAAAAATTGCCACAAACTCAAGTTCAAACACGAAACAAACTCAATTTAAAAAACACCAAAAACTCAAGTTCAACAAATACCCAATTCTTAAATTTAACAATTTTCACAACCTCAAGTTAAAAAAAACCACAAACATAAGTTAAAACAAGACACAAACTAAAGTTCAACAAAACAAAAAACTCAAGTTCAACCAACACCTGATATTCAAGTTTGAAAATTTTCACAGCCTCAAGTTCAAACACGACACAAACTCAAGTTCAACCAACACCCAAATCTCAAGTTTAACAAATTCTACAACCTAAAGTTCAAAAACACCACAAACCCAAGTTCAACAACACCACAAACTCAAGTTCAAACACGACACGAACTCAAGTTCAAACACGACACAAACTCAAGTTCAACAAACACACTAACTGAAGTTCAACCAACACCTGATTCTCAAGTTTAACAATTTCCAAAACCTCAAGTTCAAAAACAACAGAAACAGTTCAAAAAAACCTCAACCTCAAGTTCAAAAACGACACAAACTCAAGTATAAAAACACATACTCAAGTTAAAAAAATAACACGAACTCAAGTTCAACCAACACCCAAATCTCAAGTTTAACCAACACCCAAATCTCAAGTTTAACAATTGCCACAACCTCAAGTTCAACAAACACACAAACTCAAATTCAAACACACCACAAACTCAAGTTAAAAACACGACACAAACTCAAGTTAAAAAAAACCATAAACTCAAGTTCAACCAATACCCAATTCTCAAGTTTAACAATTTCCACAACTTCAAGTTCAAAAACAACACAGACTCAAGTTCAAAAAAACCACAAACTCAAGTTCAAACACGACACAACCTCAAGTTCAACAAAAACCACAAACTCAAGTTCAACCAACACATGATTCTCACGTTTAAAAATTTTCAGAACCTCAAGTTCAAAAAACACACAAATTCAAGTTAAACAAATAACAGGAATGCAAGTTCTGAAACGACACAAACTCAAGTTCTGAAACGACACAAACTCAAGTTCAACCAACACCCAAATCTCAAGTTTAACAATTGCCACAACCTCAAGTTCAACAAACACACAAACTCAAATTCAAACACACAACAAACTCAAGTTCAAACATGACACAAACTCAAGTTCAAAAACTCAAGTTCAGCCAATACCCAATTCTCAAGTTTAACAATTTCCAAAACCTCAAGTTCAAAAGCAACACAGACTCAAGTTCAAAAACACCACAAACTCAAGTTCAAACACGACACAAGCTCAAGTTCAACAAACCCCTCAAACTCAAGTTCAAACACGACACATGCTCAAGTTCAACAAATCCCACAAACTCAAGTTCAACAACTGCCACCAAGTAAAGTTCACTAAAAACCATAAACTCAAGTTCAACAATTGACAGAAAACTTAAGTTCAAAAAACACACAAAATCTAGTTCAAAAACACCACAAACTCAAGTTCAAACATGACAAAGTCAAGTTCAACCAACACTCAAATCTCAAATTAAACAATATCCAAAACCGCAAGTTCAAAAACAACAGAAACTCAAGTTCAAACACGCCACAAACTCAAGTTCAACAAATGTAAAAGTTTTAAGTTCAACCAAAACCCAAATCTCAAGTTTAACAATTTCAACAACCTCAAGTTCAAAAACAACAGAAACTCAAGTTCAAACACGAGACAAACTCAAGTTCAACAAACACACAATCCTCAAGTTCAACAATTGCCACAACCTAAAGTTCAAAAACACCCCCAACTCAAGTTCAAACAAGACACAAACTCAAGTACAACAAACGCCACAAACTCAAGTACAACAAACGCTACAAACTAAAGTTCAGTGAAAAATACAGACTCAAGTTCAACAATTGCCACAAACTCAAGTTCAACAAATGACCTAAACTCACATTTAACAATTGCCAAAAACTCAAGTTCAACAAACTCAAGTTTAAAAATTTTCAGAACCTCAAGTTCAAAAAACACACAAATTCAAGTTAAACAAATAACAGGAATGCAAGTTCTGAAACGACACAAACTCAAGTTCTGAAACGACACAAACTCAAGTTCAACCAACACCCAAATCTCAAGTTTAACAATTGCCACAACCTCAAGTTCAACAAACACACAAACTCAAGTTCAAAAACACCACAAACTCAAGTTCTTAACAACACAAACTCAAGTTCAAAAAAAGTTCACACCCAGTTCAAGTTCAAAAACACCCCAAACTGAAGTTCAAACATGAAACAAAGTCAAGTTCAACCAAATCCCAAATCTCAAGTTCAACAATTTCCACAACTCAAGTTCAACAAACCCCTCAAACTCAAGTTCAAACACGACACATGCTCAAGTTCAACAAATCCACAAACTCAAGTTCAACAACTGCCACCAAGTAAAGTTCACTAAAACCATAAACTCAAGTTCAACAATTGACAGAAAACTTAAGTTCAAAAAACACACAAAATCTAGTTCAAAAACACCACAAACTCAAGTTCAAACATGACAAAGTCAAGTTCAACCAACACTCAAATCTCAAATTAAACAATATCCAAAACCGCAAGTTCAAAAACAACAGAAACTCAAGTTCAAACACGCCACAAACTCAAGTTCAACAAATGTAAAAGTTTTAAGTTCAACCAAAACCCAAATCTCAAGTTTAACAATTTCAACAACCTCAAGTTCAAAAACAACAGAAACTCAAGTTCAAACACGAGACAAACTCAAGTTCAACAAACACACAATCCTCAAGTTCAACAATTGCCACAACCTAAAGTTCAAAAACACCCCCAACTCAAGTTCAAACAAGACACAAACTCAAGTACAACAAAAGCCACAAACTCAAGTACAACAAACGCTACAAACTAAAGTTCAGTGAAAAATACAGACTCAAGTTCAACAATTGCCACAAACTCAAGTTCAACAAATGACCTAAACTCACATTTAACAATTGCCAAAAACTCAAGTTCAACAAACTCAAGTTTAAAAATTGCCACAAACTCAAGTTAAAAAATGCTGAAACTGAAGTTCAACGAACACCACAAACTCAAGATCAACAAATTTCAAAGTTTGAAGTTCAACAACACCCAAATATCAAGTTTAACAATTGCCACAACCTCAAGTTCAACAAACACACAAACTCAAGTTCAAAAACACCACAAACTCAAGTTCTTAACAACACAAACTCAAGTTCAAAAAACACACAAGTTCAAGTTCAAAAACACCCCAAACTGAAGTTCAAACATGAAACAAAGTCAAGTTCAACCAAATCCCAAATCTCAAGTTCAACAATTTCCACAACTTCAAGTTCAAAAACAACAGAAACTCAAGTTAAAACACGCCACAAACTCAAGTTCAACAAAGACACAAACTCAAGTTCAAAAACACCACAAACCCAAGTTCAACCAACACCCAAATCTCAAGTTTAACAATTGCCACAAAACTAAGTTAAAAAACCACACAAACTCAAGTTCAAAAACACCACAAACTCAAGTTCAAACATGACACAAACTCAAGTTCAACGAACACCCAAATCTCAAGTTCAACAATTGCCACAACCTCAAGTTCAAAAACAACAGAAACTCAAGTTAAAACACGCCACAAACTCAAGTTCAACAAAGACACAAACTCAAGTTCAAAAACACCACAAACCCAAGTTCAACCAACACCCAAATCTCAAGTTTAACAATTGCCACAAAACTAAGTTAAAAAACCACACATACTCAAGTTCAAAAACACCACAAACTCAAGTTCAAACATGACACAAACTCAAGTTCAACCAACACCCAAATCTCAAGTTTAACAATTGCCACAACCTCAGGTTCAAAAACAACAGAAACTCAAGTTCAAACACGAGACAAACTGAAGTTCAACAAACACACAAACTCAAGTTCAATCAATACCAATTCTCAAGTTAACAATTTCCACAACCTCAAGTTCAACAAACTCAAGTTCAAAAATTGCAAAAAAATCAAGTTCAAATATGACACAAACTCAAGTTCAACCAACACCCAAATCTCAAGTTTAACATTTGCCAAAACCTCAAGTTCAAAAACAACACAAACTCAAGTTCAAACACGCCACAAACTCAAGTTCAACAAACACACAAACTCAAGTTCAAAAACACCACAAATTCAAGTTCAAACATGTCACAAACTCAAGTTCAACAAACACAGAAACTCAAGTCAACCAATACCCAAATATGAAGCTTAGCGTTAAGGGGTGTTCAGACCAAACGCGACTTCGGTGACGTCGGCGATGGCTCCCAATGCAAGTCTATGGACAGCCGCGACCTGACGCGACTTGGCGACTGCTGGCTACCTGCGTCGCGTTGCCGAGGTTGCGTTGCCGAGGTCGCAGGACGCCAAGTCTCGTCGCTCCCAAAGTTCAAATATTTGAACTGGGCTGCGGGATGTATATATGAGGGAGAAAAGGAGGGAGATGGAAGGTAGGAGAAGCGGGTCAGCAGCGACCAGCCGTGTCCTGCGACCGCAGCTTTGGACCTAGTGTGAACACACCAGAGAACCACGCGACGTGACGCGACCTGGTCGCGGCTGCAATTACACCTAATCCGCGGAGCCAAATCCTTGCAGGTACTGACATTAGTCTTGCTGTGCTCAGACTACAATGATAGACGCATTGTGGATTGCGGAGATGAGCCTGTGATGCTTAAATATCGTGATGCCCGGCTGTTTAAATCTCCGACCTTGGCTGAATTCATAGCTTTCGGCGTATTTGTAGATGTCATATGTAAAGTGTTTTCAGCACGCAGAACTGAACTGGACACATATCTCGCCATTATTTCTGATTCAGCCATGACATAGGGAGGATCACTATTCTAGGAACATTACAAATCATTTTCAGCAAAGCTGCTAAGTACATTCAAAGATTCAGCCAAAGACTTGATCAGTCCGTATTCGACCTGGCTCTAATCAGTTAACAATTCACCGAGCATCAAGCTTTTTCCTGCTTAATCTGCGGGTCTTTCTCTCACCTGGAGGTGAAAGTAAGCCATTACGCAGCAGTACGCCATTTCGGGAAGACATAATCAGCTGTTTAAAGTTTTCACCCCTGTCATGTATCTAGGCTTAGTCTGTTGCTGCACATCAGTCTGCACTCTGCGTTATAACCGAAGTAATCCAATAGGACCATGCCGCTTGAGAGTGAGTGGTATTTGCTTACAAATAAACTCCAAGTGGGAGCACCAGTGCGCACTTTTGATTGGACGCTGGTTGCCTAGGTGCAGGGGCCCACCTTCCGCCTTTTGCGGAAGGAGGGAACTTTTAAAGAGTCAGCTGCTTCAATCTTAATGCAGAAATAAGACAAAATGCAGAGGAAAATAATAATAATAATAATAATAATAATAATAATAATAATAATTTTATGTTTAAGAGAGAGATACAGCAGATGATGATACTGTGGCATCGGAGTCAGCAACTCGCTTAACTTGGGTGTGCTCCTCTTGTACAAAGTCTACGGGTACAGTACCTGGAGGAACCTTATCCTACCTTGTCCACCCCTGCCCACACCTCTAATCGGTGCCCTAAAACTGTGGCTACAGGCCAACCACCCAAGCCTCTCTAAGCCTACTACTCGGAGAAGCCAAGTTACTCCAGGGACGGGCATCTGAAATCAGCATGCCCATGACGCACCCACCTGGTAAAACGGGAAAGAACAAAGCTGTCTACTCTGTCAAATGTCCTTGAGCCGGGGAAGGCACTGGCAAAGCATCCCAACGGCTGTTCGTGAAGCCATTCATTCAGACTGTGTTAGTCTGAGTGCAGCCTTGCAATCCTTAGTGCTCTCTGTTGACAGCTACTTGAGAGCTGGTTAAGCAAAATCAGCATTAAAGTTTATACGATTCTGCATGGTCTCACTTTACCTCTTTTGTACCACCTTCTCTGTAGCCCCAACGCCCTAAATATATCCATTGTATGTGCTTTAATAGTCCACAGTTTTGAATCTCGCACTTTTTTTCTTCTTCTAATATTTCCAAAACTAATTCTGTCTTTGTTCTTTATCCTCCATGTCCCGCTGCCTGAGAGGCCGGCTACTGGCCAGCCACTAAGAGTCTCTCTTTGCCACTGAAGAAGGGAAACCTATATCCAGATTGCAGCTTTCTGCTCACCTCTGCCTGCTCTGCCAATCCTGTTGGCTCCTACCTGAGTACAACTCTACGCATTCACAACGCATAGGCACAGCTACAACTGCATCTTCCATCGTCCCCGTCTCGACGCTCAAGGCTACGGGTCAATGGTCCCGATCAGCCTTTGAATGATACCTCAGGCCCAAGGCTAATATATTATTATTATTAGAATATTCCTATGCTCGATTAGCTACAAAAAAAAAAAAAATGCTGCTGCTCCTTAATTCTTTCCCATATCTATTGCATTACGCATATTCCCAACTATAAATTTGTGTATGGATTAAATTAATCCTGATCCATGATCATGTTGTGAGGGTAACCAATACTATGCAAGCTTTGTAGGTGGGTAGGTTGCTTCATAGTTTCTCGCTGCTGGCTGCCCTCCCTCCCCCGTAGGTGCCTTCATGTAGCTCATGAAAGCTGGGGAGGGTTGCCAGTATGGCTGCTGCTTTTTCTGCCTTGGCTTTTCATATATGCACATGAAAGGGAGGGGAGGGCATTCCCTCTCATTGCCTTGGGATTCTATGCAAGCACATGAGAGAGCAGGGAACTCTCAGAACACAGCCATACCGACAATGTTAAAAAATATTTTGCTAGTAATAAATAATTGATTCTAACTAAAGTAGTCCTGACTGAAATTAAGCATGGCTGAAGTTCAGGCAGGACACAAGGTACAGTCAAGCTAAAGGTTAAAGCCAGCTGATCTTAAGCTAGCCCTCAGTCAGATGACAGCTTAGCTGATCGCCCTCCACACATCCTTCAGATCGCTACACGGCTCATTCCTTTCACATAGGTGCAGCTACAACCGCAGCTATGACGGCTCCTGTGTCGACCCTCAAAGCCATGGGCCAATAGTCGTCAGCTGCGTACAAATGCTATCTGCGCCCCGAGGCTCGGGACATTCTCGAAGCCCAAAAACTATGAGTACCCATAAATTTGGCACATAGATGCTAATTAAATGAAATATATAAACAACCTGCAGATAAATATCCATGCTTGGGCAACGGGTCTCTCTAACCTGTCTTTCTTTCAGCAGCGCTCACCTCCCCTGCTAGCTCCTAGACTGCACGGCATGGTTGTTTTGGGGGGGTTCTGTTCATTGCTGCTCTACCCCTGCCTCCTCCGCCTTCATGATGGCACGTGGAGGGCGGGAAGGTGCTCTTCCTGCCGCTGGCCTTTCACCCCTGCCAACGTGGAGAACGGGGGCCCTGAACAGAACCTCGCGTGCGCTCCCTGCTATCGCCTTTCATGATGGCTCGTGAAAGGCAGGAAGGGGCTCTTCCTGCCTCTGGCTTCCACACAAGCGCGTGGAAGGGCAGGGACCCGGAACAGAATCATGCCGCCAAATCTAACTTGCACAATAAAGCTAAAAATTTGGACAAAGTGTACCTGACTGAAATGAAGCATAGCGTTAGTTCTGTCAGGACACAACGTCAAGCGCTGATCCACAGCCAATGGCTAGTAGCCACCTCAACCAGATGATAATCAGCTGATTCACACCTAGATCCTATTGGTTCTTTGCCTATAGAGTGCCTTATTTAAAACTGCACTAACCCAGCCTCTTCCTCTGCTCTGACAGCAAACCAGCAACACACTGCCACACCAGCTCCACCCTCGTGCCAGCTAATTGCTCCACTGTCCTTGAAGCGCTCCTGTTCCAGGGGGGGTTTGTTCATTGCTGCTCTACCCCGCCACCTCCGCCTTCATGATGGCTCGAGGAGGGCGAGTTTAACAATTTCCACAACCTCAAGTTCAAAAAGAACACAAACTCAAGTTCAAACACGCCACAAACTCAAGTTAAACAAACACACAAACTCAAGTTCAAAAACACCACAAACTCAAGTTCAACCAACACCCAAATCTAAAGTTTAACAATTGCCGAAGCCTCAAGGAAGAAAAACAACAAAAATTCAGGTTAAAACATGCCACAAACTCAAGCTCAACACCGCCACAAACTCAAGTTAAAAAACACCACAAACCCAAGTTCAAACACGCCACGAACTCAAGTTCAACCAAATCCCAAATCTCAAGTTTGACAATTGCCACAACCTCAAGTTCAAAAACAACAGAAACTCAAGTCAAAACACGCCACAAACTCAAGTTAAACAAACACACAAACTCAAGTTCAAAAACACCACAAACTCAAGTTCAACCAACACCCAAATCTCAAGTTTAACAATTGCCGCATACTTAAATTCAAAAAACACACAAAAATTCAAACTAAAGTTCAGGGAAAAATACAGACTCAAGTTCAACAATTGCCACAAACTCAAGTTCAACAAACACCACAATCTTAAGTTCAAAAAATGCCAAAATTTCAAATTCAACAAATGACCTAAACTCACATTTAACAATTGCCAAAAACTCAAGTTCAACAAACTCAAGTTCAAAAATTGCAACAACCTTAAGTTCAAAAAACACACAAATTCAAGTTCAAAAACACCACAAACTCAAGTTAAAAAAAACACAAAAATTCAAGTTCAAAAACACCACAAACTCAAGTTAAATGAACACCACAAAGTCAAGTTCAACAAATGTCAAAGTTTTAAGTTCAACCAACACCCAAATCTAAAGATTAACAATTGCCAAAACCTCAAGTTAAAAAACAACACAAACTCAAGTTCAAACACGCGACAAACTCAAGTTTAACAATTGCCACCAAATAAAGTTCACTAAAAACCAAAGACTCAAGTTCAAAACTCAAGTTCAAAAATTGCAACAAACTCAAGTTCAAACACAACACTCAAGTTCAAACACGACACAAACTCAAGTTCAAACACGACACAAACTCAAGTTCAAACACGACACAAACTCAAGTTCAAACACGACACAAACTCAAGTTCAACAAACACACGAACTCAAGTTCAACAATTGCCACCAACTAATGTTCAGAGAAAAATACAGACTCAATGTTCAACAATTGCCACAAACTCAAGTTCAACAAACACCACAAGCTTAAGTTCAAAAAATGCCAAAATTTAAAATTCAACAAATAACCTATATTAACATTAAAGAATTGCCAAAAACTTTAGTTCAACAAACTCAGGTTCAAAAAACACACAAATTCAAGTTCAAAAACACCACAAACTCAAGTTCAAAAATGCCGAAACTTAATTTCAACCAACACCCAAATCTCAAGTTTAACAAATTGCCACAACCTCATGTTCAAAAACAACAGAAACTCAAATTCAAAAACACCAAAAACTCAAGTTAAAAAAAACCCACACAAATTCAAGATCACAAAACAGCAAAATCTCAAGTTCAAACACGACACAAACTCAGGTTCAACAAACACACAAACTCAAGTTTAACCAATACCCAATTCTCACGTTTAACAATTTCCACAACCTCAAGTTCAAACACGACACAAACTCAAGTTCAAACACGCGACAAACTCAAGTTTAACAATTGCCACCAAATAAAGTTCACTAAAAACCAAAGACTCAAATTCAAAACTCAAGTTCAAAAATTGCAACAAACTCAAGTTCAAACACAACACTCAAGTTCAAACACGACACAAACTCAAGTTCAAACACGACACAAACTCAAGTTCAACAAACACACGAACTCAAGTTCAACAATTGCCACCAACTAATGTTCAGAGAAAAATACAGACTCAATGTTAACAATTGCCACAAACTCAAGTTCAACAAACACCACAAGCTTAAGTTCAAAAAATGCCAAAATTTAAAATTCAACAAATAACCTATATTAACATTAAAGAATTGCCAAAAACTTTAGTTCAACAAACTCAGGTTCAAAAAACACACAAATTCAAGTTCAAAAACACCACAAACTCAAGTTCAAAAATGCCGAAACTTAATTTCAACCAACACCCAAATCTCAAGTTTAACAAATTGCCACAACCTCATGTTCAAAAACAACAGAATCTCAAATTCAAAAACACCAAAAACTCAAGTTAAAAAAAACCCACACAAATTCAAGATCACAAAACAGCAAAATCTCAAGTTCAAACACGACACAAACTCAGGTTCAACAAACACACAAACTCAAGTTTAACCAATACCCAATTCTCACGTTTAACAATTTCCACAACCTCAAGTTCAAACACGACACAAACTCAAGTTCAAACACGACACAAACTCAAGTTCAAACACGACACAAACTCAAGTTCAAACAACACCCAAATATCAAGTTTAACATCTGCCAAAACCTCAAGTTCAAAAACACCACAAACTGAAGTTCCAAACGACAAAAACTTAAGTTCAACAAACGCCAAAAACTCAGGTTCAAAAACACCACAAACTCAAGTTCTAAATGACAAAAACTCAAGTTCAACAAACACACGAACTCAAGTTCAACCAATGCCCACTTCGCAAGTTTAACAATTTCCACAAACTCAAGTTAGAAAAACACACAGACTCAAGTTAAAAAACAACCAGAAAATCTAGTTCAAACACTTCACAAACTCAAGTTCAAAAACACCACAAACTCAAGTTCAACCAACACCTAAGTCACAAGTTTAACAATTGCCACAAACTTCAGTTCAAAAAACACAAAAGCTCAAGATCAAAAACACCACAAACTCAAGTTCAAACACGATTCACAAACTCAAGTTCAACCAAATCCCAAATCTCAAGTTTAACAATTTCCACAACCTCAAGTTCAAAACCAACAGAAACTCAAGTTCAAACACGCCACAAACTCAAGTACAGAAAAACACCACAAACTCAAGTTCAACAATTGCCACCAAGTAAAGTTCAGAGAAAAATACAGACTCAAGGTTAACAATTGCCACATACTCAAGTTCATCAAACACCACAAGCTTAAGTTCAAAAAATGACAAAATTTCAAATTCAACAAATGACCTATATTCACATTAAACAATTGCCAAAAACTCAAGTTCAACGAACTCAGTTTAAAAAAGTGCCACAAAATGAAGTTCAAAAACACCACAAACTCAAATTCAAAAAACACACAAACTCAAGTTCAAAAACACCACAAACTCAATTTCAAACACGATACAAACTCAAGTTCAACAAACACCACAAACTCAAGTTCAACAAATGTCACAGTTTCAAGTTCAACCAACACCCGATTCTGAGGTTTAACAATTTCCACAACCTCAAGTTCAAAAAACACCACAAACTCAAGTTCAAACACGCCACAAACTCAAGTTCAACAAACGCCACAAACTCAACTTCAAAAACACCACACAAACTGAAGTTCTAAAACGACACAAACTCAAGTTCAACCAACACCCGATTCTCAAGTTTAACAATTGCCACAACCTCAAGTTGAAAAAAACACAAACTCAAGTTCAAACACTTCACAAACTCAAGTTCAACAAACGCCACAAACTCAAGTTCAACAATTGCCACCAACTAAAGTTCACTAAAAACCAAAGACTCAAGTTCAACAATTCCCAAAAAATCAAGCGAAACAAACTCAAGTTCATAAGTTGTCACAAACTTCAAACACGACACAAACTCAAGTTCAAAAACACCACAAACTCAAGTTCAAAAAGACACAAACTCAAGTTCAACAAACAAAACTAACTATTTAGAGTAATTTTGAGGTGTTTGAGAGGTTTTTTGTAGACTTACCCTAGTGGTCCTATGTTGTTGTTGATGTGAGGCGTTTCTTTTCCAGTAGTCTAAAATCTGTTGGAGGGGGGAAAAGGTTCCAGCTGTCCAGCCGCGGCGGCAGCGGTGTGTCTGAAGTCCGGGGTCCTCGGCGGGGGAAAGAAGATAGGCGCTCCGCGGCAAGGTTTGCTGGGACTCGGTGCCGTCGGCGGGTCGAAGCTCGGTGGTGGGCGGCTTGGAGTGATGGAGGTGCGGCGTCTTCTTTCAGGTGGCGGCGCGGCGTCTTCCTCGAGGCGGTGGTCGGTCTTCTTGGTCCAGTGGTCAGTGCTTTGTCTCAATTACAGGAACAGGAATTGCTCTTTAGTGCACAGCACTTAAATGTGCTTTTGACAGGAGAAGACATCCCCAGAGTTGGGCTCGAGTCATGGTTCGTGCTGTTCCTCTCAGACATGGTTGTGTTCTCTTCTCGATGTTTGTATTCCAGAATGGATGTCTCTTGGTTGTATTTTAAACTTTCAAGTTGTTTTAAGTTAATTTTAATGTAGTTTATTTATTTTAAATTTAGTTTTGCTACATTAAATTTGTATGCAATCGTAAGGGATTGTGGGTATTTTAGTTCTGAGGGATGAGAGCCTAAGGAATCAATCTTCCTGTTACAGCAAAGGATTGTGGGTAAAACCGTGAGTGAGTGAGGTACTTCCTTTCTGCCATGAGAGCCTTGGGAATCAATCTCCCTGTTGCAGCAAAGGATTGTGGGTAAAACCGTGAGTGAGGGAGGTACATTTTTCCTGGCATGAGAACCTCAGGAGTCAGTCCTTCCTAAGAAAAAAGAGGGGAGGGGGGAAGACAAACAAAAGCACAGGAACCCTAAAATGAAATAAAATAAAATAAAATGAAATAATATAAAACAATGAAAAAATAAAAAATAAAAGAAGAACAAAAGTGGATTGCAAAAGGGAAAGGAGAAGAAAAAAGGAAAAAAAGAAGTGTCAAGAGCAAATAGCAAAAAACGGAAGTGAGCTTAAAAACAGAGAACAGTTCCCTAAAAGACAGACAGAAATGTAAATTTGATCAATGTCCTAAGGGAAAATCTGCACGTGTATGTGTGTTCTTTTTTACTAGCTTAGTCTGGTGTCACTGATGGTCAGTTATCAATAAGTATTTATTATTTAAATTTTTGATGAAGTTGTTTGTAGTGGGGTTAGCTGGCTAATTTTAGAGTGTTAAAAAAGATGTTAGAGGGGGAGGATTTAGGTGGCACGGCGGTTCCCCTTCAGGTCTCTCTTAATCTTCAATATAGGTGACCCAACAGGGGTTACCCCCGGCCGGGGTAGGCCGAGGCTGAAGATCACCTATTTGTCATCTGTGAAGGTGAAAATAAAGGGGCAGGGGAGGGAATAAGAAAGAGGGGGGTGTTAGAGAGAGGGGGAGAGATGAGGGAGAGAGATGAGGGAGAGAGAGAGAGACAGAGAGGGGGGGGGGGTGAGAGAGAGAGAGAGAGAGAGAGAGGGGAAGAGGGAGAGGGGGGTTTAAGGGAGAGGTGGAGATGGTGGAAAATAAAGATTGGTGAGGGGGATTTGGTGGCGGATGAAACATCCCATAGCTCCCCAGCTCTCACCATCCATGTGAGGAGAGTGAGCAAGGGACATAGTCACCCGACCCGACTAGGTCTAGGCTCTGCTCTCCTCACGGTCCTCACAAGATACAAAGAGATATGTAAACGTGGAAGTGAGAGTTCTCTAGGCAGAGTTTTGGGTTTGGTTTGAGCTGAGTTGGTCAGTTGATTATTGATTACTATTTTAAGTTCTAAAAGTGGATAGAGTCAAAAAGTCACAGAGGATTGTGGTGGGAGCAGGTGGTCCATCTGGCACCATTCTGCTCATGCAGGGATTCGAGTGATAGAAAGAGAATAGATCTTGCCACCGTGACTCGCCATTGAGACTCTCCTCACCTGCTGGTTTTCATCCTCTGATAGGAGAGAGAGGTACAGATCAGGAGAGAGGGAGAAAAGGAGGGAGGCAGGGTGGGGTCAGGAGTTAATTTGTCTTGAAAAGTATTTATCTTTTCGTCATTGCTGTTAGGGTTTAGATGTTTTTTGTTTAGTTTTCTGAGGAATGTAGTGTTAGTATAGGTTCCAAGGTGGAGGATTCTTTGGAATTCACTCTCACCCTTGAAACTGGAAGATCTTAGACTCTATAAAGGGGGGGGGGGGGGTTGTGTGCACAGAAGGAGCATGGGCTCAGACTATTCTCGGAATGATATTGTGACAAGTCTGTCCGAAGGTAAGTGGCTGGTTAGGTGTGGGAAAGAGATAGAGTGATAGCCCCCGCTTTCGTCAGTTGACTTGGCGGTTTGAGGTAGGCTGATCAAGGACTTGCACTGGCCGGCGCATGTCGATCTGTCACATGTTCCAGTCGAGTCTCCGAGCTCAATCTGTGTGTAAAAATTATGTGTTGGTAGAAAGTTTAATGACTCAGCTCAGTTGGTATGCTATGCTGTCTATCTTTTAGACTATGTGTTTGTTGAGCAATTTTATGTATATATTATGTTACAGGGCTAGGAAAAGGTTAAAGGTTTTTGACGTTAGGGTTAAAATCACTGTCCAAAACCTTTGTAGGAACTCTTTTCCAACCTTTTGGAGGGAGCTAGACCAGAAAAAAAAGAAAAAAGAAAAAAAAAAATTGGGGTGTTCGGGCTTCCTGAAGGTAATACCCGGTATTAGGTTTTGGGGCTAGGGTAACTTTTAAGGTTTTTGGCGTGAGGGTTAAAATCACTGTCCAAAACCTTTGTAGGAACTCTTTACCATCCTTTTGGAGTTAGTTAGACCAAAAAAAAAAACGAAAAATGAAAAAAAAAATATTTGGGGTTTTCAGGCTTCCTGAAGGTAATAACCGGGTATTAGGTTATGGGGCTAGGGTAAGGTTTAAGGTTTTTGGCGCGAGGGTTAAAATCACTGTCCAAAACCTTTTTAGGAACATGTTTCAGACCTTTTGGAGATGGTTACACCAAAAAAAATGTAAAATGAAAAAAAAAATATTTGGGGTGTTTGGGCTTCCTGAAGGTAATACCCGGGTATTAGGTTATGGGGCTAGGGTAAGGTTTAAGGTTTTTGGCGTGAGGGTTAAAATCACTGTCCAAAACCTTTGTAGGAAGTCTTTTCCAACCTTTTGGAGTTAGTTAGACCAATAAAATATGAAAAATGAAAAAAAAAATATTTGGGGTGTTCGGGCTTCCTGAAGGTAATACCCGGGTATTAGGTTTTGGGGCTAGGATTAGGTTTAAGGTTTTTGGCGTTAGGGTTAAAATCACTGTCCAATATTTTTAAGGAACATGTTTCAGACCTTTTGGAGTTAGTTAGACCAAAAAAAAGAAAAAAGAAAAAAAATATTTGGGGTTTTCGGGCTTCCTGAAGGTATTAGGTTTTGGGGCTAGGGTAAGGTTTAAGGTTTTTGGCGTTAGGGTTAAACTCACTGTCCAAAACCTTTTAAGGAACAAGATTCAGACCTTTTGGAGTTGGTTACACCAAAAAAAATGTAAAATGAAATAAAATATATTTTGGGTGTTCGGGCTTCCTGAAGGTAATACCCTTCAGGTTTAAGTATTAGGTTATGGGGCTAGGATTAGGTTTAATGTTTTTGGCGTTAGGGTTAAAATCACTGTCCAATATATTTAAGGAACATGTTTCAGACCTTTTGGAGCTAGTTTGACCAAAAAAAAAGAAAAAGAAAAAATATATATTTGGGGTGTTCGGGCTTCCTGAAGGTAATACCGGGGTATTAGGTTATGGGGCTAGGGTAAGGTTTAAAGTTTTTGGCGTGAGGGTTAAAATCACTGTCCAAAACCTTTGTAGGAAGTCTTTTCCAACCTTTTGGAGTTAGTTAGACAAAAAAAAAAAGATAAATGAAAAAAAATATTTGGGGTGTTCGGGCTTCCTGAAGGTAATACCCGGGTATTAGGTTATGGGGCTAGGGTAAGGTTTAAGGTTTTTGGCGTTAGAGTTAAAATCAGTGTCCAAAACCTTTTTAGGAACATGTTTAAGACCTTTTGGAGTTGGTTACACCAAAAAAAATGTAAAATGAAAAAAAAAATATTTGGGGTGTTCGGGCTTCCTGAAGGTAATACCCGGGTATTCGGTTTTGGGGCTAGGGTAAGGTTTAAGGTTTTTGGTGTTAGGGTTAAAATCACTGTCCAAAACCTTTGTAGGAACTCTTTTCCAACCTTTTGGAGTTAGTTAGACCAAAAAAAAAAGAAAAAAGAAAAAAATATATTTGGGGTCTTCGGGCTTCCTGAAGGAAATACCCAGGTATTAGGTTATGGGGCTAGGGTAAGGTTTTAGGTTTTTGGCGTTAGGGTTAAAATCAATGTCCAAAACCTTTTTAGGAACATGTTTCAGACCTTTTGGAGTTGGTTACACCAAAAAAAAATGTAAAATGAAAAAAAAATATTTGGGGTGTTCAAGCTTCCTGAAGGTAATACCCGGGAATTAGGTTATGGGGCTATAGTAAGGTTTAAGGTTTTTGGCGTTAGGGTTAAAATCACTGTCCAAAACCTTTGTAGGAACTATTTTCCAACCTTTTGGAGTTAGTTAGACCAAATGTTTCGGGCCGCCGCCTTAGTGTGGCGAGTCTTGGGTCTTCCTCACTGTGTGTGTGTGTGTGTGTGTGTGTGTGTGTGGTGTGTGAGAGTGCCTGTGTGTGCATGCTGCCTGCAGTTCACAGGTTGCCGTGGCTGCGGATCAATCAAGTGCCTGATCACCTCCACCTGGAAACTGCAAACACTGACTGGCTGAGGGCTTCTGCCACTTGAGAGGAGCCACTTGGGGGGAGTGGATAAAACTCCAGTAGACCTGCAGATCAGGGAGCACGCTGTACCCAGTGGAGCTCCCATGCCTCTTCCTCAGACAGATTGTCTTTGTGATTGTGAATTGGGATTTTTTCGTAGCTTGTGAGGCATTTTGGTTTGCACACGCCTACCTGCTTTCCTTTTTGTATCCAGCATTAGGGCTGAGTATTGTATTTGAGTTCGTTTCTTGCTGATGTGAGCAGATCTTTTTATTTTACTGGTAACTAACTCTAGGTTAGAGTCTCCCTGTGTTTTTTGGCAACCTGTTAAGTTTCCTTTAAGGCCTTTGTTGCCTCTCTTTTTGTTGTTACTGCCAATTTTACTTTTGTTAATAAATAACTTGATTTGATCATTTAACATCTGGTCGGTTTTATGTTGCTTCCCTTCTCCCTTACACGAGCTGGTCGTAACATAAATGGGGGCTCGTCCGGGATACTAATCCGTTAAAGGAGACCCGGAAATCCGAAAAGTTTTTGTTAATAAAGGTAAGATTATTGTGTGTGTGTGCTTAGGTAGGTAAAATGGCATCGTTCGATCTTGACAGCTTCTTGTTAAATCCGTCACTTGACCAAATTAATAAGTGCAGAAAGGATAATTTGGTCGAGATAGCTGTGCACTTCAATGTCCTGTTTGCCAAATCAATCCTGAAAAAAGAATTAAAATCTCTAGTCATAGGTAAGTTGGTGGAATTAGGTATAATTGTTTTGCCGGTGCTCCCTGAGTCACCTGTGTGCGCACCTGGCTCTGAGACTGCGGCTGATTACACTGCACAAAGGGAGTTCAGTAAAGTGTCTGCTCAGCCCAAAACTCCCTTTACCTTGCCTCGCTATGATCCTCCTTTCTCAGGCAGCACTGATTCTCTGGGTGAGGCCAGACTGAAAGTCAGGCTGGCACGAATCCAGATGGAGGCTCAGGAGAGAGCCGAGAACCGGCAAGCAAAGCTGAGGCTTGAGATCCGGAAAATGGAGATCGAGGCTGATAAAGCAGTCAGACTACGTCAGCTGGAGCTAGAAGCTCAGCTGAAAGCAACCCCGGCACTGGATGCATCTGCAGATGCAATAATGTCACCTCCTTCCACCAGCTCTACCCGAGAGTCCTTTGACATCGGTAAGCATATTTCTCTTGTTCCACCATTCAGAGACTCTGAAGTTGACAGTTATTTTCCGGCATTTGAGCGCATTGCGACTGCACTTCAGTGGCCTTATGAAGAGTGGCCACTACTTCTCCAATGTAAGATCCATGGTAAAGCACAAGAAGCTGTAGCTGCTCTACCTTTAGCGGAGAGCTTGAACTATGAAAAGGTAAAGATGTCTATTTCACGTGCCTATGAATTAGTCCCTGAAGCTTACAGGCAAAAATTTCGGAACCACACAAGGGGCCCTGAACAGACGTATGTGGAGTTCGCAAGGGAAAAGGGAACTCTTTTTGATAAATGGTGTAACGCTAGTAAAGCTGCTGATTTCAGTTCACTCCGTGAACTAATTCTTCTGGAAGAATTTAAGAAATGTCTACCAGAGCGCATTGTTGTGTACCTAAATGAACAGAAAGTTTCATCTCTCTCTGCAGCCTCTGTACTGGCTGATGAATTTGTGCTAACCCACAAACCTGTGTTTCTGTCTACTTACGAAAAGCCTCGTGCTCCGGCACCACAGAGTGGACAAGCCAGAGTGTTCCACAGAAGGGATGAAAAAAGCTGTAACTATTGTCATAAATCTGGACACCTCATTGCAAACTGTCCCTCCTTAAACAGGAAAAAACAGAATGGCAACGGATCGCCCCCTAAAGGCGTTGGGCTCATTAAATCTGAGAAACGTGTAGAATCTAATGCTGTTTCTTCTGTTTGCCCAGATCCATGTTTTGAGCCGTTCATATTCGACGGGTATGTATCTCTGACAGGTGAGACTGCTGATCAGTGCCCAGTACGCATTTTGAGGGACACCGGTGGCTCTCAATCTGTTATACTGGCTAGTGCATTGCCATTTTCGGAAAAGTCTTTTTGTGGTTATACTGTTGCCTTGCAAGGTATTGAGATGGGTTATGTCCCACAACCGGTGCATACAGTCCACATTAAGTCCTGGTTGATAAGTGGGGTTTTTCCTGTGGCTGTCATTCCCGCTCTGCCTATAAAAGGAGTAGTTCTCCTCATGTGCAACGACATCGCGGGTGGCCAGGTAACCCCTGCACTAGAGGTGTCTGACTCTCCGCAGAGCCCTGATATAGAAAATGAAACAGAAACTGCTCAGAAACTGTTTCCATCTTGTGCTGTAACTCGTGCGCAATCTCGTAAATTGGACGAATTCTCACTGTCGGATACTGTGCTAATGTCTGCTTTTTCAGATGTGGAAGTTGTGAAGGAGAAAGCTCCCACATCTCTGCTGTCAGAAAGTGCCGAGCCCGTGGGTTCTGCGAATCTGAGTTTGGCGCCGTCGGACAGTCCGACGCTGCCGGTGGGCAGTGAACGTCTCGCCGCTGCGCAGAGGGCTGACCCGACTCTGGCACGTTGCTTCAAAAGTGTGGTGAGTGCCGACAAAGCAAGTGGTGAAACAGTATCTTACCTAATGAATAAAGACATCCTGGTGCGTAAATGGACTCCTGCAGTGTCTGATTGCGAATATAGTGCTTTACAAGTTGTAGTGCCTTTTGTATACCGGCAGCATGTATTGTCAGTTGCCCACGAGAGCAAATGGTCAGGTCATTTGGGGGTGAATAAGACCTACAACCTCATCCTCAAGCATTTCTTCTGGCCTGGGTTAAAATCTGATGTAGCCAAATTCTGTCGCTCTTGTCATGTGTGTCAACTAGCGGGTAAACCAAACCAAACCATCCCACCTGCTCCACTCCATCCTATTCCTACCATAGGTGAGCCCTTTGAGCGTGTAATCTTAGACTGTGTAGGCCCATTGCCCCGCTCTAAAACAGGTAATCAGTACCTACTCACCATTATGTGTGCTGCCACCCGCTATCCGGAAGCCGTCCCGCTGCGTAAAATTACGTCCAGCTCTGTTGTCAAAGCCCTGACAAAGTTTTTCTCCACGTTTGGCCTCCCTCGTGTTATCCAGACCGATCAAGGTACAAACTTTCAGTCTCGGTTGTTCAAACAAGTCCTTAAAACGCTCAATGTCCAACACTCCGTGTCCAGCGCGTATCATCCTGAATCCCAGGGAGCGTTAGAACGTTGGCATCAGACATTAAAATCCATGCTGCGTAAATACTCCCTAGAGACAGGTAAAAGTTGGGATGAAGGGGTTCCTTTCGTGTTGTTCGCCGCTCGTGACGCTGTCCAGGCATCCTTAGGGTTTAGCCCCGCAGAGCTCGTATTTGGCCACACACTCCGCGGTCCGCTTAAATCTCTGCAAGAAAAATTCCTGTCCTCTGAAGTCTCACGTGAAGAGAACGTACTTGATTTTATGAGTAAATTCCGCGAGCGTTTACACCGTGCAAACTCGCTCGCTAAAGAGTGTCTTTTGTCCTCCCAGACTGTGATGAAGCGTCGTTATGACCGATCTGCCGTCCCACGCCGATTTGATGTTGGTGACAAAGTGCTGGCCTTGCTGCCGATCCCTGGTTCTTCTCTCTCTGCTAAATTTACCGGTCCCTATGAGGTCCGTGAATGCCTCAGTGACCTCAACTATGTTATTGCTACACCGGAGAGAAGGCGTAAAAGTCGTGTTTGTCACATAAACATGCTCAAACCTTACTTCACACGCGAACCGAACCCAGCTGTCGCTCCACCAGTGGTTCCCCCAAAAGCTAATACTATCGCTGTCAATGCTCTGATTGTCACTGAGTCTCCTACCATTGCTGATGAGGATGATTTACAGACGTGTACCTCATCGCATCAAACCGCGCGACTGCCGAATTCGGAGTCACTGAAAACATTGTCGTCCCAGCTAAGTCATTTGACCCGCACGCAACAAAGTGACCTAATTGCTTTGATCGATAATTTTAAGTGTCTTTTCGGCGACGTTCCAACTCGCACTACTGTTCTGCAACATGACATAGATGTCAACGGAGCAAAGCCCATCCGACAGCATCCATACAGACTCAACCCCGTGAAGCGCCAGCTCATGAAAAAAGAAACGGATTATTTGTTAAAACACGGTTTGGCTGTGCCAAGCTCCAGCGCTTGGAGCTCTCCATGTTTGTTGGAGAAAAAATCAGACGGTACCCCTCGTTTTATCACAGATCTGCGAAAGGTAAATTCAGTAACTGTCAAAGACTCGTATGCGCTTCCTAGAATGGAAGATTGTGTCGACACGCTTGGCAGCGCTAAGTACGTCAGCAAGCTGGACCTATTGAAAGGGTACTGGCAAGTCCCGTTAACGGAGCGCGCATCTGAGATCTCCGCGTTTGTGACTCCTGACTGTTTCTTGCAGTACACCGTCATGGCGTTTGGCATGTGTAACGCCCCGGCCACCTTCCAGCGGCTCGTTAATACCGTCTTGGCCGGGCTGCCAAACTGTAACGCGTACTTGGATGACTTAATTGTTTACACAGTGACGTGGCAGGAGCACCTCCGCATCCTCGAACAGGTGTTCACTCGTCTTGCGCACGCGACCCTAACGCTAAATCTCGCCAAGTGTGATTTCGGTAAGGCCACCGTCACCTATTTAGGACGACAGGTTGGGCAGGGTCAAGTTAAGCCTCTCGACGCCAAGGTAACTGCCATAGCCGAGTTTCCGGTCCCAACCACCCGCAAGGCGCTCCGTCGTTTTCTGGGCATAGCGGGTTACTACCGTAGCTTCTGCCGCAACTTCTCCTCCGTTGTTCAGCCGTTGACTTCTCTAACTAATCCCAAAGTCGAATTTGATTGGTCCCCTGCCTGTCAGCATGCGTTTGACAGCGCAAAGTCCCTCCTTAGCCACGCCCCTGTCCTTGCAGCTCCTGACTTCTCCCAGCCGTTCAAACTTGAGGTAGATGCCTCTGCAGTAGGTGTCGGGGCTGTCCTGTTGCAGGAGGATAGTGATGGAGTTGACCATCCAGTAGGATATTTTTCCCGCAAATTTAACAAGCATCAGGTGAACTACTCAATCATAGAAAAAGAAACCCTTGCTTTGTTATGGTCACTTCAACACTTTGAAGTATACGTAGGTTCCAGCCCTCTGCCAGTGGTGGTCTTCACTGACCACAACCCACTCGTCTTTCTGCATCGTATGTATAACCACAACCAAAGGCTTATGCGGTGGGCACTGGTCATGCAGGATTACAATGTGGAGATCCAGCACAAAAAGGGGTCTGACAATGTTGTAGCAGATGCGTTGTCCAGAATGTAATGTTGACTTTGTTAACCCTTGTGGTTGTTTTGTTTATGACAAACCTCATTAGGAGGGTTTGCCTCTTAAGGGGAGGGGTGTTACGGCCGCCGCCTTAGTGTGGCGAGTCTTGGGTCTTCCTCTCTCTGTGTGTGTGTGCGTGTGCGTGTGTGAGAGTGCCTGTGTGTGCATGCTGCCTGCAGTTCACAGGTTGCCGTGGCTGCGGATCAATCAAGTGCCTGATCACCTCCACCTGGAAACTGCAAACACTGACTGGCTGAGGGCTTCTGCCACTTGAGAGGAGCCACTTGGGGGGATCGGATAAAACTCCAGCGGACCTGCAGATCAGGGAGCACGCTGTACCCAGTGGAGCTCCCATGCCTCTTCCTCAGACAGATTGTCTTAGTGATTGTGAATTGGGACTTTTTCGTAGCTTGTGAGGCATTTTGGTTTGCACACGCCTACCTGCTTTCCTTTTTGTATCCAGCATTAGGGCTGAGTATTGTATTTGAGTTCGTTTCTTGCCGATGTGAGCAGATCTTTTTATTTTTACTGGTAACTAACTCTAGGTTAGAGTCTCCCTGTGTTTTTTGGCAACCTGTTAAGTTTCCTTTAAGGCCTTTATTGCCTCTCTTTTTGTTGTTACTGCCAATTTTACTTTTGTTAATAAATAACTTGATTTGATCATTTAACATCTGGTCGGTTTTATGTAGCTTCCCTTCTCCCTTACACGAGCTGGTCGTAACATAAATGGGGGCTTGTCCGGGATACTAATCCGTTAAAGGAGACCCGGAAATCCGAAAAGTTTTTGTTAATAAAGATAAGATTATTGTGTGTGTGTGCTTAGGTAGGTAAAATGGCATCGTTCGATCTTGACAGCTTCTTGTTAAATCCGTCACTTGACCAAATTAATAAGTGCAGAAAGGATTTGGGGTGTTCGGGCTTCCTGAAGGTAATACCCGGGTATTAGGTTATGGGGCTAGGGTAAGGTTTAAGGTTTTTGGCGTTAGAGTTAAAATCAGTGTCCAAAACCTTTTTAGGAACATGTTTAAGACCTTTTGGAGTTGGTTACACCAAAAAAAATGTAAAATGAAAAAAAAAATATTTGGGGTGTTCGGGCTTCCTGAAGGTAATACCCGGGTATTAGGTTTTGGGGCTAGGGTAAGGTTTAAGGTTTTTGGTGTTAGGGTTAGAATCACTGTCCAAAACCTTTGTAGGAACTCTTTTCCGACCTTTTGGAGTTAGTTAGACCAAAAAAAAAGAAAAAAGAAAAAAAAATATTTGGGGTGTTCGGGCTTCCTGAAGGTAATACCCGGGTATGAGGTTATGGGGCTAGGGTAAGGTTTAAGGTTTTTGGCGTTAGGGTTAAAATCACTGTCCAAAACCTTTTTAGGAACATGTTTCAGACCTTTTGGAGTTGGTAACACCAAAAAAAAATGTAAAATGAAAAAAAAATATTTGGGGTGTTCAAGCTTCCTGAAGGTAATACTAGGTATCTGGGCTAAAGTAATGTTAAGCTTTTTGGCGTTAGGGTTAAAATCAATGTCCAAAACCTTTGTAGGAACTCTTTTCCAACCTTTTGGAGTTAGTTAGACAAAAAAAAAAAGATAAATGAAAAAAAAATATTTGGGGTGTTCGGGCTTCCTGAAGGTAATACCTGGGTATTAGGTTATGGGGCTAGGGTAAGGTTTCAGGTTTTTGGCGTTAGGGTTAAAATCACTGTCCAAAACCTTTTTAGGAACATGTTTCAGACCTTTTGGAGTTGGTAACACCAAAAAAAAATGTAAAATGAAAAAAAAATATTTGGGGTGTTCGGGCTTCCTGAAGGTAATACTAGGTATCTGGGCTAGGGTAATGTTAAGGTTTTTGGCGTTAGGGTTAAAATCAATGTCCAAAACCTTTGTAGGAACTCTTTTCCAACCTTTGAGAGCAAGTTAGACCAAAACAAAAATAAAAATAAAAAATATATATTTGGGGTGTTCGGGCTTCCTGAAGGTAATACCCGGGTATTAGGTTTTGGGGCTAGGGTAAGGTTTAAGGTTTAAGGTTTTTCGGCGTGAGGGTAAAAATCACTGTCCAAAACCTTTGTAGGAACTCTTTTCCAAACTTTGGGAATAAGTTAGACAAAAAAAAAAAAGATAAATGAAAAAAAAATATTTGGGGTGTTCGGGCTTCCTGAAGGTAATACCCGGGTATTAGGTTATGGGGCTAGGGTAAGGTTTAAGGCTTTTGGCGTATGGGTTAAAATCACTGTCCAAAACCTTTTTAGGAACATGTTTCAGACCTTTTGGAGTTAGTTAGACCACAAAAAATGTAAAATGAAAAAAATATATTTGGGGTGTTCGGGCTTCCTGAAGGTAATACCCGGGTATTAGGTTAGGGGCGAAGGTAAGGTTTAAGGTTTTTGGCGTGAGGGTTAAAATCACTGTCCAAAACCTTTGTAGGAACTCTTTACCATCCTTTTGGAGTTAGTTAGACCAAAAAAAAAAACGAAAAATGAAAAAACAATATTTGGGGTTTTCGGGCTTCCTGAAGGTAATAACCGCGTATTAGGTTATGGGGCTAGGGTAAGGTTTAAGGTTTTTGGCGCGAGGGTTAAAATCACTGTCCAAAACCTTTGTAGGAACTCTTTTCCAACCTTTTGGAGTTAGTTAGACCACAAAAAATGAAAAATAAAAAAAAAATATTTGGGGTGTTCGGGCTTCCTGAAGGTAATACCCGGTATTAGGTTTTGGGGCTAGGGTAACTTTTAAGGTTTTTGGCGATAGGGTTAAAATCACTGTCCAAAACCTTTGTAGGAAGTCTTTTCCAACCTTTTGGAGTTAGTTAGACAAAAAAAAAAAGATAAATGAAAAAAAAATATTTGGGGTGTTCGGGCTTCCTGAAGGTAATACCCGGGTATTAGGTTATGGGGCTAGGGTAAGGTTTAAGGTTTTTGGCGTAAGGGTTAAAATCACTGTCCAAAACCTTTTTAGGAACATGTTTCAGACCTTTTGGAGATGGTTACACCAAAAAAAATGTAAAATGAAAAAAAAAATATTTGGGGTGTTTGGGCTTCCTGAAGGTAATACCCGGGTATTAGGTTATGGGGCTAGGGTAAGGTTTAAGGTTTTTGGCGTGAGGGTTAAAATCACTGTCCAAAACCTTTTTAGGAACATGTTTCAGACCTTTTGGAGTTGGTTACACCAAAAAAAATGTAAAACGAAAAAAAAAAATATTTGGGGTGTTCGGGCTTCCTGAAGGTAATAGGTTTTGGGGCTAGGGTAAGGTTTAAGGTTTTTGGCGTTAGGGTTAAAATCACTGTCCAAAACCTTTTAAGGAACAAGATTCAGACCTTTTGGAGTTGGTTACACAAAAAAAAATGTAAAATGAAAAAAAAATATATTTGGGGTGTTCGGGCTTCCTGAAGGTAATACCCTTCAGGTTTAAGTATTAGGTTATGGGGCTAGGATTAGGTTTAAGGTTTTTGGCGTAAGGGTTAAAATCACTGTCCAATATTTTTTAAGGAACATGTTTCAGACCTTTTGGAGCTAGTTTGACCAAAAAAAAAAAGAAAAAGAAAAAATATATATTTGGGGTGTTCGGGCTTCCTGAAGGTAATACCCGGGTAAGGTTTAAGGTTTTTGGCGTAAGGGTTAAAATCACTGTCCAATATTTTTTAAGGAACATGATCCAGACCTTTTGGAGCTAGTTTGACCAAAAAAAAAAAGAAAAAGAAAAAATATATATTTGGGGTGTTCGGGCTTCCTGAAGGTAATACTAGGTTTCTGGGCTAGGGTAATGTTTAAGGTTTTTGGCGTTAGGGTTAAAATCAATGTCCAAAACCTTTGTAGGAACTCTTTTCCAACCTTTGAGAGCAAGTTAGACCAAAACAAAAAGAAAAAAATATATATATATTTGGGGTGTTCGGGCTTCCTGAAGGTAATACCCGGGTATTAGGTTATGGGGCTAGGGTAAGGTTTAAGGTTTTTGGCGTGAGGGTAAAAATCACTGTCCAAAACCTTTGTAGGAACTCTTCCAACCTTTGGGAATTAGTTAGACAAAAAAAAGATAAATGAAAAAAAAATATTTGGGGTGTTCGGGCTTCCTGAAGGTAATACCCGGGTATTAGGTTTTGGGGCTAGGGTTAGGTTTAAGGTTTTTGGCGTTAGGGTTAAAATCACTGTCCAAAACCTTTTAAGGAACATGTTTCAGACCTTTGGGAGTTAGTTAGACAAAAAAATAAGAAAAAGAAAAAAAAAATATTTGGGGTGTTCGGGTTTCCTGAAGGTAATACCCGGGTATTAGGTTATGGGGCTAGGGTAAGGTTTAAGGTTTTTGGCGTTAGAGTTAAAATCAGTGTCCAAAACCTTTTTAGGAACATGTTTAAGACCTTTTGGAGTTGGTTACACCAAAAAAAAATGTAAAATGCAAAAAAAAAAAATATTTGGGGTTTTTGGGCTTCCTGAAGGTAATACCCCGGTATTAGGTTTTGGGGCTAGGGTTAGGTTTAAGGTATTTGGCGTTAGAGTCAAAATCACTGTCCAAAACCTTTTTAGGAACATGTTTCAGACCTTTTGGAGTTGGTTACACCAAAAAAATTTAAAATGAAAAAAAATTTTTTTTGGGTGTTCGGGCTTCCTGACGGTAATACTAGGTTTCTGGGCTAGGGTAATGTTTAAGGTTTTTGGCGTTAGGGTTAAAATCAATGTCCAAAACCTTTGTAGGAACTCTTTTCCAACCTTTGAGAGCAAGTTAGACCAAAACAAAAAGAAAAAAAAATATATATATTTGGGGTGTTCGGGCTTCCTGAAGGTAATACCCGGGTATCAGGTTATGGGGCTAGGGTAAAGTTTAAGGTTTTCTGGCGTGAGGGTAAAAATCACTGTCCAAAACCTTTGTAGGAACTCTTTTCCAACCTTTGGGAATTAGTTAGACAAAAAAAAAAAGATGAATGAAAAAAAAATATTTGGGGTGTTCGGGCTTCCTGAAGGTAATACCCGGGTATTAGGTTTTGGGGCTAGGGTTGGGTTTAAGGTTTTTGGCGTTAGGGTTAAAATAACTGTCCAATATTTTTTAAGGAACATGTTTCAGACCTTTGGGAGTTAGTTAGACAAAAAAATAAGAAAAAAAAAATATTTGGGGTGTTCGGGTTTCCTGAAGGTAATACCCGGGTATTAGGTTATGGGGCTAGGGTAAGGTTTAAGGTTTTTGGCGTTAGAGTTAAAATCAGTGTCCAAAACCTTTTTAGGAACATGTTTCAGACCTTTTTGAGTTGGTTACACCAAAAAAAAAATGTAAAATGCAAAAAAAAAATATTTGGGGTTTTTGGGCTTCCTGAAGGTAATACCCGGGTATTAGGTTTTGGGGCTAGGGTTAGGTTGAAGGTATTTAGCTTTAGGGTTAAAATCACTGTCCAAAACCTTTTTAGGAACATGTTTCAGACCTTTTGGAGTTGGTTACACCAAAAAAAATGTAAAATGAAAAAAAAAAAATTTGGGGTGTTCGGGCTTCCTGAAGGTAATACCCGGGTATTAGGTTATGGGGCTAGGGTAAGGTTAAAGGTTTTTGGAGTTAGAGTTAAAATCACTGTCCAAAACCTTTTTAGGAACATGTTTAAGACCTTTTGGAGTTGGTTACACCAAAAAAAAATGTAAAATGAAAAAAAAAAAATTGGGGTGTTCGGGCTTCCTGAAGGTAATACCCGGGTATTAGGTTATGGGGCTAGGGTAAGGTTTAAGGTTTTTGGCGTTAGGGTTAAAATCACTGTCCAAAACCTTTGTAGGAACTCTTTTCCAACCTTTTGGAGTTAGTTAGACCAAAAAAAAAAAAAGAAAAATGAAAAAAAAATATTTGGGGTGTTCGGGCTTCCTGAAGGTAATACCCGGGTATTAGGTTATGGGGCTAGGGTAAGGTTTAAGGTTTTTGGCGTTAGGGTTAAAATCACTGTCCAAAACCTTTTTAGGAACATGTTTCAGACCTTTTGGAGTTAGTTAGACCAAAAAAAAATGTAAAATGAAAAAAATATATTTGGGGTGTTCGGGCTTCCTGAAGGTAATACCCGGGTATTAGGTTATGGGGCTAGGGTAAGGTTTAAGGTTTTTGGCGTTAGGGTTAAAATCACTGTCCAAAACCTTTTAGGAACATGTTTCAGACCTTTTGGAGTTGGTTACACCAAAAAAAAAGAAAATGAAAAAAAAATATTTGGGGTGTTCGGGCTTCCTGAAGGTAATACCCGGTATTAGGTTATGGGGCTAGGGTAAGGTTTAAGGTTTTTGGCGTGAGGGTTAAAATCACTGTCCAAAACCTTTGTAGGAACTCTTTTCCAACCTTTTGGAGTTAGTTAGACCAAAAAAATGAAAAATGAAAAAAAAATATTTGGGGTGTTCGGGCTTCCTGAAGGTAATACCCGGGTATTAGGTTTTGGGGCTAGGGTAAGGTTTAAGGTTTTTGGCGATAGGGTTAAAATCACTGTCCAAAACCTTTGTAGGAAGTCTTTTCCAACCTTTTGGAGTTAGTTAGACAAAAAAAAAAGATAAATGAAAAAAAAATATTTGGGGTGTTCGGGCTTCCTGAAGGTAATACCCGGGTATTAGGTTATGGGGCTAGGGTAAGGTTTAAGGTTTTTGGCGTAAGGGTTAAAATCACTGTCCAAAACCTTTTTAGGAACATGTTTCAGACCTTTTGGAGTTGGTTACACCAAAAAAAATGTAAAATGAAAAAAAAAATATTTGGGGTGTTTGGGCTTCCTGAAGGTAATACCCGGGTATTAGGTTATGGGGCTAGGGTAAGGTTTAAGGTTTTTGGCGTGAGGGTTAAAATCACTGTCCAAAACCTTTTTAGGAACATGTTTCAGACCTTTTGGAGTTGGTTACACCAAAAAAAATGTAAAATGAAAAAAAAAAATATTTGGGGTGTTCGGGCTTCCTGAAGGTAATAGGTTTTGGGGCTAGGGTAAGGTTTAAGGTTTTTGGCGTTAGGGTTAAAATCACTGTCCAAAACCTTTTAAGGAACAAGATTCAGACCTTTTGGAGTTGGTTACACAAAAAAAAAAAGATAAATGAAAAAAAAATATTTGGGGTGTTCGGGCTTCCTGAAGGTAATACCCTTCAGGTTTAAGTATTAGGTTATGGGGCTAGGATTAGGTTTAAGGTTTTTGGCGTAAGGGTTAAAATCACTGTCCAATATTTTTTAAGGAACATGTTTCAGACCTTTTGGAGCTAGTTTGACCAAAAAAAAAAAGAAAAAGAAAAAATATATATTTGGGGTGTTCGGGCTTCCTGAAGGTAATACCCGGGTATTAGGTTATGGGGCTAGGGTAAGGTTTAAGGTTTTTGGCGTTAGGGTTAAAATCACTGTCCAAAACCTTTTTAGGAACATGTTTCAGACCTTTTGGAGTTGGTTGACCAAAAAAAAAAGAAAAAGAAAAAAATATATTTGGGGTGTTCGGGCTTCCTGAAGGTAATACCCGGGTATTAGGTTTGGGGCTAGGGTAAGGTTTAAGGTTTTTGGCGTTAGGGTTAAAATCACTGTCCAAAACCTTTGTAGGAACTCTTTTCCAACCTTTGAGAGCAAGTTAGACCAAAACAAAAAGAAAAAAATATATATATATTTGGGGTGTTCGGGCTTCCTGAAGGTAATACCCGGGTATTAGGTTATGGGGCTAGGGAAAGGTTTAAGGTTTTTGGCGTGAGGGTAAAAATCACTGTCCAAAACCTTTGTAGGAACTCTTTTCCAACCTTTGGGAATTAGTTAGACAAAAAAAAGATAAATGAAAAAAAAATATTTGGGGTGTTCGGGCTTCCTGAAGGTAATACCCGGGTATTAGGTTTTGGGGCTAGGGTTAGGTTTAAGGTTTTTGGCGTTAGGGTTAAAATCACTGTCCAAAACCTTTTTAGGAACATGTTTCAGACCTTTTGGAGTTAGTTAGACAAAAAAATAAGAAAAAGAAAAAAAAAATATTTGGGGTGTTCGGGTTTCCTGAAGGTAATACCCGGGTATTAGGTTATGGGGCTGGGTAAGGTTTAAGGTTTTTGGCGTTAGGGTTAAAATCACTGTCCAAAACCTTTTTAGGAACATGTTTAAGACCTTTTGGAGTTGGTTACACCAAAAAAAAATGTAAAATGAAAAAAAAATATTTGGGGTGTTCGGGCTTCCTGAAGGTAATACCCGGTATTAGGTTTGGGGCTAGGGTTAAGGTTTAAGGTTTTTGGCGTTAGGGTTAAAATCACTGTCCAAAACCTTTTAGGAACATGTTTCAGACCTTTTGGAGTTGGTTACACCAAAAAAAAGTAAAATGAAAAAAAAAATTTTTGGGTGTTCGGGCTTCCTGAAGGTAATACGGTTTTAGGTTATGGGGCTAGGGTAATGTTTAAGGTTTTTGGCGTTAGGGTTAAAATCAATGTCCAAAACCTTTGTAGGAACTCTTTTCCAACCTTTGAGAGCAAGTTAGACCAAAACAAAAAGAAAAAAATATATATATATTTGGGGTGTTCGGGCTTCCTGAAGGTAATACCCGGGTATTAGGTTATGGGGCTAGGGTAAAGTTTAAGGTTTTCTGGCGTGAGGGTAAAAATCACTGTCCAAAACCTTTGTAGGAACTCTTTTCCAACCTTTGGGAATTAGTTAGACAAAAAAAAAAAGATGAATGAAAAAAAAATATTTGGGGTGTTCGGGCTTCCTGAAGGTAATACCCGGGTATTAGGTTTTGGGGCTAGGGTTGGGTTTAAGGTTTTTGGCGTTAGGGTTAAAATAACTGTCCAATATTTTTTAAGGAACATGTTTCAGACCTTTGGGAGTTAGTTAGACAAAAAAATAAGAAAAAAAAAATATTTGGGGTGTTCGGGTTTCCTGAAGGTAATACCCGGGTATTAGGTTATGGGGCTAGGGTAAGGTTTAAGGTTTTTGGCGTTAGAGTTAAAATCAGTGTCCAAAACCTTTTTAGGAACATGTTTCAGACCTTTTTGAGTTGGTTACACCAAAAAAAAAATGTAAAATGCAAAAAAAAAATATTTGGGGTTTTTGGGCTTCCTGAAGGTAATACCCGGGTATTAGGTTTTGGGGCTAGTGTTAGGTTGAAGGTATTTAGCTTTAGGGTTAAAATCACTGTCCAAAACCTTTTTAGGAACATGTTTCAGACCTTTTGGAGTTGGTTACACCAAAAAAAATGTAAAATGAAAAAAAAAAAATTGGGGTGTTCAAGCTTCCTGAAGGTAATACCCGGATATTAGGTTATGGGGCTAGGGTAAGGTTAAAGGTTTTTGGAGTTAGAGTTAAAATCAGTGTCCAAAACCTTTTTAGGAACATGTTTAAGACCTTTTGGAGTTGGTTACACCAAAAAAAAAATGTAAAATGAAAAAAAAAAATTTGGGGTGTTCGGGCTTCCTGAAGGTAATACCCGGGTATTAGGTTTTGGGGCTAGGGTAAGGTTTAAGGTTTTTGGTGTTAGGGTTAAAATCACTGTCCAAAACCTTTGTAGGAACTCTTTTCTGACCTTTTGGAGTTAGTTAGACCAAAAAAAAAGAAAAAAGAAAAAAATATAATTGGGGTGTTCGGGCTTCCTGAAGGTAATACCCGGGTATGAGGTTATGGGGCTAGGGTAAGGTTTAAGGTTTTTGGCGTTAGGGTTAAAATCACTGTCCAAAACCTTTTTAGGAACATGTTTCAGACCTTTTGGAGTTGGTAACACCAAAAATAAATGTAAAATGAAAAAAAAAATATATGGGGTGTTCGGGTTCCCTGAAGGTAATACCCGGGTATTAGGTTTTGGGGCTAGGGTAAGGTTTAAGGTTTTTGACGTTAGGGTTAAAATCACTGTCCAAAACCTTTTAAGGAACAAGATTCAGACCTTTTGGAGTTGGTTACACCAAAAAAAATGTAAAATGAAAAAAAATATATTTTGGGTGTTCGGGCTTCCTGAAGGTAATACCCTTCAGGTTTAAGTATTAGGTTATGGGGCTAGGATTTGGTTTAAGGTTTTTGGCGTAAGGGTTAAAATCACTGTCCAATATTTTTTAAGGAACATGTTTCAGACCTTTTGGAGCTTGTTTGACCAAAAAAAAAAAGAAAAAGAAAAAATATATATTTGGGGTGTTCGGGCTTCCTGAAGGTAATACCCGGGTATTAGGTTATGGGGCTAGGTTAAGGTTTAAGGTTTTTGGCATGAGGGTTAAAATCAATGTCCAAAACCTTTGTAGGAAGTCTTTTCCAACCTTTTGGAGTTAGTTAGACAAAAAAAAAAAAAGATAAATGAAAAAAAAATATTTGGGGTGTTCGGGCTTCCTGAAGGTAATAGGTTTTGGGGCTAGGGTAAGGTTTAAGGTTTTTGGCGTTAGGGTTAAAATCACTGTCCAAAACCTTTTAAGGAACAAGATTCAGACCTTTTGGAGTTGGTTACACCAAAAAAAATGTAAAATGAAAAAAAAAAATATTTGGGGTGTTCGGGCTTCCTGAAGGTAATACCCTTCAGGTTTAAGTATTAGGTTATGGGGCTAGGATTAGGTTTAAGGTTTTTGGCGTAAGGGTTAAAATCACTGTCCAAAACCTTTTTAGGAACATGTTTCAGACCTTTTGGAGTTGGTTACACCAAAAAAAAAAAAAAAAGAAAAAAAATATATATTTGGGGTGTTCGGGCTTCCTGAAGGTAATACCCGGGTATTAGGTTATGGGGCTAGGTTAAGGTTTAAGGTTTTTGGCATGAGGGTTAAAATCACTGTCCAAAACCTTTGTAGGAAGTCTTTTCCATCCTTTTGGAGTTAGTTAGACAAAAAAAAAAGATAAATGAAAAAAAAATATTTGGGGTGTTCGGGCTTCCTGAAGGTAATACCCGGGTAAGGTTTAAGGTTTTTGGCGTAAGGGTTAAAATCACTGTCCAAAACCTTTTTAGGACCATGTTTCAGACCTTTTGGAGTTGGTTACACCAAAAAAAAAAAAGAAAAAGAAAAAAAAAATATTTGGGGTGTTCGGGTTTCCTGAAGGTAATACCCGGGTATTAGGTTATGGGGCTAGGGTAAGTTTTAAGGTTTTTGGCGTTAGGGTTAAAATCACTGTCCAAAACCTTTTTAGGAACATGTTTAAGACCTTTTGGAGTTGGTTACACCAAAAAAAAATGTAAAATGAAAAAAATATATATTTGGGGTGTTCGGGCTTCCTGAAGGTAATACCCGGGTATTAGGTAATGGGGCTAGGGTAAGGTTTAAGGTTTTTGGCGTGAGGGTTAAAATCACTGTCCAAAACCTTTGTAGGACCTCTTTTCCAACCTTTTGGTGTTAGTTAGACCAAAAAAAAACGAAAAATGAAAAAAAAATATTTGGGGTTTTTGGGCTTCCTGAAGGTAATAGGTTATGGGGCTTTGGAAAGGTTTAAGGTTTTTGGCGTGAGGGTTAAAATCACTGTCCAAAACCTTTGTAGGAAGTCTTTTCCAACCTTTTGGAGTTAGTTAGACCAATAAAAAAATGAAAAATGAAAAAAAAAAATTTGGGGTGTTCGGGCTTCCTGAAGGTATTAGGTTTTGGGGCTAGGGTAAGGTTTAAGGTTTTTGGCGTTAGGGTTAAAATCACTGTCCAAAACCTTTTTAGGAACATGTTTAAGACCTTTTGGAGTTGGTTACACCAAAAAAAAATGTAAAATGAAAAAAATATATATTTGGGGTGTTCGGGCTTCCTGAAGGTAATACCCGGGTATTAGGTAATGGGGCTAGGGTAAGGTTTAAGGTTTTTGGCGTGAGGGTTAAAATCACCGTCCAAAACCTTTGTAGGAAGTCTTTTCCAACCTTTTGGAGTTAGTTAGACAAAAAAAAAAAGATAAATGAAAAAAAAATATTTGGGGTGTTCGGGCTTCCTGAAGGTAATACCCGGGTATTAGGTTATGGGGCTAGGGTAAGTTTTAAGGTTTTTGGCGTTAGGGTTAAAATCACTGTCCAAAACCTTTTTAGGAACATGTTTAAGACCTTTTGGAGTTGGTTACACCAAAAAAAATGTAAAATGAAAAAAATATATATTTGGGGTGTTCGGGCTTCCTGAAGGTAATACCCGGGTATTAGGTAATGGGGCTAGGGTAAGGTTTAAGGTTTTTGGCGTGAGGGTTAAAATCACTGTCCAAAACCTTTGTAGGACCTCTTTTCCAACCTTTTGGTGTTAGTTAGACCAAAAAAAATGTAAAATGAAAAAAATATATTTGGGGTCTTCGGGCTTCCTGAAGGAAATACCCAGGTATTAGGTTATGGGGCTAGGGTAAGGTTTTAGGTTTTTGGCGTTAGGGTTAAAATCAATGTCCAAAACCTTTTTAGGAACATGTTTCAGACCTTTTGGAGTTGGTTACACCAAAAAAAAATGTAAAATGAAAAAAAAATATTTGGGGTGTTCAAGCTTCCTGAAGGTAATACCCGGGAATTAGGTTATGGGGCTATAGTAAGGTTTAAGGTTTTTGGCGTTAGGGTTAAAATCACTGTCCAAAACCTTTGTAGGAACTATTTTCCAACCTTTTGGAGTTAGTTAGACCAAATGTTTCGGGCCGCCGCCTTAGTGTGGCGAGTCTTGGGTCTTCCTCACTGTGTGTGTGTGTGTGTGTGTGTGTGTGTGCGTGTGTGAGAGTGCCTGTGTGTGCATGCTGCCTGCAGTTCACAGGTTGCCGTGGCTGCGGATCAATCAAGTGCCTGATCACCTCCACCTGGAAACTGCAAACACTGACTGGCTGAGGGCTTCTGCCACTTGAGAGGAGCCACTTGGGGGGAGTGGATAAAACTCCAGTAGACCTGCAGATCAGGGAGGCACGCTGTACCCAGTGGAGCTCCCATGCCTCTTCCTCAGACAGATTGTCTTTGTGATTGTGAATTGGGATTTTTTCGTAGCTTGTGAGGCATTTTGGTTTGCACACGCCTACCTGCTTTCCTTTTTGTATCCAGCATTAGGGCTGAGTATTGTATTTGAGTTCGTTTCTTGCTGATGTGAGCAGATCTTTTTATTTTACTGGTAACTAACTCTAGGTTAGAGTCTCCCTGTGTTTTTTGGCAACCTGTTAAGTTTCCTTTAAGGCCTTTGTTGCCTCTCTTTTTGTTGTTACTGCCAATTTTACTTTTGTTAATAAATAACTTGATTTGATCATTTAACATCTGGTCGGTTTTATGTTGCTTCCCTTCTCCCTTACACGAGCTGGTCGTAACATAAATGGGGGCTCGTCCGGGATACTAATCCGTTAAAGGAGACCCGGAAATCCGAAAAGTTTTTGTTAATAAAGGTAAGATTATTGTGTGTGTGTGCTTAGGTAGGTAAAATGGCATCGTTCGATCTTGACAGCTTCTTGTTAAATCCGTCACTTGACCAAATTAATAAGTGCAGAAAGGATAATTTGGTCGAGATAGCTGTGCACTTCAATGTCCTGTTTGCCAAATCAATCCTGAAAAAAGAATTAAAATCTCTAGTCATAGGTAAGTTGGTGGAATTAGGTGTAATTGTTTTGCCGGTGCTCCCTGAGTCACCTGTGTGCGCACCTGGCTCTGAGACTGCGGCTGATTACACTGCACAAAGGGAGTTCAGTAAAGTGTCTGCTCAGCCCAAAACTCCCTTTACCTTGCCTCGCTATGATCCTCCTTTCTCAGGCAGCACTGATTCTCTGGGTGAGGCCAGACTGAAAGTCAGGCTGGCACGAATCCAGATGGAGGCTCAGGAGAGAGCCGAGAACCGGCAAGCAAAGCTGAGGCTTGAGATCCGGAAAATGGAGATCGAGGCTGATAAAGCAGTCAGACTACGTCAGCTGGAGCTAGAAGCTCAGCTGAAAGCAACCCCGGCACTGGATGCATCTGCAGATGCAATAATGTCACCTCCTTCCACCAGCTCTACCCGAGAGTCCTTTGACATCGGTAAGCATATTTCTCTTGTTCCACCATTCAGAGACTCTGAAGTTGACAGTTATTTTCCGGCATTTGAGCGCATTGCGACTGCACTTCAGTGGCCTTATGAAGAGTGGCCACTACTTCTCCAATGTAAGATCCATGGTAAAGCACAAGAAGCTGTAGCTGCTCTACCTTTAGCGGAGAGCTTGAACTATGAAAAGGTAAAGATGTCTATTTCACGTGCCTATGAATTAGTCCCTGAAGCTTACAGGCAAAAATTTCGGAACCACACAAGGGGCCCTGAACAGACGTATGTGGAGTTCGCAAGGGAAAAGGGAACTCTTTTTGATAAATGGTGTAACGCTAGTAAAGCTGCTGATTTCAGTTCACTCCGTGAACTAATTCTTCTGGAAGAATTTAAGAAATGTCTACCAGAGCGCATTGTTGTGTACCTAAATGAACAGAAAGTTTCATCTCTCTCTGCAGCCTCTGTACTGGCTGATGAATTTGTGCTAACCCACAAACCTGTGTTTCTGTCTACTTACGAAAAGCCTCGTGCTCCGGCACCACAGAGTGGACAAGCCAGAGTGTTCCACAGAAGGGATGAAAAAAGCTGTAACTATTGTCATAAATCTGGACACCTCATTGCAAACTGTCCCTCCTTAAACAGGAAAAAACAGAATGGCAACGGATCGCCCCCTAAAGGCGTTGGGCTCATTAAATCTGAGAAACGTGTAGAATCTAATGCTGTTTCTTCTGTTTGCCCAGATCCATGTTTTGAGCCGTTCATATTCGACGGGTATGTATCTCTGACAGGTGAGACTGCTGATCAGTGCCCAGTACGCATTTTGAGGGACACCGGTGGCTCTCAATCTGTTATACTGGCTAGTGCATTGCCATTTTCGGAAAAGTCTTTTTGTGGTTATACTGTTGCCTTGCAAGGTATTGAGATGGGTTATGTCCCACAACCGGTGCATACAGTCCACATTAAGTCCTGGTTGATAAGTGGGGTTTTTCCTGTGGCTGTCATTCCCGCTCTGCCTATAAAAGGAGTAGTTCTCCTCATGTGCAACGACATCGCGGGTGGCCAGGTAACCCCTGCACTAGAGGTGTCTGACTCTCCGCAGAGCCCTGATATAGAAAATGAAACAGAAACTGCTCAGAAACTGTTTCCATCTTGTGCTGTAACTCGTGCGCAATCTCGTAAATTGGACGAATTCTCACTGTCGGATACTGTGCTAATGTCTGCTTTTTCAGATGTGGAAGTTGTGAAGGAGAAAGCTCCCACATCTCTGCTGTCAGAAAGTGCCGAGCCCGTGGGTTCTGCGAATCTGAGTTTGGCGCCGTCGGACAGTCCGACGCTGCCGGTGGGCAGTGAACGTCTCGCCGCTGCGCAGAGGGCTGACCCGACTCTGGCACGTTGCTTCAAAAGTGTGGTGAGTGCCGACAAAGCAAGTGGTGAAACAGTATCTTACCTAATGAATAAAGACATCCTGGTGCGTAAATGGACTCCTGCAGTGTCTGATTGCGAATATAGTGCTTTACAAGTTGTAGTGCCTTTTGTATACCGGCAGCATGTATTGTCAGTTGCCCACGAGAGCAAATGGTCAGGTCATTTGGGGGTGAATAAGACCTACAACCTCATCCTCAAGCATTTCTTCTGGCCTGGGTTAAAATCTGATGTAGCCAAATTCTGTCGCTCTTGTCATGTGTGTCAACTAGCGGGTAAACCAAACCAAACCATCCCACCTGCTCCACTCCATCCTATTCCTACCATAGGTGAGCCCTTTGAGCGTGTAATCTTAGACTGTGTAGGCCCATTGCCCCGCTCTAAAACAGGTAATCAGTACCTACTCACCATTATGTGTGCTGCCACCCGCTATCCGGAAGCCGTCCCGCTGCGTAAAATTACGTCCAGCTCTGTTGTCAAAGCCCTGACAAAGTTTTTCTCCACGTTTGGCCTCCCTCGTGTTATCCAGACCGATCAAGGTACAAACTTTCAGTCTCGGTTGTTCAAACAAGTCCTTAAAACGCTCAATGTCCAACACTCCGTGTCCAGCGCGTATCATCCTGAATCCCAGGGAGCGTTAGAACGTTGGCATCAGACATTAAAATCCATGCTGCGTAAATACTCCCTAGAGACAGGTAAAAGTTGGGATGAAGGGGTTCCTTTCGTGTTGTTCGCCGCTCGTGACGCTGTCCAGGCATCCTTAGGGTTTAGCCCCGCAGAGCTCGTATTTGGCCACACACTCCGCGGTCCGCTTAAATCTCTGCAAGAAAAATTCCTGTCCTCTGAAGTCTCACGTGAAGAGAACGTACTTGATTTTATGAGTAAATTCCGCGAGCGTTTACACCGTGCAAACTCGCTCGCTAAAGAGTGTCTTTTGTCCTCCCAGACTGTGATGAAGCGTCGTTATGACCGATCTGCCGTCCCACGCCGATTTGATGTTGGTGACAAAGTGCTGGCCTTGCTGCCGATCCCTGGTTCTTCTCTCTCTGCTAAATTTACCGGTCCCTATGAGGTCCGTGAATGCCTCAGTGACCTCAACTATGTTATTGCTACACCGGAGAGAAGGCGTAAAAGTCGTGTTTGTCACATAAACATGCTCAAACCTTACTTCACACGCGAACCGAACCCAGCTGTCGCTCCACCAGTGGTTCCCCCAAAAGCTAATACTATCGCTGTCAATGCTCTGATTGTCACTGAGTCTCCTACCATTGCTGATGAGGATGATTTACAGACGTGTACCTCATCGCATCAAACCGCGCGACTGCCGAATTCGGAGTCACTGAAAACATTGTCGTCCCAGCTAAGTCATTTGACCCGCGCGCAACAAAGTGACCTAATTGCTTTGATCGATAATTTTAAGTGTCTTTTCGGCGACGTTCCAACTCGCACTACTGTTCTGCAACATGACATAGATGTCAACGGAGCAAAGCCCATCCGACAGCATCCATACAGACTCAACCCCGTGAAGCGCCAGCTCATGAAAAAAGAAACGGATTATTTGTTAAAACACGGTTTGGCTGTGCCAAGCTCCAGCGCTTGGAGCTCTCCATGTTTGTTGGAGAAAAAATCAGACGGTACCCCTCGTTTTATCACAGATCTGCGAAAGGTAAATTCAGTAACTGTCAAAGACTCGTATCCTCTTCCTAGAATGGAAGATTGTGTCGACACGCTTGGCAGCGCTAAGTACGTCAGCAAGCTGGACCTATTGAAAGGGTACTGGCAAGTCCCGTTAACGGAGCGCGCATCTGAGATCTCCGCGTTTGTGACTCCTGACTGTTTCTTGCAGTACACCGTCATGGCGTTTGGCATGTGTAACGCCCCGGCCACCTTCCAGCGGCTCGTTAATACCGTCTTGGCCGGGCTGCCAAACTGTAACGCGTACTTGGATGACTTAATTGTTTACACAGTGACGTGGCAGGAGCACCTCCGCATCCTCGAACAGGTGTTCACTCGTCTTGCGCACGCGACCCTAACGCTAAATCTCGCCAAGTGTGATTTCGGTAAGGCCACCGTCACCTATTTAGGACGACAGGTTGGGCAGGGTCAAGTTAAGCCTCTCGACGCCAAGGTAACTGCCATAGCCGAGTTTCCGGTCCCAACCACCCGCAAGGCGCTCCGTCGTTTTCTGGGCATAGCGGGTTACTACCGTAGCTTCTGCCGCAACTTCTCCTCCGTTGTTCAGCCGTTGACTTCTCTAACTAATCCCAAAGTCGAATTTGATTGGTCCCCTGCCTGTCAGCATGCGTTTGACAGCGCAAAGTCCCTCCTTAGCCACGCCCCTGTCCTTGCAGCTCCTGACTTCTCCCAGCCGTTCAAACTTGAGGTAGATGCCTCTGCAGTAGGTGTCGGGGCTGTCCTGTTGCAGGAGGATAGTGATGGAGTTGACCATCCAGTAGGATATTTTTCCCGCAAATTTAACAAGCATCAGGTGAACTACTCAATCATAGAAAAAGAAACCCTTGCTTTGTTATGGTCACTTCAACACTTTGAAGTATACGTAGGTTCCAGCCCTCTGCCAGTGGTGGTCTTCACTGACCACAACCCACTCGTCTTTCTGCATCGTATGTATAACCACAACCAAAGGCTTATGCGGTGGGCACTGGTCATGCAGGATTACAATGTGGAGATCCAGCACAAAAAGGGGTCTGACAATGTTGTAGCAGATGCGTTGTCCAGAATGTAATGTTGACTTTGTTAACCCTTGTGGTTGTTTTGTTTATGACAAACCTCATTAGGAGGGTTTGCCTCTTAAGGGGAGGGGTGTTACGGCCGCCGCCTTAGTGTGGCGAGTCTTGGGTCTTCCTCTCTCTGTGTGTGTGTGCGTGTGCGTGTGTGAGAGTGCCTGTGTGTGCATGCTGCCTGCAGTTCACAGGTTGCCGTGGCTGCGGATCAATCAAGTGCCTGATCACCTCCACCTGGAAACTGCAAACACTGACTGGCTGAGGGCTTCTGCCACTTGAGAGGAGCCACTTGGGGGGAGTGGATAAAACTCCAGCGGACCTGCAGATCAGGGAGCACGCTGTACCCAGTGGAGCTCCCATGCCTCTTCCTCAGACAGATTGTCTTAGTGATTGTGAATTGGGACTTTTTCGTAGCTTGTGAGGCATTTTGGTTTGCACACGCCTACCTGCTTTCCTTTTTGTATCCAGCATTAGGGCTGAGTATTGTATTTGAGTTCGTTTCTTGCCGATGTGAGCAGATCTTTTTATTTTTACTGGTAACTAACTCTAGGTTAGAGTCTCCCTGTGTTTTTTGGCAACCTGTTAAGTTTCCTTTAAGGCCTTTATTGCCTCTCTTTTTGTTGTTACTGCCAATTTTACTTTTGTTAATAAATAACTTGATTTGATCATTTAACATCTGGTCGGTTTTATGTAGCTTCCCTTCTCCCTTACACGAGCTGGTCGTAACATAAATGGGGGCTCGTCCGGGATACTAATCCGTTAAAGGAGACCCGGAAATCCGAAAAGTTTTTGTTATAAAGGTAAGATTATTGTGTGTGTGTGCTTAGGTAGGTAAAATGGCATTGTTCGATCTTGACAGCTTCTTGTTAAATCCGTCACTTGACCAAATTAATAAGTGCAGAAAGGATTTGGGGTGTTCGGGCTTCCTGAAGGTAATACCCGGGTATTAGGTTATGGGGCTAAGGTAAGGTTTAAGGTTTTTGGCGTTAGAGTTAAAATCAGTGTCCAAAACCTTTTTAGGAACATGTTTAAGACCTTTTGGAGTTGGTTACACCGAAAAAAAATGTAAAATGAAAAAAAATATATTTGGGGTGTTCGGGCTTCCTGAAGGTAATACCCGGGTATTAGGTTTTGGGGCTAGGGTAAGGTTTAAGGTTTTTGGTGTTAGGGTTAAAATCACTGTCCAAAACCTTTGTAGGAACTCTTTTCCGACCTTTTGGAGTTAGTTAGACCAAAAAAAAAAGAAAAAAGAAAAAAAAATATTTGGGGTGTTCGGGCTTCCTGAAGGTAATACCCGGGTATGAGGTTATGGGGCTAGGGTAAGGTTTAAGGTTTTTGGCGTTAGGGTTAAAATCACTGTCCAAAACCTTTTTAGGAACATGTTTCAGACCTTTTGGAGTTGGTAACACCAAAAAAAAATGTAAAATGAAAAAAATATATTTGGGGTGTTCGGGCTTCCTGAAGGTAATACCCTACAGGTTTAAGTATTAGGTTATGGGGCTAGGATTAGGTTTAAGGTTTTTGGCGTAAGGGTTAAAATCACTGTCCAAAACCTTTTTAGGAACATGTTTCAGACCTTTTGGAGCTAGTTTGACCAAAAAAAAAAAGATAAATGAAAAAAAAATATTTGGGGTGTTCGGGCTTCCTGAAGGTAATACCTTCATGTTTAAGTATTAGGTTATGGGGCTAGGATTAGGTTTAAGGTTTTTGGCGTAAGGGTTAAAATCACTGTCCAATATTTTTTAAGGAACATGTTTCAGACCTTTTGGAGTTAGTTTGACCAAAAAAAAAAGAAAAAAAAAAAAAAATATTTGGGGTGTTCGGGCTTCCTGAAGGTAATACCCGGGTATGAGGTTATGGGGCTAGGGTAAGGTTTAAGGTTTTTGGCGTTAGGGTTAAAATCACTGTCCAAAACCTTTTAGGAACATGTTTCAGACCTTTTGGAGTTGGTAACACCAAAAAAAAATGTAAAATGAAAAAAATATATTTGGGGTGTTCAAGCTTCCTGAAGGTAATACCCTTCAGGTTTAAGTATTAGGTTATGGGGCTAGGGTAAGGTTTAAGGTTTTTGGCGTTAGGGTTAAAATCACTGTCCAAAACCTTTTTAGGAACATGTTTAAGACCTTTTGGAGTTGGTTACACCAAAAAAAAATGTAAAATGAAAAAAAAAATATTTGGGGTGTTCGGGCTTCCTGAAGGTAATACCCGGGTATTAGGTAATGGGGCTAGGGTAAGGTTTAAGGTTTTTGGCGTGAGGGTTAAAATCACTGTCCAAAACCTTTGTAGGAAGTCTTTTCCAACCTTTTGGAGTTAGTTAGACAAAAAAAAAAAGATAAATGAAAAAAAAATATTTGGGGTGTTCGGGCTTCCTGAAGGTAATACCCGGGTATTAGGTTATGGGGCTAGGGTAAGTTTTAAGGTTTTTGGCGTTAGGGTTAAAATCACTGTCCAAAACCTTTTTAGGAACATGTTTAAGACCTTTTGGAGTTGGTTACACCAAAAAAAATGTAAAATGAAAAAAAAAAATATTTGGGGTGTTCGGGCTTCCTGAAGGTAATACCCGGGTATTAGGTAATGGGGCTAGGGTAAGGTTTAAGGTTTTTGGCGTGAGGGTTAAAATCACTGTCCAAAACCTTTGTAGGACCTCTTTTCCAACCTTTTGGTGTTAGTTAGACCAAAAAAAATGAAAAATGAAAAAAAAATATTTGGGGTGTTCGGGCTTCCTGAAGGTAATACCCGGGTATTAGGTTATGGGGCTAGGGTAAGGTTTAAGGTTTTTGGCGTTAGGGTTAAAATCACTGTCCAAAACCTTTTTAGGAACATGTTTCAGACCTTTTGGAGTTGGTTACACCAAAAAAAATGTAAAATGAAAAAAAAATATTTGGGGTGTTCAAGCTTCCTGAAGGTAATACCCGGGTATTAGGTTATGGGGCTATAGTAAGGTTTAAGGTTTTTGGCGTTAGGGTTAAAATCACTGTCCAAAACCTTTGTAGGAACTATTTTCCAACCTTTTGGAGTTAGTTAGACCAAATGTTTCGGGCCGCCGCCTTAGTGTGGCGAGTCTTGGGTCTTCCTCACTGTGTGTGTGTGTGTGTGTGTGTGTGTGTGCGTGTGTGAGAGTGCCTGTGTGTGCATGCTGCCTGCAGTTCACAGGTTGCCGTGGCTGCGGATCAATCAAGTGCCTGATCACCTCCACCTGGAAACTGCAAACACTGACTGGCTGAGGGCTTCTGCCACTTGAGAGGAGCCACTTGGGGGGAGTGGATAAAACTCCAGTAGACCTGCAGATCAGGGAGCACGCTGTACCCAGTGGAGCTCCCATGCCTCTTCCTCAGACAGATTGTCTTTGTGATTGTGAATTGGGATTTTTTCGTAGCTTGTGAGGCATTTTGGTTTGCACACGCCTACCTGCTTTCCTTTTTGTATCCAGCATTAGGGCTGAGTATTGTATTTGAGTTCGTTTCTTGCTGATGTGAGCAGATCTTTTTATTTTACTGGTAACTAACTCTAGGTTAGAGTCTCCCTGTGTTTTTTGGCAACCTGTTAAGTTTCCTTTAAGGCCTTTGTTGCCTCTCTTTTTGTTGTTACTGCCAATTTTACTTTTGTTAATAAATAACTTGATTTGATCATTTAACATCTGGTCGGTTTTATGTTGCTTCCCTTCTCCCTTACACGAGCTGGTCGTAACATAAATGGGGGCTCGTCCGGGATACTAATCCGTTAAAGGAGACCCGGAAATCCGAAAAGTTTTTGTTAATAAAGGTAAGATTATTGTGTGTGTGTGCTTAGGTAGGTAAAATGGCATCGTTCGATCTTGACAGCTTCTTGTTAAATCCGTCACTTGACCAAATTAATAAGTGCAGAAAGGATAATTTGGTCGAGATAGCTGTGCACTTCAATGTCCTGTTTGCCAAATCAATCCTGAAAAAAGAATTAAAATCTCTAGTCATAGGTAAGTTGGTGGAATTAGGTATAATTGTTTTGCCGGTGCTCCCTGAGTCACCTGTGTGCGCACCTGGCTCTGAGACTGCGGCTGATTACACTGCACAAAGGGAGTTCAGTAAAGTGTCTGCTCAGCCCAAAACTCCCTTTACCTTGCCTCGCTATGATCCTCCTTTCTCAGGCAGCACTGATTCTCTGGGTGAGGCCAGACTGAAAGTCAGGCTGGCACGAATCCAGATGGAGGCTCAGGAGAGAGCCGAGAACCGGCAAGCAAAGCTGAGGCTTGAGATCCGGAAAATGGAGATCGAGGCTGATAAAGCAGTCAGACTACGTCAGCTGGAGCTAGAAGCTCAGCTGAAAGCAACCCCGGCACTGGATGCATCTGCAGATGCAATAATGTCACCTCCTTCCACCAGCTCTACCCGAGAGTCCTTTGACATCGGTAAGCATATTTCTCTTGTTCCACCATTCAGAGACTCTGAAGTTGACAGTTATTTTCCGGCATTTGAGCGCATTGCGACTGCACTTCAGTGGCCTTATGAAGAGTGGCCACTACTTCTCCAATGTAAGATCCATGGTAAAGCACAAGAAGCTGTAGCTGCTCTACCTTTAGCGGAGAGCTTGAACTATGAAAAGGTAAAGATGTCTATTTCACGTGCCTATGAATTAGTCCCTGAAGCTTACAGGCAAAAATTTCGGAACCACACAAGGGGCCCTGAACAGACGTATGTGGAGTTCGCAAGGGAAAAGGGAACTCTTTTTGATAAATGGTGTAACGCTAGTAAAGCTGCTGATTTCAGTTCACTCCGTGAACTAATTCTTCTGGAAGAATTTAAGAAATGTCTACCAGAGCGCATTGTTGTGTACCTAAATGAACAGAAAGTTTCATCTCTCTCTGCAGCCTCTGTACTGGCTGATGAATTTGTGCTAACCCACAAACCTGTGTTTCTGTCTACTTACGAAAAGCCTCGTGCTCCGGCACCACAGAGTGGACAAGCCAGAGTGTTCCACAGAAGGGATGAAAAAAGCTGTAACTATTGTCATAAATCTGGACACCTCATTGCAAACTGTCCCTCCTTAAACAGGAAAAAACAGAATGGCAACGGATCGCCCCCTAAAGGCGTTGGGCTCATTAAATCTGAGAAACGTGTAGAATCTAATGCTGTTTCTTCTGTTTGCCCAGATCCATGTTTTGAGCCGTTCATATTCGACGGGTATGTATCTCTGACAGGTGAGACTGCTGATCAGTGCCCAGTACGCATTTTGAGGGACACCGGTGGCTCTCAATCTGTTATACTGGCTAGTGCATTGCCATTTTCGGAAAAGTCTTTTTGTGGTTATACTGTTGCCTTGCAAGGTATTGAGATGGGTTATGTCCCACAACCGGTGCATACAGTCCACATTAAGTCCTGGTTGATAAGTGGGGTTTTTCCTGTGGCTGTCATTCCCGCTCTGCCTATAAAAGGAGTAGTTCTCCTCATGTGCAACGACATCGCGGGTGGCCAGGTAACCCCTGCACTAGAGGTGTCTGACTCTCCGCAGAGCCCTGATATAGAAAATGAAACAGAAACTGCTCAGAAACTGTTTCCATCTTGTGCTGTAACTCGTGCGCAATCTCGTAAATTGGACGAATTCTCACTGTCGGATACTGTGCTAATGTCTGCTTTTTCAGATGTGGAAGTTGTGAAGGAGAAAGCTCCCACATCTCTGCTGTCAGAAAGTGCCGAGCCCGTGGGTTCTGCGAATCTGAGTTTGGCGCCGTCGGACAGTCCGACGCTGCCGGTGGGCAGTGAACGTCTCGCCGCTGCGCAGAGGGCTGACCCGACTCTGGCACGTTGCTTCAAAAGTGTGGTGAGTGCCGACAAAGCAAGTGGTGAAACAGTATCTTACCTAATGAATAAAGACATCCTGGTGCGTAAATGGACTCCTGCAGTGTCTGATTGCGAATATAGTGCTTTACAAGTTGTAGTGCCTTTTGTATACCGGCAGCATGTATTGTCAGTTGCCCACGAGAGCAAATGGTCAGGTCATTTGGGGGTGAATAAGACCTACAACCTCATCCTCAAGCATTTCTTCTGGCCTGGGTTAAAATCTGATGTAGCCAAATTCTGTCGCTCTTGTCATGTGTGTCAACTAGCGGGTAAACCAAACCAAACCATCCCACCTGCTCCACTCCATCCTATTCCTACCATAGGTGAGCCCTTTGAGCGTGTAATCTTAGACTGTGTAGGCCCATTGCCCCGCTCTAAAACAGGTAATCAGTACCTACTCACCATTATGTGTGCTGCCACCCGCTATCCGGAAGCCGTCCCGCTGCGTAAAATTACGTCCAGCTCTGTTGTCAAAGCCCTGACAAAGTTTTTCTCCACGTTTGGCCTCCCTCGTGTTATCCAGACCGATCAAGGTACAAACTTTCAGTCTCGGTTGTTCAAACAAGTCCTTAAAACGCTCAATGTCCAACACTCCGTGTCCAGCGCGTATCATCCTGAATCCCAGGGAGCGTTAGAACGTTGGCATCAGACATTAAAATCCATGCTGCGTAAATACTCCCTAGAGACAGGTAAAAGTTGGGATGAAGGGGTTCCTTTCGTGTTGTTCGCCGCTCGTGACGCTGTCCAGGCATCCTTAGGGTTTAGCCCCGCAGAGCTCGTATTTGGCCACACACTCCGCGGTCCGCTTAAATCTCTGCAAGAAAAATTCCTGTCCTCTGAAGTCTCACGTGAAGAGAACGTACTTGATTTTATGAGTAAATTCCGCGAGCGTTTACACCGTGCAAACTCGCTCGCTAAAGAGTGTCTTTTGTCCTCCCAGACTGTGATGAAGCGTCGTTATGACCGATCTGCCGTCCCACGCCGATTTGATGTTGGTGACAAAGTGCTGGCCTTGCTGCCGATCCCTGGTTCTTCTCTCTCTGCTAAATTTACCGGTCCCTATGAGGTCCGTGAATGCCTCAGTGACCTCAACTATGTTATTGCTACACCGGAGAGAAGGCGTAAAAGTCGTGTTTGTCACATAAACATGCTCAAACCTTACGTCACACGCGAACCGAACCCAGCTGTCGCTCCACCAGTGGTTCCCCCAAAAGCTAATACTATCGCTGTCAATGCTCTGATTGTCACTGAGTCTCCTACCATTGCTGATGAGGATGATTTACAGACGTGTACCTCATCGCATCAAACCGCGCGACTGCCGAATTCGGAGTCACTGAAAACATTGTCGTCCCAGCTAAGTCATTTGACCCGCGCGCAACAAAGTGACCTAATTGCTTTGATCGATAATTTTAAGTGTCTTTTCGGCGACGTTCCAACTCGCACTACTGTTCTGCAACATGACATAGATGTCAACGGAGCAAAGCCCATCCGACAGCATCCATACAGACTCAACCCCGTGAAGCGCCAGCTCATGAAAAAAGAAACAGATTATTTGTTAAAACACGGTTTGGCTGTGCCAAGCTCCAGCGCTTGGAGCTCTCCATGTTTGTTGGAGAAAAAATCAGACGGTACCCCTCGTTTTATCACAGATCTGCGAAAGGTAAATTCAGTAACTGTCAAAGACTCGTATCCTCTTCCTAGAATGGAAGATTGTGTCGACACGCTTGGCAGCGCTAAGTACGTCAGCAAGCTGGACCTATTGAAAGGGTACTGGCAAGTCCCGTTAACGGAGCGCGCATCTGAGATCTCCGCGTTTGTGACTCCTGACTGTTTCTTGCAGTACACCGTCATGGCGTTTGGCATGTGTAACGCCCCGGCCACCTTCCAGCGGCTCGTTAATACCGTCTTGGCCGGGCTGCCAAACTGTAACGCGTACTTGGATGACTTAATTGTTTACACAGTGACGTGGCAGGAGCACCTCCGCATCCTCGAACAGGTGTTCACTCGTCTTGCGCACGCGACCCTAACGCTAAATCTCGCCAAGTGTGATTTCGGTAAGGCCACCGTCACCTATTTAGGACGACAGGTTGGGCAGGGTCAAGTTAAGCCTCTCGACGCCAAGGTAACTGCCATAGCCGAGTTTCCGGTCCCAACCACCCGCAAGGCGCTCCGTCGTTTTCTGGGCATAGCGGGTTACTACCGTAGCTTCTGCCGCAACTTCTCCTCCGTTGTTCAGCCGTTGACTTCTCTAACTAATCCCAAAGTCGAATTTGATTGGTCCCCTGCCTGTCAGCATGCGTTTGACAGCGCAAAGTCCCTCCTTAGCCACGCCCCTGTCCTTGCAGCTCCTGACTTCTCCCAGCCGTTCAAACTTGAGGTAGATGCCTCTGCAGTAGGTGTCGGGGCTGTCCTGTTGCAGGAGGATAGTGATGGAGTTGACCATCCAGTAGGATATTTTTCCCGCAAATTTAACAAGCATCAGGTGAACTACTCAATCATAGAAAAAGAAACCCTTGCTTTGTTATGGTCACTTCAACACTTTGAAGTATACGTAGGTTCCAGCCCTCTGCCAGTGGTGGTCTTCACTGACCACAACCCACTCGTCTTTCTGCATCGTATGTATAACCACAACCAAAGGCTTATGCGGTGGGCACTGGTCATGCAGGATTACAATGTGGAGATCCAGCACAAAAAGGGGTCTGACAATGTTGTAGCAGATGCGTTGTCCAGAATGTAATGTTGACTTTGTTAACCCTTGTGGTTGTTTTGTTTATGACAAACCTCATTAGGAGGGTTTGCCTCTAAAGGGGAGGGGTGTTACGGCCGCCGCCTTAGTGTGGCGAGTCTTGGGTCTTCCTCTCTCTGTGTGTGTGTGCGTGTGCGTGTGTGAGAGTGCCTGTGTGTGCATGCTGCCTGCAGTTCACAGGTTGCCGTGGCTGCGGATCAATCAAGTGCCTGATCACCTCCACCTGGAAACTGCAAACACTGACTGGCTGAGGGCTTCTGCCACTTGAGAGGAGCCACTTGGGGGGAGTGGATAAAACTCCAGCGGACCTGCAGATCAGGGAGCACGCTGTACCCAGTGGAGCTCCCATGCCTCTTCCTCAGACAGATTGTCTTAGTGATTGTGAATTGGGACTTTTTCGTAGCTTGTGAGGCATTTTGGTTTGCACACGCCTACCTGCTTTCCTTTTTGTATCCAGCATTAGGGCTGAGTATTGTATTTGAGTTCGTTTCTTGCCGATGTGAGCAGATCTTTTTATTTTTACTGGTAACTAACTCTAGGTTAGAGTCTCCCTGTGTTTTTTGGCAACCTGTTAAGTTTCCTTTAAGGCCTTTATTGCCTCTCTTTTTGTTGTTACTGCCAATTTTACTTTTGTTAATAAATAACTTGATTTGATCATTTAACATCTGGTCGGTTTTATGTAGCTTCCCTTCTCCCTTACACGAGCTGGTCGTAACATAAATGGGGGCTCGTCCGGGATACTAATCCGTTAAAGGAGACCCGGAAATCCGAAAAGTTTTTGTTATAAAGGTAAGATTATTGTGTGTGTGTGCTTAGGTAGGTAAAATGGCATTGTTCGATCTTGACAGCTTCTTGTTAAATCCGTCACTTGACCAAATTAATAAGTGCAGAAAGGATTTGGGGTGTTCGGGCTTCCTGAAGGTAATACCCGGGTATTAGGTTATGGGGCTAAGGTAAGGTTTAAGGTTTTTGGCGTTAGAGTTAAAATCAGTGTCCAAAACCTTTTTAGGAACATGTTTAAGACCTTTTGGAGTTGGTTACACCGAAAAAAAATGTAAAATGAAAAAAAATATATTTGGGGTGTTCGGGCTTCCTGAAGGTAATACCCGGGTATTAGGTTTTGGGGCTAGGGTAAGGTTTAAGGTTTTTGGTGTTAGGGTTAAAATCACTGTCCAAAACCTTTGTAGGAACTCTTTTCCGACCTTTTGGAGTTAGTTAGACCAAAAAAAAAAGAAAAAAGAAAAAAAAATATTTGGGGTGTTCGGGCTTCCTGAAGGTAATACCCGGGTATGAGGTTATGGGGCTAGGGTAAGGTTTAAGGTTTTTGGCGTTAGGGTTAAAATCACTGTCCAAAACCTTTTTAGGAACATGTTTCAGACCTTTTGGAGTTGGTAACACCAAAAAAAAATGTAAAATGAAAAAAATATATTTGGGGTGTTCAAGCTTCCTGAAGGTAATACCCTTCAGGTTTAAGTATTAGGTTATGGGGCTAGGATTAGGTTTAAGGTTTTTGGCGTAAGGGTTAAAATCACTGTCCAATATTTTTTAAGGAACATGTTTCAGACCTTTTGGAGCTAGTTTGACCAAAAAAAAAAAAGAAAAAAAAAATATTTGGGGTGTTCGGGCTTCCTGAAGGTAATACCCGGGTATTAGGTTATGGGGCTAGGGTAAGGTTTAAGGTTTTTGGCGTAAGGGTTAAAATCACTGTCCAATATTTTTTAAGGAACATGTTTCAGACCTTTTGGAGCTAGTTTGACCAAAAAAAAAAAAGAAAAAGAAAAAATATATATTTGGGGTGTTCGGGCTTCCTGAAGGTAATACCCGGGTATTAGGTTATGGGGCTAGGGTAAGGTTTAAGGTTTTTGGCGTGAGGGTTAAAATCACTGTCCAAAACCTTTGTAGGAAGTCTTTTCCAACCTTTTGGAGTTAGTTAGACAAAAAAAAAAAAAGATAAATGAAAAAAAAATATTTGGGGTGTTCGGGCTTCCTGAAGGTAATACCCGGGTATTAGGTTATGGGGCTAGGGTAAGGTTTAAGGTTTTTGGCATTAGGGTTAAAATCACTGTCCAAAACCTTTTTAGGAACATGTTTCAGACCTTTTGGAGTTGGTTACACCAAAAAAAATGTAAAATGAAAAAAAAATATATTTGGGGTGTTCGGGCTTCCTGAAGGTAATACCCGGGTATTAGGTTATGGGGCTAGGGTAAGGTTTAAGGTTTTTGGCGTGAGGGTTAAAATCACTGTCCAAAACCTTTGTAGGACCTCTTTTCCAACCTTTTGGTGTTAGTTAGACCAAAAAAAAACGAAAAATGAAAAAAAAATATTTGGGGTGTTCGGGCTTCCTGAAGGTAATACCCGGGTATTAGGTTATGGGGCTAGGGAAAGGTTTAAGGTTTTTGGCGTGAGGGTTAAAATCACTGTCCAAAACCTTTGTAGGAAGTCTTTTCCAACCTTTTGGAGTTAGTTAGACCAATAAAAAAATGAAAAATGAAAAAAAAAAAATTTGGGGTGTTCGGGCTTCCTGAAGGTAATACCCGGGTATTAGGTTTTGGGGCTAGGGTAAGGTTTAAGGTTTTTGACGTTAGGGTTAAAATCACTGTCCAAAACCTTTTTAGGAACATGTTTAAGACCTTTTGGAGTTGGTTACACCAAAAAAAAAATGTAAAATGAAAAAAAAATATATTTGGGGTGTTCGGGCTTCCTGAAGGTAATACCCGGGTATTAGGTTATGGGGCTAGGGTAAGGTTTAAGGTTTTTGGCGTAAGGGTTAAAATCACTGTCCAAAACCTTTGTAGGAAGTCTTTTCCAACCTTTTGGAGTTAGTTAGACAAAAAAAAAAAGATAAATGAAAAAAAAAATATTTGGGGTGTTCGGGCTTCCTGAAGGTAATACCCGGGTATTAGGTTTTGGGGCTAGGGTAAGGTTTAAGGTTTTTGGCGTTAGGGTTAAAATAACTGTCCAATATTTTTTAAGGAACATGTTTCAGACCTTTGGGAGTTAGTTAGACAAAAAAAAAAAGAAAAAGAAAAAAAAAATATTTGGGGTGTTCGGGCTTCCTGAAGGTAATACCCGGGTATTAGGTTATGGGGCTAGGGTAAGGTTTAAGGTTTTTGGCGTTAGGGTTAAAATCACTGTCCAAAACCTTTTTAGGAACATGTTTAACACCTTTTGGAGTTGGTTACACCAAAAAAAAATGTAAAATGCAAAAACAAAATATTTGGGGTTTTTGGGCTTCCTGAAGGTAATACCCCGGTATTAGGTTTTGGGGCTAGGGTTAGGTTTAAGGTATTTGGCGTTAGAGTCAAAATCACTGTCCAAAACCTTTTTAGGAACATGTTTCAGACCTTTTGGAGTTGGTTACACCAAAAAAAATTAAAATGAAAAAAAATTTTTTTGGGGTGTTCGGGCTTCCTGACGGTAATACTAGGTTTCTGGGCTAGGGTAATGTTTAAGGTTTTTGGCGTTAGGGTTAAAATCAATGTCCAAAACCTTTGTAGGAACTCTTTTCCAACCTTTGAGAGCAAGTTAGACCAAAACAAAAAGAAAAAAAAATATATATATTTGGGGTGTTCGGGCTTCCTGAAGGTAATACCCGGGTATTAGGTTATGGGGCTAGGGTAAGGTTTAAGGTTTTTGGCGTTAGGGTTAAAATCAGTGTCCAAAAACTTTTTAGGAACATGTTTAAGACCTTTTGGAGTTGGTTACACCAAAAAAAAATGTAAAATGAAAAAAAAAAAATTGGGGTGTTCGGGCTTCCTGAAGGTAATACCCGGGTATGAGGTTATGGGGCTAGGGTAAGGTTTAAGGTTTTTGGCGTTAGGGTTAAAATCACTGTCCAAAACCTTTTTAGGAACATGTTTCAGACCTTTTGGAGTTGGTAACACCAAAAATAAATGTAAAATGAAAAAAAATATATTTTGGGTGTTCGGGCTTCCTGAAGGTAATACCCTTCAGGTTTAAGTATTAGGTTATGGGGCTAGGGTAAGGTTTAAGGTTTTTGGCGTTAGGGTTAAAATCACTGTCCAATATTTTTTAAGGAACATGTTTCAGACCTTTTGGAGCTAGTTTGACCAAAAAAAAAAAGAAAAAGAAAAAATATATATTTGGGGTGTTCGGGCTTCCTGAAGGTAATACCCGGGTATTAGGTTATGGGGCTAGGGTAAGGTTTAAGGTTTTTGGCGTTAGGGTTAAAATCAGTGTCCAAAACCTTTTTAGGAACATGTTTAAGACCTTTTGGAGTTGGTTACACCAAAAAAAAATGTAAAATGCAAAAACAAAATATTTGGGGTTTTTGGGCTTCCTGAAGGTAATACCCCGGTATTAGGTTTTGGGGCTAGGGTTAGGTTTAAGGTATTTGGCGTTAGAGTCAAAATCACTGTCCAAAACCTTTTTAGGAACATGTTTCAGACCTTTTGGAGTTGGTTACACCAAAAAAATTTAAAATGAAAAAAAATTTTTTTTGGGTGTTCGGGCTTCCTGACGGTAATACTAGGTTTCTGGGCTAGGGTAATGTTTAAGGTTTTTGGCGTTAGGGTTAAAATCACTGTCCAAAACCTTTGTAGGAAGTCTTTTCCAACCTTTTGGAGTTAGTTAGACAAAAAAAAAAGATAAATGAAAAAAAAATATTTGGGGTGTTCGGGCTTCCTGAAGGTAATACCTGGGTATTAGGTTTTGGGGCTAGGGTAAGGTTTAAGGTTTTTGGCGTTAGGGTTAAAATAACTGTCCAATATTTTTTAAGGAACATGTTTCAGACCTTTGGGAGTTAGTTAGACAAAAAAATAAGAAAAAGAAAAAAAAAATATTTGGGGTGTTCGGGTTTCCTGAAGGTAATACCCGGGTATTAGGTTATGGGGCTAGGGTAAGGTTTAAGGTTTTTGGCGTTAGGGTTAAAATCACTGTCCAAAACCTTTTTAGGAACATGTTTAAGACCTTTTGGAGTTGGTTACACCAAAAAAAATGTAAAATGCAAAAACAAAATATTTGGGGTGTTCGGGCTTCCTGAAGGTAATACCCCGGTATTAGGTTTTGGGGCTAGGGTTAGGTTTAAGGTATTTGGCGTTAGAGTCAAAATCACTGTCCAAAACCTTTTTAGGAACATGTTTCAGACCTTTTGGAGTTGGTTACACCAAAAAAATTTAAAATGAAAAAAAATATATATTTGGGGTGTTCGGGCTTCCTGACGGTAATACTAGGTTTCTGGGCTAGGGTAATGTTTAAGGTTTTTGGCGTTAGGGTTAAAATCAATGTCCAAAACCTTTGTAGGAACTCTTTTCCAACCTTTGAGAGCAAGTTAGACCAAAACAAAAAGAAAAAAATATATATATATTTGGGGTGTTCGGGCTTCCTGAAGGTAATACCCGGGTATTAGGTTATGGGGCTAGGGTAAGGTTTAAGGTTTTTGGCGTTAGAGTTAAAATCAGTGTCCAAAACCTTTTTAGGAACATGTTTAAGACCTTTTGGAGTTGGTTACACCAAAAAAAAATGTAAAATGAAAAAAAAAAAATTGGGGTGTTCGGGCTTCCTGAAGGTAATACCCGGGTATGAGGTTATGGGGCTAGGGTAAGGTTTAAGGTTTTTGGCGTTAGGGTTAAAATCACTGTCCAAAACCTTTTTAGGAACATGTTTCAGACCTTTTGGAGTTGGTAACACCAAAAAAAAATGTAAAATGAAAAAAAAAAATATTTGGGGTGTTCGGGCTTCCTGAAGGTAATACCCTTCAGGTTTAAGTATTAGGTTATGGGGCTAGGATTAGGTTTAAGGTTTTTGGCATGAGGGTTAAAATCACTGTCCAAAACCTTTTTTAAGGAACATGTTTCAGACCTTTTGGAGCTAGTTTGACCAAAAAAAAAAAAAGAAAAAGAAAAAATATATATTTGGGGTGTTCGGGCTTCCTGAAGGTAATACCCGGGTATTAGGTTATGGGGCTAGGGTAAGGTTTAAGGTTTTTGGCGTTAGAGTTAAAATCAGTGTCCAAAACCTTTTTAGGAACATGTTTAAGACCTTTTGGAGTTGGTTACACCAAAAAAAAATGTAAAATGAAAAAAAAATATTTGGGGTGTTCGGGCTTCCTGAAGGTAATACCCCGGTATTAGGTTTGGGGCTAGGGTTAGGTTTAAGGTTTTTGGCGTTAGAGTTAAAATCACTGTCCAAAACCTTTTTAGGAACATGTTTCAGACCTTTTGGAGTTGGTTACACCAAAAAAAATTTAAAATGAAAAAAATTTTTTTTTGGGGTGTTCGGGCTTCCTGAAGGTAATACCCGGGTATTAGGTTATGGGGCTAGGGTAAGGTTTAAGGTTTTTGGCGTTAGGGTTAAAATCAATGTCCAAAACCTTTGTAGGAACTCTTTTCCAACCTTTGAGAGCAAGTTAGACCAAAACAAAAAGAAAAAAAAAAAAAAATATTTGGGGTGTTCGGGCTTCCTGAAGGTAATACCCGGGTATTAGGTTTTGGGGCTAGGGTTAGGTTTAAGGTTTTTGGCGTTAGGGTTAAAATAACTGTCCAATATTTTTTAAGGAACATGTTTCAGACCTTTGGGAGTTAGTTAGACAAAAAAATAAGAAAAAGAAAAAAAAAATATTTGGGGTGTTCGGGTTTCCTGAAGGTAATACCCGGGTATTAGGTTATGGGGCTAGGGTAAGGTTTAAGGTTTTTGGCGTTAGAGTTAAAATCAGTGTCCAAAACCTTTTTAGGAACATGTTTAAGACCTTTTTGAGTTGGTTACACCAAAAAAAAATGTAAAATGCAAAGGTAATACCCGGGTATTAGGTTTTGGGGTTTTTTAAAATCACTGTCCAAAACCTTTTAGGAACTTTTCAGACCTTTTGGAGTTGTTAACCAAAAAAAAGAAAAGAAAAAAATATTTGGGGTGTTCGGCTTCCTGAAGGTAATACCCGGGTATTAGGTTAAGGGTTAAAATCACTGTCCAAAACCTTTTAGGAACTTTTCGACCTTTTGGAGTTGTTATATTTGGGGTGTTCGGCTTCCTGAAGGTAATACCCGGGTATTAGGTTTGGGGCTAGGGTAAGGTTAAAGGTTTTTGGAGTTAGAGTTAAAATCAGTGTCCAAAACCTTTTTAGGAACATGTTTAAGACCTTTTGGAGTTGGTTACACCAAAAAAAAAAAGTAAAATAAAAAAAAAAGAATTGGGGTGTTCGGGCTTCCTGAAGGTAATACCCGGGTATTAGGTAATGGGGCTAGGGTAAGGTTTAAGGTTTTTGGCGTTAGGGTTAAAATCACTGTCCAAAACCTTTTTAGGAACATGTTTAAGACCTTTTGGAGTTGGTTACACCAAAAAAAAATGTAAAATGAAAAAAAAAAATTTGGGGTGTTCGGGCTTCCTGAAGGTAATACCCGGGTATTAGGTAATGGGGCTAGGGTAAGGTTTAAGGTTTTTGGCGTGAGGGTTAAAATCACTGTCCAAAACCTTTGTAGGACCTCTTTTCCAACCTTTTGGTGTTAGTTAGACCAAAAAAAAATGAAAAATGAAAAAAAAATATTTGGGGTGTTCGGGCTTCCTGAAGGTAATACCCGGGTATTAGGTTATGGGGCTAGGGTAAGGTTTAAGGTTTTTGGCGTGAGGGTTAAAATCACTGTCCAAAACCTTTGTAGGAAGTCTTTTCCAACCTTTTGGAGTTAGTTAGACAAAAAAAAAAAAAGATAAATGAAAAAAAAATATTTGGGGTGTTCGGGCTTCCTGAAGGTAATACCCGGGTATTAGGTTATGGGGCTAGGGTAAGTTTTAAGGTTTTTGGCGTTAGGGTTAAAATCACTGTCCAAAACCTTTTTAGGAACATGTTTAAGACCTTTTGGAGTTGGTTACACCAAAAAAAAAAGTAAAATGAAAAAAATTTATATTTGGGGTGTTCGGGCTTCCTGAAGGTAATACCCGGGGGTATTAGGTAATGGGGCTAGGGTAAGGTTTAAGGTTTTTGGCGTGAGGGTTAAAATCACTGTCCAAAACCTTTGTAGGACCTCTTTTCCAACCTTTTGGTGTTAGTCAGACCAAAAAAAAACGAAAAATGAAAAAAAAATATTTGGGGTTTTTCGGCTTCCTGAAGGTAATACCCGGGTATTAGGTTATGGGGCTTTGGAAAGGTTTAAGGTTTTTGGCGTGAGGGTTAAAATCACTGTCCAAAACCTTTGTAGGAAGTCTTTTCCAACCTTTTGGAGTTAGTTAGACCAAAAAAAAATGAAAAATGAAAAAAAAAAATTTGGGGTGTTCGGGCTTCCTGAAGGTATTAGGTTTTGGGGCTAGGGTAAGGTTTAAGGTTTTTGGCGTTAGGGTTAAAATCACTGTCCAAAACCTTTTTAGGAACATGTTTCAGACCTTTTGGAGTTGGTTACACCAAAAAAAATGTAAAATGAAAAAAAATATATTTGGGGTGTTCGGGCTTCCTGAAGGTAATACCCGGGTATTAGGTAATGGGGCTAGGGTAAGGTTTAAGGTTTTTGGCGTGAGGGTTAAAATCACTGTCCAAAACCTTTGTAGGAAGTCTTTTCCAACCTTTTGGAGTTAGTTAGACAAAAAAAAAAAAAAAGATAAATGAAAAAAAAATATTTGGGGTGTTCGGGCTTCCTGAAGGTAATACCCGGGTATTAGGTTATGGGGCTAGGGTAAGGTTTAAGGTTTTTGGCGTTAGAGTTAAAATCAGTGTCCAAAACCTTTTTAGGAACATGTTTAAGACCTTTTGGAGTTGGTTACACCAAAAAAAAAAAGTAAAATGAAAAAAAAAAAATTGGGGTGTTCGGGCTTCCTGAAGGTAATACCCGGGTATTAGGTTTTGGGGATAGGGTAAGGTTTAAGGTTTTTGGTGTAGGGTTAAAATCACTGTCCAAAACCTTTTAAGGAACAAGATTCAGACCTTTTGGAGTTGGTTACACCAAAAAAAATGTAAAATGAAAAAAATATATATTTGGGGTGTTCGGGCTTCCTGAAGGTAATACCCGGGTATTAGGTAATGGGGCTAGGGTAAGGTTTAAGGTTTTTGGCGTGAGGGTTAAAATCACTGTCCAAAACCTTTGTAGGAAGTCTTTTCCAACCTTTTGGAGTTAGTTAGACAAAAAAAAAAAAAAGATAAATGAAAAAAAAATATTTGGGGTGTTCGGGCTTCCTGAAGGTAATACCCGGGTATTAGGTTATGGGGCTAGGGTAAGGTTTAAGGTTTTTGGCGTTAGGGTTAAAATCACTGTCCAAAACCTTTGTAGGAACTCTTTTCTGACCTTTTGGAGTTAGTTTGACCAAAAAAAAAAAGAAAAAGAAAAAATATATATTTGGGGTGTTCAGGCTTCCTGAAGGTAATACTAGGTTTCTGGGCTAGGGTAATGTTTAAGGTTTTTGGGTAGGGTTAAAATCACTGTCCAAAACCTTTGTAGGAACTTTTCAACCTTTGGAGTTGTTAACCAAAAAAAAGAAAAGAAAAAAAATTGGGGTGTTCGGGCTTCCTGAAGGTAATACCCGGGTATGAGGTTATGGGGCTAGGGTAAGGTTTAAGGTTTTTGGCGTTAGGGTTAAAATCACTGTCCAAAACCTTTTTAGGAACATGTTTCAGACCTTTTGGAGTTGGTAACACCAAAAATAAATGTAAAATGAAAAAAAAATATTTGGGGTGTTCGGGTTCCCTGAAGGTAATACCCGGGTATTAGGTTATGGGGCTAGGGAAAGGTTTAAGGTTTTTGGCGTGAGGGTTAAAATCACTGTCCAAAACCTTTGTAGGAAGTCTTTTCCAACCTTTTGGAGTTAGTTAGACCAATAAAAAAATGAAAAATGAAAAAAAAAAATTTGGGGTGTTCGGGCTTCCTGAAGGTATTAGGTTTTGGGGCTAGGGTAAGGTTTAAGGTTTTTGGCGTTAGGGTTAAAATCACTGTCCAAAACCTTTTTAGGAACATGTTTAAGACCTTTTGGAGTTGGTTACACCAAAAAAAAAAATGTAAAATGAAAAAAATATATATTTGGGGTGTTCGGGCTTCCTGAAGGTAATACCCGGGTATTAGGTAATGGGGCTAGGGTAAGGTTTAAGGTTTTTGGCGTGAGGGTTAAAATCACTGTCCAAAACCTTTGTAGGAACTCTTTTCTGACCTTTTGGAGTTAGTTAGACCAAAAAAAATGTAAAATGAAAAAAATATAATTGGGGTGTTCAGGCTTCCTGAAGGTAATACCCGGGTATGAGGTTATGGGGCTAGGGTAAGGTTTAAGGTTTTTGGCGTTAGGGTTAAAATCACTGTCCAAAACCTTTTTAGGAACATGTTTCAGACCTTTTGGAGTTGGTAACACCAAAAATAAATGTAAAATGAAAAAAAAATATTTGGGGTGTTCGGGTTCCCTGAAGGTAATACCCGGGTATTAGGTTATGGGGCTAGGGTAAGGTTTAAGGTTTTCCGGCGTGAGGGTAAAAATCACTGTCCAAAACCTTTGTAGGAAGTCTTTTCCAACCTTTTGGAGTTAGTAAGACCAATAAAAAAATGAAAAATGGAAAAAAAAATATTTGGGGTGTTCGGGCTTCCTGAAGGTAATACCCGGGTATTAGGTTATGGGGCTAGGGTAAGGTTAAAGGTTTTTGGAGTTAGAGTTAAAATCAGTGTCCAAAACCTTTTTAGGAACATGTTTAAGACCTTTTGGAGTTGGTTACACCAAAAAAAAAAAGTAAAATGAAAAAAAAAAAATTGGGGTGTTCGGGCTTCCTGAAGGTAATACCCGGGTATTAGGTTTTGGGGATAGGGTAAGGTTTAAGGTTTTTGGTGTAAGGCGTAAAATCACTGTCCAAAACCTTTTAAGGAACAAGATTCAGACCTTTTGGAGTTGGTTACACCAAAAAAAAATGTAAAATGAAAAAAATATATATTTGGGGTGTTCGGGCTTCCTGAAGGTAATACCCGGGTATTAGGTAATGGGGCTAGGGTAAGGTTTAAGGTTTTTGGCGTGAGGGTTAAAATCACTGTCCAAAACCTTTGTAGGAAGTCTTTTCCAACCTTTTGGAGTTAGTTAGACAAAAAAAAAAAGATGAATGAAAAAAAAATATTTGGGGTGTTCGGGCTTCCTGAAGGTAATACCCGGGTATTAGGTTATGGGGCTTTGGAAAGGTTTAAGGTTTTTGGCGTGAGGGTTAAAATCACTGTCCAAAACCTTTGTAGGAAGTCTTTTCCAACCTTTTGGAGTTAGTTAGACCAATAAAAAAATGAAAAATGAAAAAAAAATATTTGGGGTGTTCGGGCTTCCTGAAGGTAATACCCGGGTATTAGGTTATGGGGCTAGGGTAAGGTTTAAGGTTTTTGGCGTTAGGGTTAAAATCACTGTCCAAAACCTTTTTAGGAACATGTTTAAGACCTTTTGGAGTTGGTTACACCAAAAAAAAATGTAAAATGAAAAAAATATATATTTGGGGTGTTCGGGCTTCCTGAAGGTAATACCCGGGTATTAGGTAATGGGGCTAGGGTAAGGTTTAAGGTTTTTGGCGTGAGGGTTAAAATCACTGTCCAAAACCTTTGTAGGAAGTCTTTTCCAACCTTTTGGAGTTAGTTAGACAAAAAAGGAAAGATAAATGAAAAAAAAATATTTGGGGTGTTCGGGCTTCCTGAAGGTAATACCCGGGTATTAGGTTATGGGGCTAGGGTAAGGTTAAAGGTTTTTGGAGTTAGAGTTAAAATCAGTGTCCAAAACCTTTTTAGGAACATGTTTAAGACCTTTTGGAGTTGGTTACACCAAAAAAAAAATGTAAAATGAAAAAAAAAAAATTGGGGTGTTCGGGCTTCCTGAAGGTAATACCCGGGTATTAGGTTTTGGGGCTAGGGTAAGGTTTAAGGTTTTTGGTGTAAGGGTTAAAATCACTGTCCAAAACCTTTTAAGGAACAAGATTCAGACCTTTTGGAGTTGGTTACACCAAAAAAAATGTAAAATGAAAAAAATATATATTTGGGGTGTTCGGGCTTCCTGAAGGTAATACCCGGGTATTAGGTAATGGGGCTAGGGTAAGGTTTAAGGTTTTTGGCGTGAGGGTTAAAATCACTGTCCAAAACCTTTGTAGGAAGTCTTTTCCAACCTTTTGGAGTTAGTTAGACAAAAAAAAAAAAAAGAAAAAATATAATTGGGGTGTTCGGGCTTCCTGAAGGTAATACCCGGGTATGGGGTTATGGGGCTAGGGTAAGGTTTAAGGTTTTTGGCGTTAGGGTTAAAATCACTGTCCAAAACCTTTTTAGGAACATGTTTCAGACCTTTTGGAGTTGGTTAACACCAAAAATAAATGTAAAATGAAAAAAAAATATTTGGGGTGTTCGGGCTTCCTGAAGGTAATACCCGGGTATTAGGTTATGGGGCTAGGTTAAGGTTTAAGGTTTTTGGCATGAGGGTTAAAATCAATGTCCAAAACCTTTGTAGGAAGTCTTTTCCAACCTTTTGGAGTTAGTTAGACAAAAAAAAAAAGATGAATGAAAAAAAAATATTTGGGGTGTTCGGGCTTCCTGAAGGTAATACCCGGGTATTAGGTTATGGGGCTTTGGAAAGGTTTAAGGTTTTTGGCGTGAGGGTTAAAATCACTGTCCAAAACCTTTGTAGGAAGTCTTTTCCAACCTTTTGGAGTTAGTTAGACCAAAAAAAAAATGAAAAATGAAAAAAAAAAATTTGGGGTGTTCGGGCTTCCTGAAGGTATTAGGTTTTGGGGCTAGGGTAAGGTTTAAGGTTTTTGGCGTTAGGGTTAAAATCACTGTCCAAAACCTTTTTAGGAACATGTTTAAGACCTTTTGGAGTTGGTTAGACAAAAAAAAAATGTAAAATGAAAAAAATATATATTTGGGGTGTTCGGGCTTCCTGAAGGTAATACCCGGGTATTAGGTAATGGGGCTAGGGTAAGGTTTAAGGTTTTTGGCGTGAGGGTTAAAATCACTGTCCAAAACCTTTGTAGGAAGTCTTTTCCAACCTTTTGGAGTTAGTTAGACAAAAAAAAAAAAGATAAATGAAAAAAAAATATTTGGGGTGTTCGGGCTTCCTGAAGGTAATACCCGGGTATTAGGTTATGGGGCTAGGGTAAGGTTTAAGGTTTTTGGCGTTAGAGTTAAAATCAGTGTCCAAAACCTTTTTAGGAACATGTTTAAGACCTTTTGGAGTTGGTTACACCAAAAAAAAAATGTAAAATGAAAAAAAAAAAATTGGGGTGTTCGGGCTTCCTGAAGGTAATACCCGGGTATTAGGTTTTGGGGCTAGGGTAAGGTTTAAGGTTTTTGGCGTGAGGGTTAAAATCACTGTCCAAAACCTTTGTAGGAAGTCTTTTCCAACCTTTTGGAGTTAGTTAGACAAAAAAAAAAGATAAATGAAAAAAAAATATTTGGGGTGTTCGGGCTTCCTGAAGGTAATACCCGGGTATTAGGTTATGGGGCTAGGGTAAGGTTAAAGGTTTTTGGAGTTAGAGTTAAAATCAGTGTCCAAAACCTTTTTAGGAACATGTTTAAGACCTTTTGGAGTTGGTTACACCAAAAAAAAAAAAGTAAAATGAAAAAAAAAAAATTGGGGTGTTCGGGCTTCCTGAAGGTAATACCCGGGTATTAGGTTTTGGGGCTAGGGTAAGGTTTAAGGTTTTTGGCGTTAGGGTTAAAATCACTGTCCAAAACCTTTTAAGGAACAAGATTCAGACCTTTTGGAGTTGGTTACACCAAAAAAAATGTAAAATGAAAAAAATATATATTTGGGGTGTTCGGGCTTCCTGAAGGTAATACCCGGGTATTAGGTAATGGGGCTAGGGTAAGGTTTAAGGTTTTTGGCGTGAGGGTTAAAATCACTGTCCAAAACCTTTGTAGGAACAATTTTCAAACCTTTTGGAGTTAGTTAGACAAAAAAAAAAAAGAAAAAAGAAAAAAATATAATTGGGGTGTTCGGGCTTCCTGAAGGTAATACCCGGGTATTAGGTTATGGGGCTAGGGTAAGGTTTAAGGTTTTTGGCGTTAGGGTTAAAATCACTGTCCAAAACCTTTTTAGGAACATGTTTCAGACCTTTTGGAGTTGGTAACACCAAAAATAAATGTAAAATGAAAAAAAAATATTTGGGGTGTTCGGGCTTCCTGAAGGTAATACCCGGGTATTAGGTTATGGGGCTAGGTAAAGGTTTAAGGTTTTTGGCATGAGGGTTAAAATCAATGTCCAAAACCTTTGTAGGAAGTCTTTTCCAACCTTTTGGAGTTAGTTAGACAAAAAAAAAAAAATGAATGAAAAAAAAATATTTGGGGTGTTCGGGCTTCCTGAAGGTAATACCCGGGTATTAGGTTATCGGGCTTTGGAAAGGTTTAAGGTTTTTGGCGTGAGGGTTAAAATCACTGTCCAAAACCTTTGTAGGAAGTCTTTTCCAACCTTTTGGAGTTAGTTAGACCAATAAAAAAATGAAAAATGAAAAAAAAAAATTTGGGGTGTTCGGGCTTCCTGAAGGTATTAGGTTTTGGGGCTAGGGTAAGGTTTAAGGTTTTTGGCGTTAGGGTTAAAATCACTGTCCAAAACCTTTTTAGGAACATGTTTAAGACCTTTTGGAGTTGGTTACACCAAAAAAAATGTAAAATGAAAAAAATATATATTTGGGGTGTTCGGGCTTCCTGAAGGTAATACTAGGGTAAAGTTTAAGGTTTTTGGCGTGAGGGTTAAAATCACTGTCCAAAACCTTTGTAGGAAGTCTTTTCCAACCTTTTGGAGTTAGTTAGACAAAAAAAAAAGATAAATGAAAAAAAAATATATTTGGGGTGTTCGGGCTTCCTGAAGGTAATACCCGGGTATTAGGTTATGGGGCTAGGGTAAGGTTAAAGGTTTTTGGAGTTAGAGTTAAAATCAGTGTCCAAAACCTTTTTAGGAACATGTTTAAGACCTTTTGGAGTTGGTTACACCAAAAAAAAAATGTAAAATGAAAAAAAAAAAAATTGGGGTGTTCGGGCTTCCTGAAGGTAATACCCGGGTATTAGGTTTTGGGGCTAGGGTAAGGTTTAAGGTTTTTGGTGTTAGGGTTAAAATCACTGTCCAAAACCTTTGTAGGAACTCTTTTCTGACCTTTTGGAGTTAGTTAGACCAAAAAAAAAGAAAAAAGAAAAAAATATAATTGGGGTGTTCGGGCTTCCTGAAGGTAATACCCGGGTATGAGGTTATGGGGCTAGGGTAAGGTTTAAGGTTTTTGGCGTTAGGGTTAAAATCACTGTCCAAAACCTTTTTAGGAACATGTTTCAGACCTTTTGGAGTTGGTAACACCAAAAATAAATGTAAAATGAAAAAAAAATATTTGGGGTGTTCGGGTTCCCTGAAGGTAATACCCGGGTATTAGGTTTTGGGGCTAGGGTAAGGTTTAAGGTTTTTGACGTTAGGGTTAAAATCACTGTCCAAAACCTTTTAAGGAACAAGATTCAGACCTTTTGGAGTTGGTTACACCAAAAAAAATGTAAAATGAAAAAAAAAAATATTTGGGGTGTTCGGGCTTCCTGAAGGTAATAGGTTTTGGGGCTAGGGTAAGGTTTAAGGTTTTTGGCGTTAGGGTTAAAATCACTGTCCAAAACCTTTTAAGGAACAAGATTCAGACCTTTTGGAGTTGGTTACACCAAAAAAAATGTAAAATGAAAAAAAAAATATTTTGGGTGTTCGGGCTTCCTGAAGGTAATACCCTTCAGGTTTAAGTATTAGGTTATGGGGCTAGGATTAGGTTTAAGGTTTTTGGCGTAAGGGTTAAAATCACTGTCCAATATTTTTTAAGGAACATGTTTCAGACCTTTTGGAGCTAGTTTGACCAAAAAAAAAAAAAAAAAGAAAAAATATATATTTGGGGTGTTCGGGCTTCCTGAAGGTAATACCCGGGTATTAGGTTATGGGGCTAGGGTAAGGTTTAAGGTTTTTGGCGTGAGGGTAAAAATCACTGTCCAAAACCTTTGTAGGAACTCTTTTCCAACCTTTGGGAATTAGTTAGACAAAAAAAAGATAAATGAAAAAAAAATATTTGGGGTGTTCGGGCTTCCTGAAGGTAATACCCGGGTATTAGGTTTTGGGGCTAGGGTTAGGTTTAAGGTTTTTGGCGTTAGGGTTAAAATCACTGTCCAAAATCTTTGTAGGAAGTCTTTTCCAACCTTTTGGAGTTAGTTAGACAAAAAAAAAAGATAAATGAAAAAAAAATATTTGGGGTGTTCGGGCTTCCTGAAGGTAATACCCGGGTATTAGGTTATGGGGCTAGGGTAAGGTTAAAGGTTTTTGGAGTTAGAGTTAAAATCAGTGTCCAAAACCTTTTTAGGAACATGTTTAAGACCTTTTGGAGTTGGTTACACCAAAAAAAAATGTAAAATGAAAAAAATATATATTTGGGGTGTTCGGGTTTCCTGAAGGTAATACCCGGGTATTAGGTAATGGGGCTAGGGTAAGGTTTAAGGTTTTTGGCGTGAGGGTTAAAATCACTGTCCAAAACCTTTGTAGGAAGTCTTTTCCAACCTTTTGGAGTTAGAGAAAAAAAAGATGAATGAAAAAAAAATATTTGGGGTGTTCGGGCTTCCTGAAGGTAATACCCGGGTATTAGGTTATGGGGCTAGGGTAAGGTTAAAGGTTTTTGGAGTTAGAGTTAAAATCAGTGTCCAAAAACTTTTTAGGAACATGTTTAAGACCTTTTGGAGTTGGTTACACCAAAAAAAAAATATAAAATGAAAAAAAAAAAAATGGGGTGTTCGGGCTTCCTGAAGGTAATACCCGGGTATTAGGTTTTGGGGCTAGGGTAAGGTTTAAGGTTTTTGGTGTTAGGGTTAAAATCACTGTCCAAAACCTTTGTAGGAACTCTTTTCTGACCTTTTGGAGTTAGTTAGACCAAAAAAAAAGAAAAAAGAAAAAATACAATTGGGGTGTTCGGGCTTCCTGAAGGTAATACCCGGGTATGAGGTTATGGGGCTAGGGTAAGGTTTAAGGTTTTTGGCGTTAGGGTTAAAATCACTGTCCAAAACCTTTTTAGGAACATGTTTCAGACCTTTTGGAGTTGGTAACACCAAAAATAAATGTAAAATGAAAAAAAAATATTTGGGGTGTTCGGGTTCCCTGAAGGTTTTGGGGCTAGGGTAAGGTTTAAGTTTTTTGGCGTAAGGGTTAAAATCAGTGTCCAAAACCTTTTTAGGAACATGTTTCAGACCTTTGGGAGTTAGTTAGACAAAAAAAAAAGAAAAAAGAAAAAAAAATATTTGGGGTGTTCGGGCTTCCTGAAGGTAATACCCTTCAGGTTTAAGTATTGTTTCAGACCTTTTGGAGTTGGTTACACTAAAAAAAATTGTACAATGAAAAAAAAATATTTGGGGTGTTCGGGCTTCCTGAAGGTAATACCCGGGTATAAGGTTATGGGGCTATGGTAAGATTTAAGGTTTTTGGCGTTAGGGTTAAAATCACTGTCCAAAACCTTTGTAGGAACTCTTTTCCAACCTTTTGGAGTTAGTTAGACAAAAAGAAAATGAAAACTGAAAAAAAAATGTTTGGGGTTTTCGGGCTTCCTGAAGGTAATATCCGGGTATTAGGTCATGGGGCTATGGTAAGGTTTAAGGTTTTTGGCATTAGGGTTAAAATCACTGTCCAAAACCTTTGTAGGAACTCTTTTCCAACCTTTTGGAGTTAGTTAGACCAAAAAAAATGAAAAATGAAAAAAATATATTTAGGGTTTTCGGGCTTCCTGAAGGTAATACCCGGGTATTAGGGTATGGGGCTAGGGTAAGGTTTAAGTTTTTTGGCGTTGGGGTTAAAATCACTGTCCAAAACCTTGTTAGGAACATGTTTCAGACCTTTTGGAGTTGGTTTCACCAAAAAAAAATGAAAGATGAAAAAAAAAAAATGGGGTGTTCGGGCTTCCTGAAGGTAATACCCGGGTATTAGGTTATGGGGCTAGGGTAAGGTTAAAGGTTTTTGGAGTTAGAGTTAAAATCACTGTCCAAAACCTTTGTAGGAACTCTTTTCTGACCTTTTGGAGTTAGTTAGACCAAAAAAAAAGAAAAAAGAAAAAATACAATTGGGGTGTTCGGGCTTCCTGAAGGTAATACCCGGGTATGAGGTTATGGGGCTAGGGTAAGGTTTAAGGTTTTTGGCGTTAGGGTTAAAATCACTGTCCAAAACCTTTTTAGGAACATGTTTCAGACCTTTTGGAGTTGGTTACACCAAAAAAAATGTAAAATGAAAAAAAAATATTTGGGGTGTTCGGGTTCCTGAAGGTTTTGGGGCTAGGGTAAGGTTTAAGTTTTTTGGCGTAAGGGTTAAAATCAGTGTCCAAAACCTTTTTAGGAACATGTTTCAGACCTTTGGGAGTTAGTTAGACAAAAAAAAAAAGAAAAAAGAAAAAAATATATTTGGGGTGTTCGGGCTTCCTGAAGGTAATACCCTTCAGGTTTAAGTATTGTTTCAGACCTTTTGGAGTTGGTTACACTAAAAAAAATTGTACAATGAAAAAAAATATTTGGGGTGTTCGGGCTTCCTGAAGGTAATACCCGGGTATAAGGTTATGGGGCTATGGTAAGATTTAAGGTTTTTGGCGTTAGGGTTAAAATCACTGTCCAAAACCTTTGTAGGAACTCTTTTCCAACCTTTTGGAGTTAGTTAGACAAAAAGAAAATGAAAACTGAAAAAAAAATGTTTGGGGTTTTCGGGCTTCCTGAAGGTAATATCCGGGTATTAGGTCATGGGGCTATGGTAAGGTTTAAGGTTTTTGGCATTAGGGTTAAAATCACTGTCCAAAACCTTTGTAGGAACTCTTTTCCAACCTTTTGGAGTTAGTTAGACCAAAAAAAATTGAAAAATGAAAAAAATATATTTAGGGTTTTCGGGCTTCCTGAAGGTAATACCCGGGTATTAGGGTATGGGGCTAGGGTAAGGTTTAAGTTTTTTGGCGTTGGGGTTAAAATCACTGTCCAAAACCTTGTTAGGAACATGTTTCAGACCTTTTGGAGTTGGTTTCACCAAAAAAAATGAAAGATGAAAAAAAAATATTTGGGGTGTTCAGGCTTCCTGAAGTTAATACCCGGGTATTAGGTTATGGGGCTTGGGTAAGGTTTAAGGTTTTTGGCGTGAGGGTTAAAATCACTGTCCGAAACCTTTTTAGGAACATGTTTCAGACCTTTTGGAGTTGGTTACACTAAAAAAAATTGTACAATGAAAAAAAAATATTTGGGGTGTTCGGGCTTCCTGAAGGTAATACCCGGGTATAAGGTTATGGGGCTATGGTAAGATTTAAGGTTTTTGGCGTTAGGGTTAAAATCACTGTCCAAAACCTTTGTAGGAACTCTTTTCCAACCTTTTGGAGTTAGTTAGACAAAAAGAAAATGAAAACTGAAAAAAAACTGTTTGGGGTTTTCGGGCTTCCTGAAGGTAATATCCGGGTATTAGGTCATGGGGCTAGGGTAAGGTTTAAGGTTTTTGGCATAAGGGTTAAAATCAGTGTCCAAAACCTTTGTAGGAACTCTTTTCCAACCTTTTGGAGTTAGTTAGACCAAAAAAAAAGAAAAATGAAAAAAAAATATTTAGGGTTTACGGGCTTCCTGAAGGTAATACCCGGGTATTAGGGTATGGGGCTAGGGTAAGGTTTAAGTTTTTTGGCGTTGGGGTTAAAATCACTGTCCAAAACCTTGTTAGGAACATGTTTCAGACCTTTTGGAGTTGGTTTCACCAAAAAAAAATGAAAGATGAAAAAAAAATATTTGGGGTGTTCAGGCTTCCTGAAGTTAATACCCGGGTATTAGGTTATGGGGCTTGGGTAAGGTTTAAGGTTATTGGCGTGAGGGTTAAAATCACTGTCCGAAACCTTTTTAGGAACATGTTTCAGACCTTTTGGAGTTGGTTACACTAAAAAAAATTGTACAATGAAAAAAAAATATTTGGGGTGTTCGGGCTTCCTGAAGGTAATACCCGGGTATTAGGTTATGGGGCTTGGGTAAGGTTTAAGGTTTTTGGCGTGAGGGTTAAAATCACTGTCCGAAACCTTTTTAGGAACATGTTTCAGACCTTTTGGAGTTGGTTACACTAAAAAAAATTGTACAATGAAAAAAAAATATTTGGGGTGTTCGGGCTTCCTGAAGGTAATACCCGGGTATTAGGTCATGGGGCTATGGTAAGGTTTAAGGTTTTTTGGCATTAGGGTTAAAATCACTGTCCAAAACCTTTGTAGGAACTCTTTTCCAACCTTTTGGAGTTAGTTAGACCAAAAAAAATGAAAAATGAAAAAAATATATTTGGGGTTTTCGGGCTTCCTGAAGGTAATACCTGGGTATTAGGTTATGGGGCTATGGTAAGGTTTAAGGTTTTTGGCGTTAGGGTTAAAATCACTGTCCAAAAACTTTGTAGGAACTCTTTTCCAACCTTTTGGAGTTAGTTAGACAAAAAGAAAATGAAAACTGAAAAAAAAATGTTTGGGGTGTTCGGGCTTCCTGAAGGTAATATCCGGGTATTAGGTCATGGGGCTATGGTAAGGTTTAAGGTTTTTGGCATTAGGGTTAAAATCACTGTCCAAAACCTTTGTAGGAACTCTTTTCCAACCTTTTGGAGTTAGTTAGACCAAAAAAAATGAAAAATGAAAAAAATATATTTGGGGTTTTCGGGCTTCCTGAAGGTAATACCTGGGTATTAGGTTATGGGGCTATGGTAAGGTTTAAGGTTTTTGGCGTTAGGGTTAAAATCACACTCCAAAACCTATGTAGGAACTCTTTTCCAACCTTTTGGTGTTAGTTAGACCAAAAAAAATGAAAAATGAAAAAAAATATTTGGGGTGTTCGGGCTTCCTGAAAGTAATACCTGGGTATTAGGTAATGGGGCAATGGTAAGGTTTAAGGTTTTTGGCGTTAGGGTTAAAATCACTGTCCAAAACCTTTGTAGGAACTCTTTTCCAACCTTTTGGAGTTAGTTAGACAAAAAAAGAGAAAAAAAATATATATATATATTTGGGGTGTTTGGGCTTCCTGAAGGTATTATTAGGTTATTAGGTTATGGGGCTAGGGTAAGGTTTAAGTTTTTTGGCGTAAGGGTTAAAATCAGTGTCCAAAACCTTTTTAGGAACATGTTTCAGACCTTTTGGAGTTATTTAGATAAAAAAAAATGAAAAATGAAAAAAAATATATTTGGGGTGTTCGGGCTTCCTGAAGGTAATACCTGGGTATTAGGTTATGGGGCTATGGTAAGGTTTAAGGTTTTTGGCGTTAGGGTTAAATATCCAATATTAAGTTTAAAAATTGCCACAAACTCAAGTTCAAACACGAAACAAACTCAATTTAAAAAACACCAAAAACTCAAGTTCAACAAATACCCAATTCTTAAATTTAACAATTTTCACAACCTCAAGTTAAAAAAAAACACAAACATAAGTTAAAACAAGACACAAACTAAAGTTCAACAAAACAAAAAACTCAAGTTCAACCAACACCTGATATTCAAGTTTGAAAATTTTCACAGCCTCAAGTTCAAACACGACACAAACTCAAGTTCAACCAACACCCAAATCTCAAGTTTAACAAATTCTACAACCTAAAGTTCAAAAACACCACAAACCCAAGTTCAACAACACCACAAACTCAAGTTCAAACACGACACGAACTCAAGTTCAAACACGACACAAACTCAAGTTCAACAAACACACTAACTGAAGTTCAACCAACACCTGATTCTCAAGTTTAACAATTTCCAAAACCTCAAGTTCAAAAACAACAGAAACAGTTCAAAAAAACCTCAACCTCAAGTTCAAAAACGACACAAACTCAAGTATAAAAACACATACTCAAGTTAAAAAAATAACACGAACTCAAGTTCAACCAACACCCAAATCTCAAGTTTAACAATTGCCACAACCTCAAGTTCAACAAACACACAAACTCAAATTCAAACACACCACAAACTCAAGTTAAAAACACGACACAAACTCAAGTTAAAAAAAACCATAAACTCAAGTTCAACCAATACCCAATTCTCAAGTTCAACAAAAACCACAAACTAATGTTCAACCAACACATGATTCTCACGTTTAAAAATTTTCAGAACCTCAAGTTCAAAAAACACACAAATTCAAGTTAAACAAATAACAGGAATGCAAGTTCTGAAACGACACAAACTCAAGTTCTGAAACGACACAAACTCAAGTTCAACCAACACCCAAATCTCAAGTTTAACAATTGCCACAACCTCAAGTTCAACAAACACACAAACTCAAATTCAAACACACAACAAACTCAAGTTCAAACATGACACAAACTCAAGTTCAAAAACTCAAGTTCAGCCAATACCCAATTCTCAAGTTTAACAATTTCCAAAACCTCAAGTTCAAAAGCAACACAGACTCAAGTTCAAAAACACCACAAACTCAAGTTCAAACACGACACAAGCTCAAGTTCAACAAACCCCTCAAACTCAAGTTCAAACACGACACATGCTCAAGTTCAACAAATCCCACAAACTCAAGTTCAACAACTGCCACCAAGTAAAGTTCACCAAAAACCATAAACTCAAGTTCAACAATTGACAGAAAACTTAAGTTCAAAAAACACACAAAATCTAGTTCAAAAACACCACAAACTCAAGTTCAAACATGACAAAGTCAAGTTCAACCAACACTCAAATCTCAAATTAAACAATATCCAAAACCGCAAGTTCAAAAACAACAGAAACTCAAGTTCAAACACGCCACAAACTCAAGTTCAACAAATGTAAAAGTTTTAAGTTCAACCAAAACCCAAATCTCAAGTTTAACAATTTCAACAACCTCAAGTTCAAAAACAACAGAAACTCAAGTTCAAACACGAGACAAACTCAAGTTCAACAAACACACAATCCTCAAGTTCAACAATTGCCACAACCTAAAGTTCAAAAACACCCCCAACTCAAGTTCAAACAAGACACAAACTCAAGTACAACAAACGCCACAAACTCAAGTACAACAAACGCTACAAACTAAAGTTCAGTGAAAAATACAGACTCAAGTTCAACAATTGCCACAAACTCAAGTTCAACAAATGACCTAAACTCACATTTAACAATTGCCAAAAACTCAAGTTCAACAAACTCAAGTTTAAAAATTGCCACAAACTCAAGTTAAAAAATGCTGAAACTGAAGTTCAACGAACACCACAAACTCAAGATCAACAAATTTCAAAGTTTGAAGTTCAACAACACCCAAATATCAAGTTTAACAATTGCCACAACCTCAAGTTCAACAAACACACAAACTCAAGTTCAAAAACACCACAAACTCAAGTTCTTAACAACACAAACTCAAGTTCAAAAAACACACAAGTTCAAGTTCAAAAACACCCCAAACTGAAGTTCAAACATGAAACAAAGTCAAGTTCAACCAAATCCCAAATCTCAAGTTCAACAATTGCCACAACCTCAAGTTCAAAAACAACAGAAACTCAAGTTAAAACACGCCACAAACTCAAGTTCAACAAAGACACAAACTCAAGTTCAAAAACACCACAAACCCAAGTTCAACCAACACCCAAATCTCAAGTTTAACAATTGCCACAAAACTAAGTTAAAAAACCACACATACTCAAGTTCAAAAACACCACAAACTCAAGTTCAAACATGACACAAACTCAAGTTCAACCAACACCCAAATCTCAAGTTTAACAATTGCCACAACCTCAAGTTCAAAAACAACAGAAACTCAAGTTCAAACACGAGACAAACTGAAGTTCAACAAACACACAAACTCAAGTTCAATCAATACCAATTCTCAAGTTTAACAATTTCCACAACCTCAAGTTCAACAAACTCAAGTTCAAAAATTGCAAAAAAATCAAGTTCAAATATGACACAAACTCAAGTTCAACCAACACCCAAATCTCAAGTTTAACATTTGCCAAAACCTCAAGTTCAAAAACAACACAAACTCAAGTTCAAACACGCCACAAACTCAAGTTCAACAAACACACAAACTCAAGTTCAAAAACACCACAAATTCAAGTTCAAACATGTCACAAACTCAAGTTCAACAAACACAGAAACTCAAGTCAACCAATACCCAAATATGAAGCTTAGCGTTAAGGGGTGTTCAGACCAAACGCGACTTCGGTGACGTCGGCGATGGCTCCCAATGCAGGTCTATGGACAGCCGCGACCTGACGCGACTTGGCGACTGCTGGCTACCTGCGTCGCGTTGCCGAGGTTGCGTTGCCGAGGTCGCAGGACGCCAAGTCTCGTCGCTCCCAAAGTTCAAATATTTGAACTGGGCTGCGGGATGTATATATGAGGGAGAAAAGGAGGGAGATGGAAGGTAGGAGAAGCGGGTCAGCAGCGACCAGCCGTGTCCTGCGACCGCAGCTTTGGACCTAGTGTGAACACACCAGAGCACCACGCAACGCGACGCGACCTGGTCGCGGCTGCAATTACACCTAATCCGCGGAGCCAAATCCTTGCAGGTACTGACATTAGTCTTGCTGTGCTCAGACTACAATGATAGACGCATTGTGGATTGCGGAGATGAGCCTGTGATGCTTAAATATCGTGATGCCTGGCTGTTTAAATCTCCGACCTTGGCTGAATTCATAGCTTTCGGCGTATTTGTAGATGTCATATGTAAAGTGTTTTCAGCACGCAGAACTGAACTGGACACATATCTCGCCATTATTTCTGATTCAGCCATGACATAGGGAGGATCACTATTCTAGGAACATTACAAATCATTTTCAGCAAAGCTGCTAAGTACATTCAAAGATTCAGCCAAAGACTTGATCAGTCCGTAGTCGACCTGGCTCTAATCAGTTAACAATTCACCGAGCATCAAGCTTTTTCCTGCTTAATCTGCGGGTCTTTCTCTCACCTGGAGGTGAAAGTAAGCCATTACGCAGCAGTACGCCATTTCGGGAAGACATAATCAGCTGTTTAAAGTTTTCACCCCTGTCATGTATCTAGGCTTAGTCTGTTGCTGCACATCAGTCTGCACTCTGCGTTATAACCGAAGTAATCCAATAGGACCATGCCGCTTGAGAGTGAGTGGTATTTGCTTACAAATAAACTCCAAGTGGGAGCACCAGTGCGCACTTTTGATTGGACGCTGGTTGCCTAGGTGCAGGGGCCCACCTTCCGCCTTTTGCGGAAGGAGGGAACTTTTAAAGAGTCAGCTGCTTCAATATTAATGCAGAAATAAGACAAAATGGAGAGGAAAATAATAATAATAATAATAATAATAATAATAATAATAATAATAATAATAATAATAATAATAATTTTATGTTTAAGAGAGAGATACAGCAGATGATGATACTGTGGCATCGGAGTCAGCAACTCGCTTAACCTGGGTGTGCTCCTCTTGTACAAAGTCTACGGGTACAGTACCTGGAGGAACCTTATCCTACCTTGTCCACCCCTGCCCACACCTCTAATCGGTGCCCTAAAACTGTGGCTACAGGCCAACCACCCAAGCCTCTCTAAGCCTACTACTCGGAGAAGCCAAGTTACTCCAGGGACGGGCATCTGAAATCAGCATGCCCATGACGCACCCACCTGGTAAAACGGGAAAGAACAAAGCTGTCTACTCTGTCAAATGTCCTTGAGCCGGGGAAGGCACTGGCAAAGCATCCCAACGGCTGTTCGTGAAGCCATTCATTCAGACTGTGTTAGTCTGAGTGCAGCCTTGCAATCCTTAGTGCTCTCTGTTGACAGCTACTTGAGAGCTGGTTAAGCAAAATCAGCATTAAAGTTTATACGATTCTGCATGGTCTCACTTTACCTCTTTTGTACCACCTTCTCTGTAGCCCCAACGCCCTAAATATATCCATTGTATGTGCTTTAATAGTCCACAGTTTTGAATCTCGCACTTTTTTTCTTCTTCTAATATTTCCAAAACTAACTCTGTCTTTGTTCTTTATCCTCCATGTCCCGCTGCCTGAGAGGCCGGCCACTGGCCAGCCACTAAGAGTCTCTCTTTGCCACTGAAGAAGGGAAACCTATATCCAGATTGCAGCTTTCTGCTCACCTCTGCCTGCTCTGCCAATCCTGTTGGCTCCTACCTGAGTACAACTCTACGCATTCACCACGCATAGGCACAGCTACAACTGCATCTTCCATCGTCCCCGTCTCGACGCTCAAGGCTACGGGTCAATGGTCCCGATCAGCCTTTGAATGATACCTCAGGCCCAAGGCTAATATATTATTATTATTAGAATATTCCTATGCTCGATTAGCTACAAAAAAAAAAAATGCTGCTGCTCCTTAATTCTTTCCCATATCTATTGCATTACGCATATTCCCAACTATAAATTTGTGTATGGATTAAATTAATCCTGATCCATGATCATGTTGTGAGGGTAACCAATACTATGCAAGCTTTGTAGGTGGGTAGGTTGCTTCATAGTTTCTCGCTGCTGGCTGCCCTCCCTCCCCCGTAGGTGCCTTCATGTAGCTCATGAAAGCTGGGGAGGGTTGCCAGTATGGCTGCTGCTTTTTCTGCCTTGGCTTTTCATATATGCACATGAAAGGGAGGGGAGGGCATTCCCTCTCATTGCCTTGGGATTCTATGCAAGCACATGAGAGAGCAGGGAACTCTCGGAACACAGCCATACCGACAATGTTAAAAAATATTTTGCTAGTAATAAATAATTGATTCTAACTAAAGTAGTCCTGACTGAAATTAAGCATGGCTGTAGTTCAGGCAGGACACAAGGTACAGTCAAGCTAAAGGTTAAAGCCAGCTGATCTTAAGCTAGCCCTCAGTCAGATGACAGCTTAGCTGATCGCCCTCCACACATCCTTCAGATCGCTACACGGCTCATTCCTTTCACATAGGTGCAGCTACAACCGCAGCTATGACGGCTCCTGTGTCGACCCTCAAAGCCATGGGCCAATAGTCGTCAGCTGCGTACAAATGCTATCTGCGCCCCGAGGCTCGGGACATTCTCGAAGCCCAAAAACTATGAGTACCCATAACTTTGGCACATAGATGCTAATTAAATGAAATATATAAACAACCTGCAGATAAATATCCATGCTTGGGCAACGGGTCTCTCTAACCTGTCTTTCTTTCAGCAGCGCTCACCTCCCCTGCTAGCTCCTAGACTGCACGGCATGGTTGTTTTGGGGGGGTTCTGTTCATTGCTGCTCTACCCCTGCCTCCTCCGCCTTCATGATGGCACGTGGAGGGCGGGAAGGTGCTCTTCCTGCCGCTGGCCTTTCACCCCTGCCAACGTGGAGAACGGGGGCCCTGAACAGAACCTCGCGTGCGCTCCCTGCTATCGCCTTTCATGATGGCTCGTGAAAGGCAGGAAGGGGCTCTTCCTGCCTCGGGCTTCCACACAAGCGCGTGGAAGGGCAGGGACCCGGAACAGAATCATGCCGCCAAATCTAACTTGCACAATAAAGCTAAAAATTTGGACAAAGTGTACCTGACTGAAATGAAGCATAGCGTTAGTTCTGTCAGGACACAACGTCAAGCGCTGATCCACAGCCAATGGCTAGTAGCCACCTCAACCAGATGATAATCAGCTGATTCACACCTAGATCCCATTGGTTCTTTGCCTATAGAGTGCCTTATTTAAAACTGCACTAACCCAGCCTCTTCCTCTGCTCTGACAGCAAACCAGCAACACACTGCCACACCAGCTCCACCCTCGTGCCAGCTAATTGCTCCACTGTCCTTGAAGCGCTCCTGTTCCAGGGGGGGTTTGTTCATTGCTGCTCTACCCCGCCACCTCCGCCTTCATGATGGCTCGAGGAGGGCGAGTTTAACAATTTCCACAACCTCAAGTTCAAAAAGAACACAAACTCAAGTTCAAACACGCCACGAACTCAAGTTCAACAAACAAACAAACTCAAACTCAAGTTCAAAAACACCACATACTCAAGTTCAACCAACACCCAAATCTAAAGTTTAACAATTGCCGAAGCCTCAAGTAAGAAAAACAACAAAAATTCAGGTTAAAACATGCCACAAACTCAAGCTCAACACCGCCACAAACTCAAGTTAAAAAACACCACAAACCCAAGTTCAAACACGCCACGAACTCAAGTTCAACCAAATCCCAAATCTCAAGTTTGACAATTGCCACAACCTCAAGTTCAAAAACAACAGAAACTCAAGTCAAAACACGCCACAAACTCAAGTTAAACAAACACACAAACTCAAGTTCAAAAACACCACAAACTCAAGTTCAACCAACACCCAAATCTCAAGTTTAACAATTGCCACATACTTAAATTCAAAAAACACACAAAAATTCAAACTAAAGTTCAGGGAAAAATACAGACTCAAGTTCAACAATTGCCACAAACTCAAGTTCAACAAACACCACAATCTTAAGTTCAAAAAATGCCAAAATTTCAAATTCAACAAATGACCTAAACTCACATTTAACAATTGCCAAAAACTCAAGTTCAACAAACTCAAGTTCAAAAATTGCAACAACCTTAAGTTCAAAAAACACACAAATTCAAGTTCAAAAACACCACAAACTCAAGTTAAATGAACACCACAAAGTCAAGTTCAACAAATGTCAAAGTTTTAAGTTCAACCAACACCCAAATCTAAAGATTAACAATTGCCAAAACCTCAAGTTAAAAAACAACACAAACTCAAGTTCAAACACGCGACAAACTCAAGTTTAACAATTGCCACCAAATAAAGTTCACTAAAAACCAAAGACTCAAGTTCAAAACTCAAGTTCAAAAATTGCAACAAACTCAAGTTCAAACACAACACTCAAGTTCAAACACGACACAAACTCAAGTTCAAACACGACACAAACTCAAGTTCAAACACGACACAAACTCAAGTTCAACAAACACACGAACTCAAGTTCAACAATTGCCACCAACTAATGTTCAGAGAAAAATACAGACTCAATGTTAACAATTGCCACAAACTCAAGTTCAACAAACACCACAAGCTTAAGTTCAAAAAATGCCAAAATTTAAAATTCAACAAATAACCTATATTAACATTAAAGAATTGCCAAAAACTTTAGTTCAACAAACTCAGGTTCAAAAAACACACAAATTCAAGTTCAAAAACACCACAAACTCAAGTTCAAAAATGCCGAAACTTAATTTCAACCAACACCCAAATCTCAAGTTTAACAAATTGCCACAACCTCATGTTCAAAAACAACAGAATCTCAAATTCAAAAACACCAAAAACTCAAGTTAAAAAAAACCCACACAAATTCAAGATCACAAAACAGCAAAATCTCAAGTTCAAACACGACACAAACTCAGGTCAACAAACACACAAACTCAAGTTTAACCAATACCCAATTCTCACGTTTAACAATTTCCACAACCTCAAGTTCAAACACGACACAAACTCAAGTTCAAACACGACACAAACTCAAGTTCAAACACGACACAAACTCAAGTTCAAACAACACCCAAATATCAAGTTTAACATCTGCCAAAACCTCAAGTTCAAAAACACCACAAACTGAAGTTCCAAACGACAAAAACTTAAGTTCAACAAACGCCAAAAACTCAGGTTCAAAAACACCACAAACTCAAGTTCTAAATGACAAAAACTCAAGTTCAACAAACACACGAACTCAAGTTCAACCAATGCCCACTTCGCAAGTTTAACAATTTCCACAAACTCAAGTTAGAAAAACACACAGACTCAAGTTAAAAAACAACCAGAAAATCTAGTTCAAACACTTCACAAACTCAAGTTCAAAAACACCACAAACTCAAGTTCAACCAACACCTAAGTCACAAGTTTAACAATTGCCACAAACTTCAGTTCAAAAAACACAAAAGCTCAAGATCAAAAACACCACAAACTCAAGTTCAAACACGATTCACAAACTCAAGTTCAACCAAATCCCAAATCTCAAGTTTAACAATTTCCACAACCTCAAGTTCAAAACCAACAGAAACTCAAGTTCAAACACGCCACAAACTCAAGTACAGAAAAACACCACAAACTCAAGTTCAACAATTGCCACCAAGTAAAGTTCAGAGAAAAATACAGACTCAAGGTTAACAATTGCCACATACTCAAGTTCATCAAACACCACAAGCTTAAGTTCAAAAAATGACAAAATTTCAAATTCAACAAATGACCTATATTCACATTAAACAATTGCCAAAAACTCAAGTTCAACGAACTCAGTTTAAAAAAGTGCCACAAAATGAAGTTCAAAAACACCACAAACTCAAATTCAAAAAACACACAAACTCAAGTTCAAAAACACCACAAACTCAATTTCAAACACGATACAAACTCAAGTTCAACAAACACCACAAACTCAAGTTCAACAAATGTCACAAACTCAAGTTCAAAAACGACACAAACTCAAGTTCAAAAAGACACAAACTCAAGTTCAACAAACAAAACTAACTATTTAGAGTAATTTTGAGGTGTTTGAGAGGTTTTTTGTAGACTTACCCTAGTGGTCCTATGTTGTTGTTGATGTGAGGCGTTTCTTTTCCAGTAGTCTAAAATCTGTTGGAGGGGGGAAAAGGTTCCAGCTGTCCAGCCGCGGCGGCAGCGGTGTGTCTGAAGTCCGGGGTCCTCGGCGGGGGAAAGAAGATAGGCGCTCCGCGGCAAGGTTTGCTGGGACTCGGTGCCGTCGGCGGGTCGAAGCTCGGTGGTGGGCGGCTTGGAGTGATGGAGGTGCGGCGTCTTCTTTCAGGTGGCGGCGCGGCGTCTTCCTCGAGGCGGTGGTCGGTCTTCTTGGTCCAGTGGTCAGTGCTTTGTCTCAATTACAGGAACAGGAATTGCTCTTTAGTGCACAGCACTTAAATGTGCTTTTGACAGGAGAAGACATCCCCAGAGTTGGGCTCGAGTCATGGTTCGTGCTGTTCCTCTCAGACATGGTTGTGTTCTCTTCTCGATGTTTGTATTCCAGAATGGATGTCTCTTGGTTGTATTTTAAACTTTCAAGTTGTTTTAAGTTAATTTTAATGTAGTTTATTTATTTTAAATTTAGTTTTGCTACATTAAATTTGTATGCAATCGTAAGGGATTGTGGGTATTTTAGTTCTGAGGGATGAGAGCCTAAGGAATCAATCTTCCTGTTACAGCAAAGGATTGTGGGTAAAACCGTGAGTGAGTGAGGTACTTCCTTTCTGCCATGAGAGCCTTGGGAATCAATCTCCCTGTTGCAGCAAAGGATTGTGGGTAAAACCGTGAGTGAGGGAGGTACATTTTTCCTGGCATGAGAACCTCAGGAGTCAGTCCTTCCTAAGAAAAAAGAGGGGAGGGGGGAAGACAAACAAAAGCACAGGAACCCTAAAATGAAATAAAATAAAATAAAATGAAATAATATAAAACAATGAAAAAATAAAAAATAAAAGAAGAACAAAAGTGGATTGCAAAAGGGAAAGGAGAAGAAAAAAGGAAAAAAAGAAGTGTCAAGAGCAAATAGCAAAAAACGGAAGTGAGCTTAAAAACAGAGAACAGTTCCCTAAAAGACAGACAGAAATGTAAATTTGATCAATGTCCTAAGGGAAAATCTGCACGTGTATGTGTGTTCTTTTTTACTAGCTTAGTCTGGTGTCACTGATGGTCAGTTATCAATAAGTATTTATTATTTAAATTTTTGATGAAGTTGTTTGTAGTGGGGTTAGCTGGCTAATTTTAGAGTGTTAAAAAAGATGTTAGAGGGGGAGGATTTAGGTGGCACGGCGGTTCCCCTTCAGGTCTCTCTTAATCTTCAATATAGGTGACCCAACAGGGGTTACCCCCCGGCCGGGGTAGGCCGAGGCTGAAGATCACCTATTTGTCATCTGTGAAGGTGAAAATAAAGGGGCAGGGGAGGGAATAAGAAAGAGGGGGGGTGTTAGAGAGAGGGGGAGAGATGAGGGAGAGAGATGAGGGAGAGAGAGAGAGACAGAGGGGGGGGGGGGGGGTGTGAGAGAGAGAGAGAGAGAGAGAGAAGGGAAGAGGGAGAGGGGGGTTTAAGGGAGAGGTGGAGATGGTGGAAAATAAAGATTGGTGAGGGGGATTTGGTGGCAGATGAAACATCCCATAGCTCCCCAGCTCTCACCATCCATGTGAGGAGAGTGAGCAAGGGACATAGTCACCCGACCCGACTAGGTCTAGGCTCTGCTCTCCTCACGGTCCTCACAAGATACAAAGAGATATGTAAACGTGGAAGTGAGAGTTCTCTAGGCAGAGTTTTGGGTTTGGTTTGAGCTGAGTTGGTCAGTTGATTATTGATTACTATTTTAAGTTCTAAAAGTGGATAGAGTCAAAAAGTCACAGAGGATTGTGGTGGGAGCAGGTGGTCCATCTGGCACCATTCTGCTCATGCAGGGATTCGAGTGATAGAAAGAGAATAGATCTTGCCACCGTGACTCGCCATTGAGACTCTCCTCACCTGCTGGTTTTCATCCTCTGATAGGAGAGAGAGGTACAGATCAGGAGAGAGGGAGAAAAGGAGGGAGGCAGGGTGGGGTCAGGAGTTAATTTGTCTTGAAAAGTATTTATCTTTTCGTCATTGCTGTTAGGGTTTAGATGTTTTTTGTTTAGTTTTCTGAGGAATGTAGTGTTAGTATAGGTTCCAAGGTGGAGGATTCTTTGGAATTCACTCTCACCCTTGAAACTGGAAGATCTTAGACTCTATAAAGGGGGGGGGGGGGGGGGGGGGGGTTGTGTGCACAGAAGGAGCATGGGCTCAGACTATTCTCGGAATGATATTGTGACAAGTCTGTCCGAAGGTAAGTGGCTGGTTAGGTGTGGGAAAGAGATAGAGTGATAGCCCCCGCTTTCGTCAGTTGACTTGGCGGTTTGAGGTAGGCTGATCAAGGACTTGCACTGGCCGGCGCATGTCGACCTGTCACATGTTCCAGTCGAGTCTCCGAGCTCAATCTGTGTGTAAAAATTATGTGTTGGTAGAAAGTTTAATGACTCAGCTCAGTTGGTATGCTATGCTGTCTATCTTTTAGACTATGTGTTTGTTGAGCAATTTTATGTATATATTATGTTACAGGGCTAGGAAAAGGTTAAAGGTTTTTGGACGTTAGGGTTAAAATCACTGTCCAAAACCTTTGTAGGAACTCTTTTCCAACCTTTTGGAGGGAGCTAGACCAGAAAAAAAAGAAGAAAGAAAAAAAAAAATTGGGGTGTTCGGGCTTCCTGAAGGTAATACCCGGTATTAGGTTTTGGGGCTAGGGTAACTTTTAAGGTTTTTGGCGATATGGTTAAAATCACTGTCCAAAACCTTTGTAGGAAGTCTTTTCCAACCTTTTGGAGTTAGTTAGACAAAAAAAAAAAGATAAATGAAAAAAAAATATTTGGGGTGTTCGGGCTTCCTGAAGGTAATACCCGGGTATTAGGTTATGGGGCTAGGGTAAGGTTTAAGGCTTTTGGCGTATGGGTTAAAATCACTGTCCAAAACCTTTTTAGGAACATGTTTCAGACCTTTTGGAGTTAGTTAGTCCAAAAAAAAAGATAAATGAAAAAAATATATTTGGGGTGTTCGGGCTTCCTGAAGGTAATACCCGGGTATTAGGTTAGGGGCTAAGGTAAGGTTTAAGGTTTTTGGCGTGAGGGTTAAAATCACTGTCCAAAACCTTTGTAGGAACTCTTTACCATCCTTTTGGAGTTAGTTAGACCAAAAAAAAAAACGAAAAATGAAAAAACAATATTTGGGGTTTTCAGGCTTCCTGAAGGTAATAACCGGGTATTAGGTTATGGGGCTAGGGTAAGGTTAAAGGTTTTTGGAGTTAGAGTTAAAATCAGTGTCCAAAACCTTTTTAGGAACATGTTTAAGACCTTTTGGAGTTGGTTACACCAAAAAAAAATGTAAAATGAAAAAAAAAAAATTGGGGTGTTCGGGCTTCCTGAAGGTAATACCCGGGTATTAGGTTTTGGGGATAGGGTAAGGTTTAAGGTTTTTGGTGTAAGGGTTAAAATCACTGTCCAAAACCTTTTAAGGAACAAGATTCAGACCTTTTGGAGTTGGTTACACCAAAAAAAATGTAAAATGAAAAAAATATATATTTGGGGTGTTCGGGCTTCCTGAAGGTAATACCCGGGTATTAGGTAATGGGGCTAGGGTAAGGTTTAAGGTTTTTGGCGTGAGGGTTAAAATCACTGTCCAAAACCTTTGTAGGAAGTCTTTTCCAACCTTTTGGAGTTAGTTAGACAAAAAAAAAAAAAAGATAAAAATATAATTGGGGTGTTCGGGCTTCCTGAAGGTAATACCCGGGTATGGGGTTATGGGGCTAGGGTAAGGTTTAAGGTTTTTGGCGTTAGGGTTAAAATCACTGTCCAAAACCTTTTTAGGAACATGTTTCAGACCTTTTGGAGTTGGTAACACCAAAAATAAATGTAAAATGAAAAAAAAATATTTGGGGTGTTCGGGTTCCCTGAAGGTAATACCCGGGTATTAGGTTATGGGGCTAGGTTAAGGTTTAAGGTTTTTGGCATGAGGGTTAAAATCAATGTCCAAAACCTTTGTAGGAAGTCTTTTCCAACCTTTTGGAGTTAGTTAGACAAAAAAAAAAAGATGAATGAAAAAAAAATATTTGGGGTGTTCGGGCTTCCTGAAGGTAATACCCGGGTATTAGGTTATGGGGCTTTGGAAAGGTTTAAGGTTTTTGGCGTGAGGGTTAAAATCACTGTCCAAAACCTTTGTAGGAAGTCTTTTCCAACCTTTTGGAGTTAGTTAGACCAATAAAAAAATGAAAAATGAAAAAAAAAAATTTGGGGTGTTCGGGCTTCCTGAAGGTATTAGGTTTTGGGGCTAGGGTAAGGTTTAAGGTTTTTGGCGTTAGGGTTAAAATCACTGTCCAAAACCTTTTTAGGAACATGTTTAAGACCTTTTGGAGTTGGTTACACCAAAAAAAAATGTAAAATGAAAAAAATATATATTTGGGGTGTTCGGGCTTCCTGAAGGTAATACCCGGGTATTAGGTAATGGGGCTAGGGTAAGGTTTAAGGTTTTTGGCGTGAGGGTTAAAATCACTGTCCAAAACCTTTGTAGGAAGTCTTTTCCAACCTTTTGGAGTTAGTTAGACAAAAAAAAAAAGATAAATGAAAAAAAAATATTTGGGGTGTTCGGGCTTCCTGAAGGTAATACCCGGGTATTAGGTTATGGGGCTAGGGTAAGGTTAAAGGTTTTTGGAGTTAGAGTTAAAATCAGTGTCCAAAACCTTTTTAGGAACATGTTTAAGACCTTTTGGAGTTGGTTACACCAAAAAAAAAATGTAAAATGAAAAAAAAAAAATTGGGGTGTTCGGGCTTCCTGAAGGTAATACCCGGGTATTAGGTTTTGGGGCTAGGGTAAGGTTTAAGGTTTTTGGTGTTAGGGTTAAAATCACTGTCCAAAACCTTTGTAGGAACTCTTTTCTGACCTTTTGGAGTTAGTTAGACCAAAAAAAAAGAAAAAAGAAAAAAATATAATTGGGGTGTTCGGGCTTCCTGAAGGTAATACCCGGGTATGAGGTTATGGGGCTAGGGTAAGGTTTAAGGTTTTTGGCGTTAGGGTTAAAATCACTGTCCAAAACCTTTTTAGGAACATGTTTCAGACCTTTTGGAGTTGGTAACACCAAAAATAAATGTAAAATGAAAAAAAAATATTTGGGGTGTTCGGGTTCCCTGAAGGTAATACCCGGGTATTAGGTTTTGGGGCTAGGGTAAGGTTTAAGGTTTTTGACGTTAGGGTTAAAATCACTGTCCAAAACCTTTTAAGGAACAAGATTCAGACCTTTTGGAGTTGGTTACACCAAAAAAAATGTAAAATGAAAAAAAAAAATATTTGGGGTGTTCGGGCTTCCTGAAGGTAATAGGTTTTGGGGCTAGGGTAAGGTTTAAGGTTTTTGGCGTTAGGGTTAAAATCACTGTCCAAAACCTTTTAAGGAACAAGATTCAGACCTTTTGGAGTTGGTTACACCAAAAAAAATGTAAAATGAAAAAAAAAAATATTTGGGGTGTTCGGGCTTCCTGAAGGAAATACCCAGGTATTAGGTTATGGGGCTAGGGTAAGGTTTTAGGTTTTTGGCGTTAGGGTTAAAATCAATGTCCAAAACCTTTTTATGAACATGTTTCAGACCTTTTGGAGTTGGTTACACCAAAAAAAAATGTAAAATGAAAAAAAAATATTTGGGGTGTTCAAGCTTCCTGAAGGTAATACCCGGGAATTAGGTTATGGGGCTATAGTAAGGTTTAAGGTTTTTGGCGTTAGGGTTAAAATCACTGTCCAAAACCTTTGTAGGAACTATTTTCCAACCTTTTGGAGTTAGTTAGACCAAATGTTTCGGGCCGCCGCCTTAGTGTGGCGAGTCTTGGGTCTTCCTCACTGTGTGTGTGTGTGTGTGTGTGTGTGTGTGCGTGTGTGAGAGTGCCTGTGTGTGCATGCTGCCTGCAGTTCACAGGTTGCCGTGGCTGCGGATCAATCAAGTGCCTGATCACCTCCACCTGGAAACTGCAAACACTGACTGGCTGAGGGCTTCTGCCACTTGAGAGGAGCCACTTGGGGGGAGTGGATAAAACTCCAGTGGACCTGCAGATCAGGGAGCACGCTGTACCCAGTGGAGCTCCCATGCCTCTTCCTCAGACAGATTGTCTTTGTGATTGTGAATTGGGATTTTTTCGTAGCTTGTGAGGCATTTTGGTTTGCACACGCCTACCTGCTTTCCTTTTTGTATCCAGCATTAGGGCTGAGTATTGTATTTGAGTTCGTTTCTTGCTGATGTGAGCAGATCTTTTTATTTTACTGGTAACTAACTCTAGGTTAGAGTCTCCCTGTGTTTTTTGGCAACCTGTTAAGTTTCCTTTAAGGCCTTTGTTGCCTCTCTTTTTGTTGTTACTGCCAATTTTACTTTTGTTAATAAATAACTTGATTTGATCATTTAACATCTGGTCGGTTTTATGTTGCTTCCCTTCTCCCTTACACGAGCTGGTCGTAACATAAATGGGGGCTCGTCCGGGATACTAATCCGTTAAAGGAGACCCGGAAATCCGAAAAGTTTTTGTTAATAAAGGTAAGATTATTGTGTGTGTGTGCTTAGGTAGGTAAAATGGCATCGTTCGATCTTGACAGCTTCTTGTTAAATCCGTCACTTGACCAAATTAATAAGTGCAGAAAGGATAATTTGGTCGAGATAGCTGTGCACTTCAATGTCCTGTTTGCCAAATCAATCCTGAAAAAAGAATTAAAATCTCTAGTCATAGGTAAGTTGGTGGAATTAGGTGTAATTGTTTTGCCGGTGCTCCCTGAGTCACCTGTGTGCGCACCTGGCTCTGAGACTGCGGCTGATTACACTGCACAAAGGGAGTTCAGTAAAGTGTCTGCTCAGCCCAAAACTCCCTTTACCTTGCCTCGCTATGATCCTCCTTTCTCAGGCAGCACTGATTCTCTGGGTGAGGCCAGACTGAAAGTCAGGCTGGCACGAATCCAGATGGAGGCTCAGGAGAGAGCCGAGAACCGGCAAGCAAAGCTGAGGCTTGAGATCCGGAAAATGGAGATCGAGGCTGATAAAGCAGTCAGACTACGTCAGCTGGAGCTAGAAGCTCAGCTGAAAGCAACCCCGGCACTGGATGCATCTGCAGATGCAATAATGTCACCTCCTTCCACCAGCTCTACCCGAGAGTCCTTTGACATCGGTAAGCATATTTCTCTTGTTCCACCATTCAGAGACTCTGAAGTTGACAGTTATTTTCCGGCATTTGAGCGCATTGCGACTGCACTTCAGTGGCCTTATGAAGAGTGGCCACTACTTCTCCAATGTAAGATCCATGGTAAAGCACAAGAAGCTGTAGCTGCTCTACCTTTAGCGGAGAGCTTGAACTATGAAAAGGTAAAGATGTCTATTTCACGTGCCTATGAATTAGTCCCTGAAGCTTACAGGCAAAAATTTCGGAACCACACAAGGGGCCCTGAACAGACGTATGTGGAGTTCGCAAGGGAAAAGGGAACTCTTTTTGATAAATGGTGTAACGCTAGTAAAGCTGCTGATTTCAGTTCACTCCGTGAACTAATTCTTCTGGAAGAATTTAAGAAATGTCTACCAGAGCGCATTGTTGTGTACCTAAATGAACAGAAAGTTTCATCTCTCTCTGCAGCCTCTGTACTGGCTGATGAATTTGTGCTAACCCACAAACCTGTGTTTCTGTCTACTTACGAAAAGCCTCGTGCTCCGGCACCACAGAGTGGACAAGCCAGAGTGTTCCACAGAAGGGATGAAAAAAGCTGTAACTATTGTCATAAATCTGGACACCTCATTGCAAACTGTCCCTCCTTAAACAGGAAAAAACAGAATGGCAACGGATCGCCCCCTAAAGGCGTTGGGCTCATTAAATCTGAGAAACGTGTAGAATCTAATGCTGTTTCTTCTGTTTGCCCAGATCCATGTTTTGAGCCGTTCATATTCGACGGGTATGTATCTCTGACAGGTGAGACTGCTGATCAGTGCCCAGTACGCATTTTGAGGGACACCGGTGGCTCTCAATCTGTTATACTGGCTAGTGCATTGCCATTTTCGGAAAAGTCTTTTTGTGGTTATACTGTTGCCTTGCAAGGTATTGAGATGGGTTATGTCCCACAACCGGTGCATACAGTCCACATTAAGTCCTGGTTGATAAGTGGGGTTTTTCCTGTGGCTGTCATTCCCGCTCTGCCTATAAAAGGAGTAGTTCTCCTCATGTGCAACGACATCGCGGGTGGCCAGGTAACCCCTGCACTAGAGGTGTCTGACTCTCCGCAGAGCCCTGATATAGAAAATGAAACAGAAACTGCTCAGAAACTGTTTCCATCTTGTGCTGTAACTCGTGCGCAATCTCGTAAATTGGACGAATTCTCACTGTCGGATACTGTGCTAATGTCTGCTTTTTCAGATGTGGAAGTTGTGAAGGAGAAAGCTCCCACATCTCTGCTGTCAGAAAGTGCCGAGCCCGTGGGTTCTGCGAATCTGAGTTTGGCGCCGTCGGACAGTCCGACGCTGCCGGTGGGCAGTGAACGTCTCGCCGCTGCGCAGAGGGCTGACCCGACTCTGGCACGTTGCTTCAAAAGTGTGGTGAGTGCCGACAAAGCAAGTGGTGAAACAGTATCTTACCTAATGAATAAAGACATCCTGGTGCGTAAATGGACTCCTGCAGTGTCTGATTGCGAATATAGTGCTTTACAAGTTGTAGTGCCTTTTGTATACCGGCAGCATGTATTGTCAGTTGCCCACGAGAGCAAATGGTCAGGTCATTTGGGGGTGAATAAGACCTACAACCTCATCCTCAAGCATTTCTTCTGGCCTGGGTTAAAATCTGATGTAGCCAAATTCTGTCGCTCTTGTCATGTGTGTCAACTAGCGGGTAAACCAAACCAAACCATCCCACCTGCTCCACTCCATCCTATTCCTACCATAGGTGAGCCCTTTGAGCGTGTAATCTTAGACTGTGTAGGCCCATTGCCCCGCTCTAAAACAGGTAATCAGTACCTACTCACCATTATGTGTGCTGCCACCCGCTATCCGGAAGCCGTCCCGCTGCGTAAAATTACGTCCAGCTCTGTTGTCAAAGCCCTGACAAAGTTTTTCTCCACGTTTGGCCTCCCTCGTGTTATCCAGACCGATCAAGGTACAAACTTTCAGTCTCGGTTGTTCAAACAAGTCCTTAAAACGCTCAATGTCCAACACTCCGTGTCCAGCGCGTATCATCCTGAATCCCAGGGAGCGTTAGAACGTTGGCATCAGACATTAAAATCCATGCTGCGTAAATACTCCCTAGAGACAGGTAAAAGTTGGGATGAAGGGGTTCCTTTCGTGTTGTTCGCCGCTCGTGACGCTGTCCAGGCATCCTTAGGGTTTAGCCCCGCAGAGCTCGTATTTGGCCACACACTCCGCGGTCCGCTTAAATCTCTGCAAGAAAAATTCCTGTCCTCTGAAGTCTCACGTGAAGAGAACGTACTTGATTTTATGAGTAAATTCCGCGAGCGTTTACACCGTGCAAACTCGCTCGCTAAAGAGTGTCTTTTGTCCTCCCAGACTGTGATGAAGCGTCGTTATGACCGATCTGCCGTCCCACGCCGATTTGAAGTTGGTGACAAAGTGCTGGCCTTGCTGCCGATCCCTGGTTCTTCTCTCTCTGCTAAATTTACCGGTCCCTATGAGGTCCGTGAATGCCTCAGTGACCTCAACTATGTTATTGCTACACCGGAGAGAAGGCGTAAAAGTCGTGTTTGTCACATAAACATGCTCAAACCTTACGTCACACGCGAACCGAACCCAGCTGTCGCTCCACCAGTGGTTCCCCCAAAAGCTAATACTATCGCTGTCAATGCTCTGATTGTCACTGAGTCTCCTACCATTGCTGATGAGGATGATTTACAGACGTGTACCTCATCGCATCAAACCGCGCGACTGCCGAATTCGGAGTCACTGAAAACATTGTCGTCCCAGCTAAGTCATTTGACCCGCGCGCAACAAAGTGACCTAATTGCTTTGATCGATAATTTTAAGTGTCTTTTCGGCGACGTTCCAACTCGCACTACTGTTCTGCAACATGACATAGATGTCAACGGAGCAAAGCCCATCCGACAGCATCCATACAGACTCAACCCCGTGAAGCGCCAGCTCATGAAAAAAGAAACGGATTATTTGTTAAAACACGGTTTGGCTGTGCCAAGCTCCAGCGCTTGGAGCTCTCCATGTTTGTTGGAGAAAAAATCAGACGGTACCCCTCGTTTTATCACAGATCTGCGAAAGGTAAATTCAGTAACTGTCAAAGACTCGTATCCTCTTCCTAGAATGGAAGATTGTGTCGACACGCTTGGCAGCGCTAAGTACGTCAGCAAGCTGGACCTATTGAAAGGGTACTGGCAAGTCCCGTTAACGGAGCGCGCATCTGAGATCTCCGCGTTTGTGACTCCTGACTGTTTCTTGCAGTACACCGTCATGGCGTTTGGCATGTGTAACGCCCCGGCCACCTTCCAGCGGCTCGTTAATACCGTCTTGGCCGGGCTGCCAAACTGTAACGCGTACTTGGATGACTTAATTGTTTACACAGTGACGTGGCAGGAGCACCTCCGCATCCTCGAACAGGTGTTCACTCGTCTTGCGCACGCGACCCTAACGCTAAATCTCGCCAAGTGTGATTTCGGTAAGGCCACCGTCACCTATTTAGGACGACAGGTTGGGCAGGGTCAAGTTAAGCCTCTCGACGCCAAGGTAACTGCCATAGCCGAGTTTCCGGTCCCAACCACCCGCAAGGCGCTCCGTCGTTTTCTGGGCATAGCGGGTTACTACCGTAGCTTCTGCCGCAACTTCTCCTCCGTTGTTCAGCCGTTGACTTCTCTAACTAATCCCAAAGTCGAATTTGATTGGTCCCCTGCCTGTCAGCATGCGTTTGACAGCGCAAAGTCCCTCCTTAGCCACGCCCCTGTCCTTGCAGCTCCTGACTTCTCCCAGCCGTTCAAACTTGAGGTAGATGCCTCTGCAGTAGGTGTCGGGGCTGTCCTGTTGCAGGAGGATAGTGATGGAGTTGACCATCCAGTAGGATATTTTTCCCGCAAATTTAACAAGCATCAGGTGAACTACTCAATCATAGAAAAAGAAACCCTTGCTTTGTTATGGTCACTTCAACACTTTGAAGTATACGTAGGTTCCAGCCCTCTGCCAGTGGTGGTCTTCACTGACCACAACCCACTCGTCTTTCTGCATCGTATGTATAACCACAACCAAAGGCTTATGCGGTGGGCACTGGTCATGCAGGATTACAATGTGGAGATCCAGCACAAAAAGGGGTCTGACAATGTTGTAGCAGATGCGTTGTCCAGAATGTAATGTTGACTTTGTTAACCCTTGTGGTTGTTTTGTTTATGACAAACCTCATTAGGAGGGTTTGCCTCTTAAGGGGAGGGGTGTTACGGCCGCCGCCTTAGTGTGGCGAGTCTTGGGTCTTCCTCTCTCTGTGTGTGTGTGCGTGTGCGTGTGTGAGAGTGCCTGTGTGTGCATGCTGCCTGCAGTTCACAGGTTGCCGTGGCTGCGGATCAATCAAGTGCCTGATCACCTCCACCTGGAAACTGCAAACACTGACTGGCTGAGGGCTTCTGCCACTTGAGAGGAGCCACTTGGGGGGAGTGGATAAAACTCCAGCGGACCTGCAGATCAGGGAGCACGCTGTACCCAGTGGAGCTCCCATGCCTCTTCCTCAGACAGATTGTCTTAGTGATTGTGAATTGGGACTTTTTCGTAGCTTGTGAGGCATTTTGGTTTGCACACGCCTACCTGCTTTCCTTTTTGTATCCAGCATTAGGGCTGAGTATTGTATTTGAGTTCGTTTCTTGCCGATGTGAGCAGATCTTTTTATTTTTACTGGTAACTAACTCTAGGTTAGAGTCTCCCTGTGTTTTTTGGCAACCTGTTAAGTTTCCTTTAAGGCCTTTATTGCCTCTCTTTTTGTTGTTACTGCCAATTTTACTTTTGTTAATAAATAACTTGATTTGATCATTTAACATCTGGTCGGTTTTATGTAGCTTCCCTTCTCCCTTACACGAGCTGGTCGTAACATAAATGGGGGCTTGTCCGGGATACTAATCCGTTAAAGGAGACCCGGAAATCCGAAAAGTTTTTGTTATAAAGGTAAGATTATTGTGTGTGTGTGCTTAGGTAGGTAAAATGGCATCGTTCGATCTTGACAGCTTCTTGTTAAATCCGTCACTTGACCAAATTAATAAGTGCAGAAAGGATTTGGGGTGTTCGGGCTTCCTGAAGGTAATACCCGGGTATTAGGTTATGGGGCTAAGGTAAGGTTTAAGGTTTTTGGCGTTAGAGTTAAAATCAGTGTCCAAAACCTTTTTAGGAACATGTTTAAGACCTTTTGGAGTTGGTTACACCGAAAAAAAATGTAAAATGAAAAAAAATATATTTGGGGTGTTCGGGCTTCCTGAAGGTAATACCCGGGTATTAGGTTTTGGGGCTAGGGTAAGGTTTAAGGTTTTTGGTGTTAGGGTTAGAATCACTGTCCAAAACCTTTGTAGGAACTCTTTTCCGACCTTTTGGAGTTAGTTAGACCAAAAAAAAAAGAAAAAAGAAAAAAAAATATTTGGGGTGTTCGGGCTTCCTGAAGGTAATACCCGGGTATGAGGTTATGGGGCTAGGGTAAGGTTTAAGGTTTTTGGCGTTAGGGTTAAAATCACTGTCCAAAACCTTTTTAGGAACATGTTTCAGACCTTTTGGAGTTGGTAACACCAAAAAAAAATGTAAAATGAAAAAAATATATTTGGGGTGTTCAAGCTTCCTGAAGGTAATACCCTTCAGGTTTAAGTATTAGGTTATGGGGCTAGGATTAGGTTTAAGGTTTTTGGCGTAAGGGTTAAAATCACTGTCCAATATTTTTTAAGGAACATGTTTCAGACCTTTTGGAGCTAGTTTGACCAAAAAAAAAAAGAAAAAGAAAAAAAATATATTTGGGGTGTTCGGGCTTCCTGAAGGTAATACCCGGGTATTAGGTTATGGGGCTAGGGTAAGGTTTAAGGTTTTTGGCGTTAGAGTTAAAATCAGTGTCCAAAACCTTTTTAGGAACATGTTTAAGACCTTTTGGAGTTGGTTACACCAAAAAAAATGTAAAATGAAAAAAAAATATTTGGGGTGTTCGGGCTTCCTGAAGGTAATACCCGGGTATTAGGTTATGGGGATAGGGTAAGGTTAAAGGTTTTTGGAGTTAGAGTTAAAATCAGTGTCCAAAACCTTTTTAGGAACATGTTTAAGACCTTTTGGAGTTGGTATCACCAAAAAAAAAATGTAAAATGAAAAAAAAAAAATTGGGGTGTTCGGGCTTCCTGAAGGTAATACCCGGGTATTAGGTTATGGGGCTAGGTTAAGGTTTAAGGTTTTTGGCATGAGGGTTAAAATCAATGTCCAAAACCTTTGTAGGAAGTCTTTTCCAACCTTTTGGAGTTAGTTAGACAAAAAAAAAAAGATGAATGGAAAAAAAAGTATTTGGGGTGTTCAAGCTTCCTGAAGGTAATACCCGGGTATTAGGTTATGGGGCTAGGGTAAGGTTTAAGGTTTTTGGCGTAAGGGTTAAAATCACTGTCCAAAACCTTTTTAGGAACATGTTTCAGACCTTTTGGAGTTGGTTACACCAAAAAAAATGTAAAATGAAAAAAAAAAATATTTGGGGTGTTCGGGCTTCCTGAAGGTAATACCCTTCAGGTTTAAGTATTAGGTTATGGGGCTAGGATTAGGTTTAAGGTTTTTGGCGTAAGGGTTAAAATCACTGTCCAATATTTTTTAAGGAACATGTTTCAGACCTTTTGGAGCTAGTTTGACCAAAAAAAAAAAGAAAAAGAAAAAATATATATTTGGGGTGTTCGGGCTTCCTGAAGGTAATACCCGGGTATTAGGTAATGGGGCTAGGGTAAGGTTTAAGGTTTTTGGCGTGAGGGTTAAAATCACTGTCCAAAACCTTTGTAGGAAGTCTTTTCCAACCTTTTGGAGTTAGTTAGACAAAAAAAAAAGATAAATGAAAAAAAAATATTTGGGGTGTTCGGGCTTCCTGAAGGTAATACCCGGGTATTAGGTTATGGGGCTAGGGTAAGTTTTAAGGTTTTTGGCATTAGGGTTAAAATCACTGTCCAAAACCTTTTTAGGAACATGTTTAAGACCTTTTGGAGTTGGTTACACCAAACAAAAATGTAAAATGAAAAAAAAATATATTTGGGGTGTTCGGGCTTCCTGAAGGTAATACCCGGGTATTAGGTAATGGGGCTAGGGTAAGGTTTAAGGTTTTTGACCTGAGGGTTAAAATCACTGTCCAAAACCTTTGTAGGACCTCTTTTCCAACCTTTTGGGGTTAGTTAGACCAAAAAAAAACGAAAAATGATAAAAAAATATTTGGGGTTTTTGGGCTTCCTGAAGGTAATACCCGGGTATTAGGTTATCGGGCTTTGGAAAGGTTTAAGGTTTTTGGCGTGAGGGTTAAAATCACTGTCCAAAACCTTTGTAGGAAGTCTTTTCCAACCTTTTGGAGTTAGTTAGACCAATAAAAAAATGAAAAATCAAAAAAAAAAATTTGGGGTGTTCGGGCTTCCTGAAGGTATTAGGTTTTGGGGCTAGGGTAAGGTTTAAGGTTTTTGGCGTTAGGGTTAAAATCACTGTCCAAAACCTTTTTAGGAACATGTTTAAGACCTTTTGGAGTTGGTTACACCAAAAAAAAAAGTAAAATGAAAAAAATATATATTTGGGGTGTTCGGGCTTCCTGAAGGTAATACCCGGGTATTAGGTAATGGGGCTAGGGTAAGGTTTAAGGTTTTTGGCGTGAGGGTTAAAATCACTGTCCAAAACCTTTGTAGGAAGTCTTTTCCAACCTTTTGGAGTTAGTTAGACAAAAAAAAAAGATAAATGAAAAAAAAATATTTGGGGTGTTCGGGCTTCCTGAAGGTAATACCTGGGTATTAGGTTTTGGGGCTAGGGTTAGGTTTAAGGTTTTTGGCGTTAGGGTTAAAATAACTGTCCAATATTTTTTAAGGAACATGTTTCAGACCTTTGGGAGTTAGTTAGACAAAAAAATAAGAAAAAGAAAAAAAAAATATTTGGGGTGTTCGGGTTTCCTGAAGGTAATACCCGGGTATTAGGTTATGGGGCTAGGGTAAGGTTTAAGGTTTTTGGCGTTAGAGTTAAAATCAGTGTCCAAAACCTTTTTAGGAACATGTTTAAGACCTTTTGGAGTTGGTTACACCAAAAAAAAATGTAAAATGCAAAAACAAAATATTTGGGGTTTTTGGGCTTCCTGAAGGTAATACCCCGGTATTAGGTTTTGGGGCTAGGGTTAGGTTTAAGGTATTTGGCGTTAGAGTCAAAATCACTGTCCAAAACCTTTTTAGGAACATGTTTCAGACCTTTTGGAGTTGGTTACACCAAAAAAATTTAAAATGAAAAAAAATTTTTTTTGGGTGTTCGGGCTTCCTGACGGTAATACTAGGTTTCTGGGCTAGGGTAATGTTTAAGGTTTTTGGCGTTAGGGTTAAAATCAATGTCCAAAACCTTTGTAGGAACTCTTTTCCAACCTTTGAGAGCAAGTTAGACCAAAACAAAAAGAAAAAAATATATATATATTTGGGGTGTTCGGGCTTCCTGAAGGTAATACCCGGGTATTAGGTTATGGGGCTAGGGTAAGGTTAAAGGTTTTTGGAGTTAGAGTTAAAATCAGTGTCCAAAAACTTTTTAGGAACATGTTTAAGACCTTTTGGAGTTGGTTACACCAAAAAAAAATGTAAAATGAAAAAAAAAAAATTGGGGTGTTCGGGCTTCCTGAAGGTAATACCCGGGTATGAGGTTATGGGGCTAGGGTAAGGTTTAAGGTTTTTGGCGTTAGGGTTAAAATCACTGTCCAAAACCTTTTTAGGAACATGTTTCAGACCTTTTGGAGTTGGTAACACCAAAAATAAATGTAAAATGAAAAAAAATATATTTTGGGTGTTCGGGCTTCCTGAAGGTAATACCCTTCAGGTTTAAGTATTAGGTTATGGGGCTAGGATTAGGTTTAAGGTTTTTGGCGTAAGGGTTAAAATCACTGTCCAATATTTTTTAAGGAACATGTTTCAGACCTTTTGGAGCTAGTTTGACCAAAAAAAAAAAGAAAAAGAAAAAATATATATTTGGGGTGTTCGGGCTTCCTGAAGGTAATACCCGGGTATTAGGTTATGGGGCTAGGGTAAGGTTTAAGGTTTTTGGCGTTAGAGTTAAAATCAGTGTCCAAAACCTTTTTAGGAACATGTTTAAGACCTTTTGGAGTTGGTTACACCAAAAAAAAATGTAAAATGCAAAAACAAAATATTTGGGGTTTTTGGGCTTCCTGAAGGTAATACCCCGGTATTAGGTTTTGGGGCTAGGGTTAGGTTTAAGGTATTTGGCGTTAGAGTCAAAATCACTGTCCAAAACCTTTTTAGGAACATGTTTCAGACCTTTTGGAGTTGGTTACACCAAAAAAATTTAAAATGAAAAAAAATTTTTTTTGGGTGTTCGGGCTTCCTGACGGTAATACTAGGTTTCTGGGCTAGGGTAATGTTTAAGGTTTTTGGCGTTAGGGTTAAAATCACTGTCCAAAACCTTTGTAGGAAGTCTTTTCCAACCTTTTGGAGTTAGTTAGACAAAAAAAAAAGATAAATGAAAAAAAAATATTTGGGGTGTTCGGGCTTCCTGAAGGTAATACCCGGGTATTAGGTTTTGGGGCTAGGGTTAGGTTTAAGGTTTTTGGCGTTAGGGTTAAAATAACTGTCCAATATTTTTTAAGGAACATGTTTCAGACCTTTTGGGAGTTAGTTAGACAAAAAAATAAGAAAAAGAAAAAAAAAATATTTGGGGTGTTCGGGTTTCCTGAAGGTAATACCCGGGTATTAGGTTATGGGGCTAGGGTAAGGTTTAAGGTTTTTGGCGTTAGAGTTAAAATCAGTGTCCAAAACCTTTTTAGGAACATGTTTAAGACCTTTTGGAGTTGGTTACACCAAAAAAAAATGTAAAATGCAAAAACAAAATATTTGGGGTTTTTGGGCTTCCTGAAGGTAATACCCCGGTATTAGGTTTTGGGGCTAGGGTTAGGTTTAAGGTTTTTGGCGTTAGAGTCAAAATCACTGTCCAAAACCTTTTTAGGAACATGTTTCAGACCTTTTGGAGTTGGTTACACCAAAAAAATTTAAAATGAAAAAAAATTTTTTTTGGGTGTTCGGGCTTCCTGACGGTAATACTAGGTTTCTGGGCTAGGGTAATGTTTAAGGTTTTTGGCGTTAGGGTTAAAATCAATGTCCAAAACCTTTGTAGGAACTCTTTTCCAACCTTTGAGAGCAAGTTAGACCAAAAAAAAAAAGAAAAAAATATATATATATTTGGGGTGTTCGGGCTTCCTGAAGGTAATACCCGGGTATTAGGTTATGGGGCTAGGGTAAGGTTTAAGGTTTTTGGCGTTAGAGTTAAAATCAGTGTCCAAAACCTTTTTAGGAACATGTTTAAGACCTTTTGGAGTTGGTTACACCAAAAAAAATGTAAAATGAAAAAAAAAAAATTGGGGTGTTCGGGCTTCCTGAAGGTAATACCCGGGTATGAGGTTATGGGGCTAGGGTAAGGTTTAAGGTTTTTGGCGTTAGGGTTAAAATCACTGTCCAAAACCTTTTTAGGAACATGTTTCAGACCTTTTGGAGTTGGTAACACCAAAAATAAATGTAAAATGAAAAAAATATATATTTTGGGTGTTCGGGCTTCCTGAAGGTAATACCCTTCAGGTTTAAGTATTAGGTTATGGGGCTAGGATTAGGTTTAAGGTTTTTGGCGTAAGGGTTAAAATCACTGTCCAATATTTTTTAAGGAACATGTTTCAGACCTTTTGGAGCTAGTTTGACCAAAAAAAAAAAGAAAAAGAAAAAATATATATTTGGGGTGTTCGGGCTTCCTGAAGGTAATACCCGGGTATTAGGTTATGGGGCTAGGGTAAGGTTTAAGGTTTTTGGCGTTAGAGTTAAAATCAGTGTCCAAAACCTTTTTAGGAACATGTTTAAGACCTTTTGGAGTTGGTTACACCAAAAAAAAATGTAAAATGCAAAAACAAAATATTTGGGGTTTTTGGGCTTCCTGAAGGTAATACCCCGGTATTAGGTTTTGGGGCTAGGGTTAGGTTTAAGGTATTTGGCGTTAGAGTCAAAATCACTGTCCAAAACCTTTTTAGGAACATGTTTCAGACCTTTTGGAGTTGGTTACAACAAAAAATTTAAAATGAAAAAAAATTTTTTTTGGGGTGTTCGGGCTTCCTGACGGTAATACTAGGTTTCTGGGCTAGGGTAATGTTTAAGGTTTTTGGCGTTAGGGTTAAAATCAATGTCCAAAACCTTTGTAGGAACTCTTTTCCAACCTTTGAGAGCAAGTTAGACCAAAACAAAAAGAAAAAAATATATATATATTTGGGGTGTTCGGGCTTCCTGAAGGTAATACCCGGGTATTAGGTTATGGGGCTAGGGTAAGGTTTAAGGTTTTTGGCGTTAGGGTTAAAATCACTGTCCAAAACCTTTGTAGGAACATCTTTTCAGACCTTTTGGAGTTAGTTAGACAAAAAAAAAAGATAAATGAAAAAAAAAATATTTGGGGTGTTCGGGCTTCCTGAAGGTAATACCCGGGTAAGGTTTAAGGTTTTTGGCGTAAGGGTTAAAATCACTGTCCAAAACCTTTTTAGGACCATGTTTCAGACCTTTTGGAGTTGGTTACACCAAAAAAAAAAAAGAAAAAGAAATAAAAAAAAAATTGGGGTTTTTGGGCTTCCTGAAGGTAATACCCGGGTATTAGGTTTTGGGGCTAGGGTTAGGTTTAAGGTATTTGGCGTTAGGGTTAAAATCACTGTCCAAAACCTTTTTAGGAACATGTTTCAGACCTTTTGGAGTTGGTTACACCAAAAAAAAATGTAAAATGAAAAAAAAATATTTGGGGTGTTCAAGCTTCCTGAAGTTAATACCCGGGTATTAGGTTATGGGGCTAGGGTAAGGTTAAAGGTTTTTGGAGTTAGAGTTAAAATCAGTGTCCAAAACCTTTTTAGGAACATGTTTAAGACCTTTTGGAGTTGGTTACACCAAAAAAAAAATGTAAAATGAAAAAAAAAAATTGGGGTGTTCGGGCTTCCTGAAGGTAATACCCGGGTATTAGGTTTTGGGGCTAGGGTAAGGTTTAAGGTTTTTGGTGTTAGGGTTAAAATCACTGTCCAAAACCTTTGTAGGAACTCTTTTCTGGCCTTTTGGAGTTAGTTAGACCAAAAAAAAAGAAAAAAGAAAAAAATATAATTGGGGTGTTCGGGCTTCCTGAAGGTAATACCCGGGTATGAGGTTATGGGGCTAGGGTAAGGTTTAAGGTTTTTGGCGTTAGGTTTAAAATCACTGTCCAAAACCTTTTTAGGAACATGTTTCAGACCTTTTGGAGTTGTTAACACCAAAAATAAATGTAAAATGAAAAAAAAATATATGGGGTGTTCGGGTTCCCTGAAGGTAATACCCGGGTATTAGGTTTTGGGGCTAGGGTAAGGTTTAAGGTTTTTGACGTTAGGGTTAAAATCACTGTCCAAAACCTTTTAAGGAACAAGATTCAGACCTTTTGGAGTTGGTTACACCAAAAAAAATGTAAAATGAAAAAAAATATATTTTGGGTGTTCGGGCTTCCTGAAGGTAATACCCTTCAGGTTTAAGTATTAGGTTATGGGGCTAGGATTAGGTTTAAGGTTTTTGGCGTAAGGGTTAAAATCACTGTCCAATATTTTTTAAGGAACATGTTTCAGACCTTTTGGAGCTAGTTTGACCAAAAAAAAAAAGAAAAAGAAAAAATATATATTTGGGGTGTTCGGGCTTCCTGAAGGTAATACCCGGGTATTAGGTTATGGGGCTAGGTTAAGGTTTAAGGTTTTTGGCATGAGGGTTAAAATCAATGTCCAAAACCTTTGTAGGAAGTCTTTTCCAACCTTTTGGAGTTAGTTAGACAAAAAAAAAAGATGAATGAAAAAAAAATATTTGGGGTGTTCGGGCTTCCTGAAGGTAATACCCGGGTATTAGGGTATGGGGCTAGGGTAAGGTTTAAGGTTTTTGGCGTTAGGGTTAAAATCACTGTCCAAAACCTTTTTAGGAACATGTTTCAGACCTTTTGGAGTTGGTTACACCAAAAAAAATGTAAAATGAAAAAAAAAAATATTTGGGGTGTTCGGGCTTCCTGAAGGTAATAGGTTTTGGGGCTAGGGTAAGGTTTAAGGTTTTTGACGTTAGGGTTAAAATCACTGTCCAAAACCTTTTAAGGAACAAGATTCAGACCTTTTGGAGTTGGTTACACCAAAAAAAAATGTAAAATGCAAAAAAAAAAAATTGGGGGTTTTTGGGCTTCCTGAAGGTAATACCCGGGTATTAGGTTTTGGGGCTAGGGTTAGGTTTAAGGTATTTGGCGTTAGGGTTAAAATCACTGTCCAAAACCTTTTTAGGAACATGTTTCAGACCTTTTGGAGTTGGTTACACCAAAAAAAAATGTAAAATGAAAAAAAAATATTTGGGGTGTTCGGGCTTCCTGAAGGTAATACCCGGGTATTAGGTTTTGGGGCTAGGGTAAGGTTTAAGGTTTTTGGTGTTAGGGTTAAAATCACTGTCCAAAACCTTTGTAGGAACTCTTTTCTGACCTTTTGGAGTTAGTTAGACCAAAAAAAAAGAAAAAAGGAAAAAATATAATTGGGGTGTTCGGGCTTCCTGAAGGTAATACCCGGGTATTAGGTTTTGGGGCTAGGGTAAGGTTTAAGGTTTTTGGTGTTAGGGTTAAAATCACTGTCCAAAACCTTTGTAGGAACTCTTTTCTGACCTTTTGGAGTTAGTTAGACCAAAAAAAAATATATATATATATATAATTGGGGTGTTCGGGCTTCCTGAAGGTAATACCCGGGTATGAGGTTATGGGGCTAGGGTAAGGTTTAAGGTTTTTGGCGTTAGGGTTAAAATCACTGTCCAAAACCTTTTTAGGAACATGTTTCAGACCTTTTGGAGTTGGTAACACCAAAAATAAATGTAAAATGAAAAAAAAATATATGGGGTGTTCGGGCTTCCTGAAGGTAATACCCGGGTATTAGGTTTTGGGGCTAGGGTAAGGTTTAAGGTTTTTGACGTTAGGGTTAAAATCACTGTCCAAAACCTTTTAAGGAACAAGATTCAGACCTTTTGGAGTTGGTTACACCAAAAAAAATGTAAAATGAAAAAAAATATATTTTGGGTGTTCGGGCTTCCTGAAGGTAATACCCTTCAGGTTTAAGTATTAGGTTATGGGGCTAGGATTAGGTTTAAGGTTTTTGGCGTAAGGGTTAAAATCACTGTCCAATATTTTTTAAGGAACATGTTTCAGACCTTTTGGAGCTAGTTTGACCAAAAAAAAAAAGAAAAAGAAAAAATATATATTTGGGGTGTTCGGGCTTCCTGAAGGTAATACCCGGGTATTAGGTTATGGGGCTAGGTTAAGGTTTAAGGTTTTTGGCATGAGGGTTAAAATCACTGTCCAAAACCTTTGTAGGAAGTCTTTTCCAACCTTTTGGAGTTAGTTAGACAAAAAAAAAAAGATGAATGAAAAAAAAATATTTGGGGTGTTCGGGCTTCCTGAAGGTAATACCCGGGTATTAGGGTATGGGGCTAGGGTAAGGTTTAAGGTTTTTGGCGTTAGGGTTAAAATCACTGTCCAAAACCTTTTTAGGAACATGTTTCAGACCTTTTGGAGTTGGTTACACCAAAAAAAATGTAAAATGAAAAAAAAAAATATTTGGGGTGTTCGGGCTTCCTGAAGGTAATACCCTTCAGGTTTAAGTATTAGGTTATGGGGCTAGGATTAGGTTTAAGGTTTTTGGCGTAAGGGTTAAAATCACTGTCCAAAACCTTTTAAGGAACATGTTTCAGACCTTTTGGAGCTAGTTTGACCAAAAAAAAAAAAAGAAAAAGAAAAAATATATATTTGGGGTGTTCGGGCTTCCTGAAGGTAATACCCGGGTATTAGGTTATGGGGCTAGGTTAAGGTTTAAGGTTTTTGGCATGAGGGTTAAAATCACTGTCCAAAACCTTTGTAGGAAGTCTTTTCCATCCTTTTGGAGTTAGTTAGACAAAAAAAAAAGATAAATGAAAAAAAAATATTTGGGGTGTTCGGGCTTCCTGAAGGTAATACCCGGGTAAGGTTTAAGGTTTTTGGCGTAAGGGTTAAAATCACTGTCCAAAACCTTTTTAGGACCATGTTTCAGACCTTTTGGAGTTGGTTACACCAAAAAAAAAAAAGAAAAAGAAAAAAAAAATATTTGGGGTGTTCGGGCTTCCTGAAGGTAATACCCGGGTAAGGTTTAAGGTTTTTGGCGTGAGGGTTAAAATCACTGTCCAAAACCTTTGTAGGAAGTCTTTTCCAACCTTTTGGAGTTAGTTAGACCAAAAAAAAAAGATAAATGAAAAAAATATTTGGGGTGTTCGGGCTTCCTGAAGGTAATACCCGGGTATTAGGTTATGGGGCTAGGGTAAGTTTTAAGGTTTTTGGCGTTAGGGTTAAAATCACTGTCCAAAACCTTTTTAGGAACATGTTTAAGACCTTTTGGAGTTGGTTACACCAAAAAAAAATGTAAAATGAAAAAAATATATATTTGGGGTGTTCGGGCTTCCTGAAGGTAATACCCGGGTATTAGGTAATGGGGCTAGGGTAAGGTTTAAGGTTTTTGGCGTGAGGGTTAAAATCACTGTCCAAAACCTTTGTAGGACCTCTTTTCCAACCTTTTGGTGTTAGTTAGACCAAAAAAAAACGAAAATTGAAAAAAAAATATTTGGGGTTTTTGGGCTTCCTGAAGGTAATACCCGGGTATTAGGTTATGGGGCTTTGGAAAGGTTTAAGGTTTTTGGCGTGAGGGTTAAAATCACTGTCCAAAACCTTTGTAGGAAGTCTTTTCCAACCTTTTGGAGTTAGTAAGACCAATAAAAAAATGAAAAATGAAAAAAAAAAATTTGGGGTGTTCGGGCTTCCTGAAGGTAATACCCGGGTATTAGGTTTTGGGGCTAGGGTTAGGTTTAAGGTATTTGGCGTTAGGGTTAAAATCACTGTCCAAAACCTTTTTAGGAACATGTTTCAGACCTTTTGGAGTTGGTTACACCAAAAAAAATGTAAAATGAAAAAAAAATATTTGGGGTGTTCAAGCTTCCTGAAGGTAATACCCGGGTATTAGGTTATGGGGCTAGGGTAAGGTTTAAGGTTTTTGGCGTTAGGGTTAAAATCACTGTCCAAAACCTTTTTAGGAACATGTTTAAGACCTTTTGGAGTTGGTTACACCAAAAAAAAATGTAAAATGAAAAAAAAATATTTGGGGTGTTCGGGCTTCCTGAAGGTAATACCCGGGTATTAGGTTATGGGGCTAGGGTAAGGTTTAAGGTTTTTGGTGTTAGGGTTAAAATCACTGTCCAAAACCTTTGTAGGAACTCTTTTCTGGCCTTTTGGAGTTAGTTAGACCAAAAAAAAAGAAAAAAGAAAAAAATATAATTGGGGTGTTCGGGCTTCCTGAAGGTAATACCCGGGTATTAGGTTTTGGGGCTAGGGTAAGGTTTAAGGTTTTTGGCGTTAGGGTTAAAATCACTGTCCAAAACCTTTTTAGGAACATGTTTCAGACCTTTTGGAGTTGTTAACACCAAAAATAAATGTAAAATGAAAAAAAAATATATGGGGTGTTCGGGCTTCCTGAAGGTAATACCCGGGTATTAGGTTATGGGGCTAGGGTAAGGTTTAAGGTTTTTGGCGTTAGGGTTAAAATCACTGTCCAAAACCTTTTAAGGAACAAGATTCAGACCTTTTGGAGTTGGTTACACCAAAAAAAATGTAAAATGAAAAAAAAAATATTTGGGGTGTTCGGGCTTCCTGAAGGTAATACCCTTCAGGTTTAAGTATTAGGTTATGGGGCTAGGATTAGGTTTAAGGTTTTTGGCGTAAGGGTTAAAATCACTGTCCAATATTTTTTAAGGAACATGTTTCAGACCTTTTGGAGCTAGTTTGACCAAAAAAAAAAAAAAGATGAATGAAAAAATATATATTTGGGGTGTTCGGGCTTCCTGAAGGTAATACCCGGGTATTAGGTTATGGGGCTAGGTTAAGGTTTAAGGTTTTTGGCATGAGGGTTAAAATCACTGTCCAAAACCTTTGTAGGAAGTCTTTTCCATCCTTTTGGAGTTAGTTAGACAAAAAAAAAAGATAAATGAAAAAAAAAATATTTGGGGTGTTCGGGCTTCCTGAAGGTAATACCCGGGTAAGGTTTAAGGTTTTTGGCGTAAGGGTTAAAATCACTGTCCAAAACCTTTTTAGGACCATGTTTCAGACCTTTTGGAGTTGGTTACACCAAAAAAAAATGTAAAATGAAAAAAAAAAAAAATTGGGGTTTTTGGGCTTCCTGAAGGTAATACCCGGGTATTAGGTTTTGGGGCTAGGGTTAGGTTTAAGGTATTTGGCGTTAGGGTTAAAATCACTGTCCAAAACCTTTTTAGGAACATGTTTCAGACCTTTTGGAGTTGGTTACACCAAAAAAAAATGTAAAATGAAAAAAAAATATTTGGGGTGTTCAAGCTTCCTGAAGGTAATACCCGGGTATTAGGTTATGGGGCTAGGGTAAGGTTAAAGGTTTTTGGAGTTAGAGTTAAAATCAGTGTCCAAAACCTTTTTAGGAACATGTTTAAGACCTTTTGGAGTTGGTTACACCAAAAAAAAAATGTAAAATGAAAAAAAAAAAATTGGGGTGTTCGGGCTTCCTGAAGGTAATACCCGGGTATTAGGTTTTGGGGCTAGGGTAAGGTTTAAGGTTTTTGGTGTTAGGGTTAAAATCACTGTCCAAAACCTTTGTAGGAACTCTTTTCTGACCTTTTGGAGTTAGTTAGACCAAAAAAAAAGAAAAAAGAAAAAAATATAATTGGGGTGTTCGGGCTTCCTGAAGGTAATACCCGGGTATGAGGTTATGGGGCTAGGGTAAGGTTTAAGGTTTTTGGCGTTAGGGTTAAAATCACTGTCCAAAACCTTTTTAGGAACATGTTTCAGACCTTTTGGAGTTGTTAACACCAAAAATAAATGTAAAATGAAAAAAAAATATATGGGGTGTTCGGGTTCCCTGAAGGTAATACCCGGGTATTAGGTTTTGGGGCTAGGGTAAGGTTTAAGGTTTTTGACGTTAGGGTTAAAATCACTGTCCAAAACCTTTTAAGGAACAAGATTCAGACCTTTTGGAGTTGGTTACACCAAAAAAAATGTAAAATGAAAAAAATATATATTTGGGGTGTTCGGGCTTCCTGAAGGTAATACCCGGGTATTAGGTTATGGGGCTAGGGTAAGGTTTAAGGTTTTTGGCGTAAGGGTTAAAATCACTGTCCAATATTTTTTAAGGAACATGTTTCAGACCTTTTGGAGTTAGTTACACCAAAAAAAAAAAGAAAAATGAAAAAATATATATTTGGGGTGTTCGGGCTTCCTGAAGGTAATACCCGGGTATTAGGTTATGGGGCTAGGTTAAGGTTTAAGGTTTTTGGCATGAGGGTTAAAATCACTGTCCAAAACCTTTGTAGGAAGTCTTTTCCAACCTTTTGGAGTTAGTTAGACCAAAAAAAAAAAAAAAATGAAAAAAAATATATTTGGGGTGTTCGGGCTTCCTGAAGGTAATACCCGGGTATTAGGTTATGGGGCTAGGGTAAGGTTTAAGGTTTTTGGCGTTAGGGTTAAAATCACTGTCCAAAACCTTTTTAGGAACATGTTTCAGACCTTTTGGAGTTGGTTACACCAAAAAAAATGTAAAATGAAAAAAAAAAATATTTGGGGTGTTCGGGCTTCCTGAAGGTAATACCCGGGTATTAGGTTATGGGGCTAGGGTAAGGTTTAAGGTTTTTGGCATGAGGGTTAAAATCACTGTCCAAAACCTTTGTAGGAAGTCTTTTCCAACCTTTTGGAGTTAGTTAGACAAAAAAAAAAAGATGAATGAAAAAAAAATATTTGGGGTGTTCGGGCTTCCTGAAGGTAATACCCGGGTATTAGGGTATGGGGCTAGGGTAAGGTTTAAGGTTTTTGGCGTTAGGGTTAAAATCACTGTCCAAAACCTTTTTAGGAACATGTTTCAGACCTTTTGGAGTTGGTTACACCAAAAAAAATGTAAAATGAAAAAAAAAAATATTTGGGGTGTTCGGGCTTCCTGAAGGTAATAGGTTTTGGGGCTAGGGTAAGGTTTAAGGTTTTTGACGTTAGGGTTAAAATCACTGTCCAAAACCTTTTGAGGACCATGTTTCAGACCTTTTGGAGTTGGTTACACCAAAAAAAAATGTAAAATGAAAAAAAAAAATTTGGGGTGTTCGGGCTTCCTGAAGGTAATACCCGGGTATTAGGTTATGGGGCTAGGGTAAGGTTTAAGGTTTTTGGCGTGAGGGTTAAAATCACTGTCCAAAACCTTTGTAGGAAGTCTTTTCCAACCTTTTGGAGTTAGTTAGACAAAAAAAAAAAGATAAATGAAAAAAAAATATTTGGGGTGTTCGGGCTTCCTGAAGGTAATACCCGGGTATTAGGTTATGGGGCTAGGGTAAGGTTTAAGGTTTTTGGCGTTAGGGTTAAAATCACTGTCCAAAACCTTTTTAGGAACATGTTTAAGACCTTTTGGAGTTGGTTACACCAAAAAAAAATGTAAAATGAAAAAAATATATATTTGGGGTGTTCGGGCTTCCTGAAGGTAATACCCGGGTATTAGGTTTTGGGGCTAGGGTAAGGTTTAAGGTTTTTGGCGTTAGGGTTAAAATCACTGTCCAAAACCTTTGTAGGACCTCTTTTCCAACCTTTTGGTGTTAGTTAGACCAAAAAAAAACGAAAATTGAAAAAAAAATATTTGGGGTGTTCGGGCTTCCTGAAGGTAATACCCGGGTATGAGGTTATGGGGCTAGGGTAAGGTTTAAGGTTTTTGGCGTTAGGGTTAAAATCACTGTCCAAAACCTTTTAGGAACATCTTTTCAGACCTTTTGGAGTTAGTTAGACCAAAAAAAAATGAAAATGAAAAAAAAATATTTTGGGTGTTCGGGCTTCCTGAAGGTAATACCCGGGTATTAGGTTATGGGGCTAGGGTAAGGTTTAAGGTTTTTGGCGTTAGGGTTAAAATCACTGTCCAAAACCTTTTTAGGAACATGTTTCAGACCTTTTGGAGTTGGTTACACCAAAAAAAAAGTAAAATGAAAAAAAATATATTTGGGGTGTTCGGGCTTCCTGAAGGTAATACCCGGGTATTAGGTTATGGGGCTAGGGTAAGGTTTAAGGTTTTTGGCGTTAGGGTTAAAATCACTGTCCAAAACCTTTGTAGGAACTCTTTTCGACCTTTTGGAGTTAGTTAGACCAAAAAAAAAGAAAAAAAAAAAAAATATAATTGGGGTGTTCGGGCTTCCTGAAGGTAATACCCGGGTATTAGGTTATGGGGCTAGGGTAAGGTTTAAGGTTTTTGGCGTAAGGGTTAAAATCACTGTCCAAAACCTTTTTAGGAACATGTTTCAGACCTTTTGGAGTTGGTTACACCAAAAAAAATGTAAAATGAAAAAAAAAATATTTGGGGTGTTCGGGCTTCCTGAAGGTAATACCCGGGTATTAGGTTTTGGGGCTAGGGTAAGGTTTAAGGTTTTTGGCGTTAGGGTTAAAATCACTGTCCAAAACCTTTTAAGGAACAAGATTCAGACCTTTTGGAGTTGGTTACACCAAAAAAAATGTAAAATGAAAAAAAAATATTTGGGGTGTTCGGGCTTCCTGAAGGTAATACCCTTCAGGTTTAAGTATTAGGTTATGGGGCTAGGGTTAGGTTTAAGGTTTTTGGCGTAAGGGTTAAAATCACTGTCCAATATTTTTAAGGAACATGTTTCAGACCTTTTGGAGTTAGTTAGACCAAAAAAAAAAAAAAAAGAAAAAAATATATATTTGGGGTGTTCGGGCTTCCTGAAGGTAATACCCGGGTATTAGGTTATGGGGCTAGGGTAAGGTTTAAGGTTTTTGGCTGAGGGTTAAAATCACTGTCCAAAACCTTTGTAGGAACGTCTTTTCCAACCTTTTGGAGTTAGTTAGACAAAAAAAAAAAAGATGAATGAAAAAAAAATATTTGGGGTGTTCGGGCTTCCTGAAGGTAATACCCGGGTATTAGGTTATGGGGCTAGGGTAAGGTTTAAGGTTTTTGGCGTTAGGGTTAAAATCACTGTCCAAAACCTTTTTAGGAACATGTTTCAGACCTTTTGGAGTTGGTTACACCAAAAAAAATGTAAAATGAAAAAAAAAAATATTTGGGGTGTTCGGGCTTCCTGAAGGTAATAGGTTTTGGGGCTAGGGTAAGGTTTAAGGTTTTTGGCGTTAGGGTTAAAATCACTGTCCAAAACCTTTTAAGGACCATGTTTCAGACCTTTTGGAGTTGGTTACACCAAAAAAAAATGTAAAATGCAAATAAAAAAAATTGGGGGTTTTTGGGCTTCCTGAAGGTAATACCCGGGTATTAGGTTATGGGGCTAGGGTAAGGTTTAAGGTTTTTGGCGTTAGGGTTAAAATCACTGTCCAAAACCTTTTAAGGAACATGTTTCAGACCTTTTGGAGTTAGTTACACCAAAAAAAAAAAAATGAAAAAAAAATATTTTGGGGTGTTCGGGCTTCCTGAAGGTAATACCCGGGTATTAGGTTTGGGGCTGGTAAGGTTTAAGGTTTTTGGCGTTAGGGTTAAAATCACTGTCCAAAACCTTTGTAGGAACTCTTTTCCAACCTTTTGGAGTTAGTTAGACCAAAAAAAAGATGAAAAAAAAAAAATATAATTGGGGTGTTCGGGCTTCCTGAAGGTAATACCCGGGTATTAGGTTATGGGGCTAGGGTAAGGTTTAAGGTTTTTGGCGTTAGGGTTAAAATCACTGTCCAAAACCTTTTTAGGAACATGTTTCAGACCTTTTGGAGTTGTTACACCAAAAAAAATGTAAAATGAAAAAAAAATATTTGGGGTGTTCGGGCTTCCTGAAGGTAATACCCGGGTATTAGGTTATGGGGCTAGGGTAAGGTTTAAGGTTTTTGGCGTTAGGGTTAAAATCACTGTCCAAAACCTTTTAGGAACATGTTTCAGACCTTTTGGAGTTGGTTACACCAAAAAAAATGTAAAATGAAAAAAAAATATTTTGGGGTGTTCGGGCTTCCTGAAGGTAATACCCGGGTATTAGGTTATGGGGCTAGGGTAAGGTTTAAGGTTTTTGGCGTAGGGTTAAAATCACTGTCCAAAACCTTTTAGGAACATGTTTCAGACCTTTTGGAGTTAGTTAGACCAAAAAAAAAAAAAAATGAAAAAAATATTTGGGGTGTTCGGGCTTCCTGAAGGTAATACCCGGGTATTAGGTTATGGGGCTAGGGTAAGGTTTAAGGTTTTTGGCGTTAGGGTTAAAATCACTGTCCAAAACCTTTTTAGGAACATGTTTCCAGACCTTTTGGAGTTAGTTAGACCAAAAAAAAAGAAAATGAAAAAAAAATATTTGGGGTGTTCGGGCTTCCTGAAGGTAATACCCGGGTATTAGGTTATGGGGCTAGGGTAAGGTTTAAGGTTTTTGGCGTTAGGGTTAAAATCACTGTCCAAAACCTTTTAAGGAACATGTTTCAGACCTTTTGGAGTTGGTTACACCAAAAAAAAATGTAAAATGAAAAAAAAATATATTTGGGGTGTTCGGGCTTCCTGAAGGTAATACCCGGGTATTAGGTTTTGGGGCTAGGGTTAGGTTTAAGGTTTTTGGCGTTAGGGTTAAAATCACTGTCCAATATTTTTTAAGGAACATGTTTCAGACCTTTTGGAGTTAGTTAGACCAAAAAAAAAAAGAAAAAGAAAAAATATATATTTGGGGTGTTCGGGCTTCCTGAAGGTAATACCCGGGTATTAGGTTATGGGGCTAGGGTAAGGTTTAAGGTTTTTGGCATGAGGGTTAAAATCACTGTCCAAAACCTTTGTAGGAAGTCTTTTCCAACCTTTTGGAGTTAGTTAGACAAAAAAAAAAAAAAATGAAAATGAAAAAAAAATATTTGGGGTGTTCGGGCTTCCTGAAGGTAATACCCGGGTATTAGGTTATGGGGCTAGGGTAAGGTTTAAGGTTTTTGGCGTTAGGGTTAAAATCACTGTCCAAAACCTTTTTAGGAACATGTTTCAGACCTTTTGGAGTTGGTTACACCAAAAAAAATGTAAAATGAAAAAAATATATATTTGGGGTGTTCGGGCTTCCTGAAGGTAATACTAGGTTTCTGGGCTAGGGTAAGGTTTAAGGTTTTTGGCGTTAGGGTTAAAATCACTGTCCAAAACCTTTTTAGGAACATGTTTCAGACCTTTTGGAGTTGGTTACACCAAAAAAAAAAAGAAAAATGAAAAAAAATATATTTGGGGTGTTCGGGCTTCCTGAAGGTAATACCCGGGTATTAGGTTATGGGGCTAGGGTAAGGTTTAAGGTTTTTGGCGTGAGGGTTAAAATCACTGTCCAAAACCTTTGTAGGAAGTCTTTTCCAACCTTTTGGAGTTAGTTAGACAAAAAAAAAAAGATAAATGAAAAAAAAATATTTGGGGTGTTCGGGCTTCCTGAAGGTAATACCCGGGTATTAGGTTTTGGGGCTAGGGTAAGGTTTAAGGTTTTTGGCGTTAGGGTTAAAATCACTGTCCAAAACCTTTTTAGGAACATGTTTAAGACCTTTTGGAGTTGGTTACACCAAAAAAAAATGTAAAATGAAAAAAATATATATTTGGGGTGTTCGGGCTTCCTGAAGGTAATACCCGGGTATTAGGTTATGGGGCTAGGGTAAGGTTTAAGGTTTTTGGCGTGAGGGTTAAAATCACTGTCCAAAACCTTTTTAGGAACATGTTTCAGACCTTTTGGAGCTAGTTAGACCAAAAAAAAACGAAAAATGAAAAAAAAAATATTTGGGGTTTTTGGGCTTCCTGAAGGTAATACCCGGGTATTAGGTTATGGGGCTAGGTTAAGGTTTAAGGTTTTTGGCATGAGGGTTAAAATCACTGTCCAAAACCTTTGTAGGAAGTCTTTTCCAACCTTTTGGAGTTAGTTAGACCAAAAAAAAATGAAAAATGAAAAAAAAAAATTTGGGGTGTTCGGGCTTCCTGAAGGTAATACCCGGGTATGAGGTTATGGGGCTTGGGTTAGGTTTAAGGTATTTGGCGTTAGGGTTAAAATCACTGTCCAAAACCTTTTTAGGAACATGTTTCAGACCTTTTGGAGTTGGTTACACCAAAAAAAATGTAAAATGAAAAAAAAAATATTTGGGGTGTTCGGGCTTCCTGAAGGTAATACCCGGGTATTAGGTTATGGGGCTAGGGTAAGGTTTAAGGTTTTTGGCGTTAGGGTTAAAATCACTGTCCAAAACCTTTTTAGGAACATGTTTAAGACCTTTTGGAGTTGGTTACACCAAAAAAAATGTAAAATGAAAAAAAAAATATTTGGGGTGTTCGGGCTTCCTGAAGGTAATACCCGGGTATTAGGTTATGGGGCTAGGGTAAGGTTTAAGGTTTTTGGCGTTAGGGTTAAAATCACTGTCCAAAACCTTTTTAGGAACATGTTTCAGACCTTTTGGAGTTAGTTAGACCAAAAAAAAATGAAAATGAAAAAAAAAATATAATTGGGGTGTTCGGGCTTCCTGAAGGTAATACCCGGGTATTAGGTTTTGGGGCTAGGGTAAGGTTTAAGGTTTTTGGCGTTAGGGTTAAAATCACTGTCCAATATTTTTTAAGGAACATGTTTCAGACCTTTTGGAGTTAGTTACACCAAAAAAAATGTAAAATGAAAAAAAAAAAATATTTGGGGTGTTCGGGCTTCCTGAAGGTAATACCCGGGTATTAGGTTATGGGGCTAGGGTAAGGTTTAAGGTTTTTGGCGTTAGGGTTAAAATCACTGTCCAAAACCTTTTAGGAACATGTTTCAGACCTTTTGGAGTTGGTTACACCAAAAAAAATGTAAAATGAAAAAAAATATTTTGGGGTGTTCGGGCTTCCTGAAGGTAATACCCGGGTATTAGGTTATGGGGCTAGGGTAAGGTTTAAGGTTTTTGGCGTTAGGGTTAAAATCACTGTCCAAAACCTTTGTAGGAACATCTTTTCCAGACCTTTTGGAGTTAGTTAGACCAAAAAAAAAGATAAAATGAAAAAAAAATATTTGGGGTGTTCGGGCTTCCTGAAGGTAATACCCGGGTAAGGTTTAAGGTTTTTGGCGTAAGGGTTAAAATCACTGTCCAAAACCTTTTTAGGAACATGTTTCAGACCTTTTGGAGCTAGTTTGACCAAAAAAAAAGAAAAATGAAAAAAAAATATTTGGGGTGTTCGGGCTTCCTGAAGGTAATACCCGGGTATTAGGTTATGGGGCTAGGGTAAGGTTTAAGGTTTTTGGCGTTAGGGTTAAAATCCCTGTCCAAAACCTTTGTAGGAACATGTTTCAGACCTTTTGGAGTTAGTTACACAAAAAAAAAATGTAAAATGAAAAAAAAATATTTGGGGTGTTCGGGCTTCCTGAAGGTAATACCCGGGTATTAGGTTATGGGGCTAGGGTAAGGTTTAAGGTTTTTGGCGTTAGGGTTAAAATCACTGTCCAAAACCTTTTTAGGAACATGTTTCAGACCTTTTGGAGTTGGTTACACCAAAAAAAAATGTAAAATGAAAAAAAAATATTTGGGGTGTTCGGGCTTCCTGAAGGTAATACCCGGGTATTAGGTTTTGGGGCTAGGGTAAGGTTTAAGGTTTTTGGCGTTAGGGTTAAAATCACTGTCCAAAACCTTTGTAGGAACATTTTCAGACCTTTTGGAGTTAGTTAGACCAAAAAAAAAAAAATGAAAAAAAATATATTGGGGTGTTCGGGCTTCCTGAAGGTAATACCCGGGTATTAGGTTATGGGGCTAGGGTAAGGTTTAAGGTTTTTGGCGTTAGGGTTAAAATCACTGTCCAAAACCTTTTTAGGAACATGTTTCAGACCTTTTGGAGTTGGTTACACCAAAAAAAATGTAAAATGAAAAAAAAATATATTTGGGGTGTTCGGGCTTCCTGAAGGTAATACCCGGGTATTAGGTTATGGGGCTAGGGTAAGGTTTAAGGTTTTTGGCGTTAGGGTTAAAATCACTGTCCAAAACCTTTTAGGAACATGTTTCAGACCTTTTGGAGTTGGTTACACCAAAAAAATGTAAAATGAAAAAAATATATATTTGGGGTGTTCGGGCTTCCTGAAGGTAATACCCGGGTATTAGGTTATGGGGCTAGGGTAAGGTTTAAGGTTTTTGGCGTAAGGGTTAAAATCACTGTCCAAAACCTTTTTAGGAACATGTTTCAGACCTTTTAGAGTTGGTTACACCAAAAAAAAAAGAAAAAGAAAAAATATATATTTGGGGTGTTCGGGCTTCCTGAAGGTAATACCCGGGTATTAGGTTATGGGGCTGGTAAGGTTTAAGGTTTTTGGCGTAGGGTTAAAATCACTGTCCAAAACCTTTGTAGGAACAGTCTTTTCCAGACCTTTTGGAGTTAGTTAGACCAAAAAAAAAAAAAATGAAAAAAAAATATTTGGGGTGTTCGGGCTTCCTGAAGGTAATACCCGGGTATTAGGTTATGGGGCTAGGGTAAGGTTTAAGGTTTTTGGCGTTAGGGTTAAAATCACTGTCCAAAACCTTTTTAGGAACATGTTTCAGACCTTTTGGAGTTGGTTACACCAAAAAAAATGTAAAATGAAAAAAAAATATTTTGGGGTGTTCGGGCTTCCTGAAGGTAATACCCGGGTATTAGGTTATGGGGCTAGGGTAAGGTTTAAGGTTTTTGGCGTTAGGGTTAAAATCACTGTCCAAAACCTTTTAGGAACATGTTTCAGACCTTTTGGAGTTGGTTAACCAAAAAAAAATGTAAAATGAAAAAAAAAAATTTGGGGTGTTCGGGCTTCCTGAAGGTAATACCCGGGTATTAGGTTTTGGGGCTAGGGTAAGGTTTAAGGTTTTTGGCGTAAGGGTTAAAATCACTGTCCAAAACCTTTTTAGGAACATGTTTCAGACCTTTTGGAGTTAGTTAGACCAAAAAAAAAGTAAAAAGAAAAAAATATATATTTGGGGTGTTCGGGCTTCCTGAAGGTAATACCCGGGTATTAGGTTATGGGGCTAGGGTAAGGTTTAAGGTTTTTGGCGTTAGGGTTAAAATCACTGTCCAAAACCTTTGTAGGAACTCTTTTCAGACCTTTTGGAGTTAGTTAGACCAAAAAAAAATGTAAAATGAAAAAAATATATATTTGGGGTGTTCGGGCTTCCTGAAGGTAATACCCGGGTATTAGGTTATGGGGCTAGGGTAAGGTTTAAGGTTTTTGGCGTTAGGGTTAAAATCACTGTCCAAAACCTTTTTAGGAACATGTTTCAGACCTTTTGGAGTTGGTTACACCAAAAAAAATGTAAAATGAAAAAAAAAATATTTGGGGTGTTCGGGCTTCCTGAAGGTAATACCCGGGTATTAGGTTATGGGGCTAGGGTAAGGTTTAAGGTTTTTGGCGTTAGGGTTAAAATCACTGTCCAAAACCTTTTTAAGGAACATGTTTCAGACCTTTTGGAGTTGGTTACACCAAAAAAAAAAAGAAAAAGAAAAAATATATATTTGGGGTGTTCGGGCTTCCTGAAGGTAATACCCGGGTATTAGGTTATGGGGCTAGGTTAAGGTTTAAGGTTTTTGGCATGAGGGTTAAAATCACTGTCCAAAACCTTTGTAGGAACATGTTTCCAACCTTTTGGAGTTAGTTAGACCAAAAAAAAAGAAAAATGAAAAAAAAATATTTGGGGTGTTCGGGCTTCCTGAAGGTAATACCCGGGTATTAGGTTATGGGGCTAGGGTAAGGTTTAAGGTTTTTGGCGTTAGGGTTAAAATCACTGTCCAAAACCTTTTAGGAACATTTTCAGACCTTTTGGAGTTGGTTACACCAAAAAAAAAGAAAATGAAAAAAAAAATATTTGGGGTGTTCGGGCTTCCTGAAGGTAATACCCGGGTATTAGGTTATGGGGCTAGGGTAAGGTTTAAGGTTTTTGGCGTTAGGGTTAAAATCACTGTCCAAAACCTTTTAGGAACATGTTTCAGACCTTTTGGAGTTGGTTACACCAAAAAAAAAGTAAAATGAAAAAAAAAATATTTTGGGGTGTTCGGGCTTCCTGAAGGTAATACCCGGGTATTAGGTTATGGGGCTAGGGTAAGGTTTAAGGTTTTTGGCGTTAGGGTTAAAATCACTGTCCAAAACCTTTTAGGAACATGTTTCAGACCTTTTGGAGTTAGTTAGACCAAAAAAAAAAAAAAATGAAAAAAATATATTTGGGGTGTTCGGGCTTCCTGAAGGTAATACCCGGGTATTAGGTTATGGGGCTAGGGTAAGGTTTAAGGTTTTTGGCGTTAGGGTTAAAATCACTGTCCAAAACCTTTTTAGTAACATGTTTAAGACCTTTTGGAGTTGGTTAGACCAAAAAAAAATGTAAAATGAAAAAAAAATATTTGGGGTGTTCGGGCTTCCTGAAGGTAATACCCGGGTATTAGGTTATGGGGCTAGGGTAAGGTTTAAGGTTTTTGGCGTTAGGGTTAAAATCACTGTCCAAAACCTTTTTAGGAACATGTTTCAGACCTTTTGGAGTTGGTTACACCAAAAAAAATGTAAAATGAAAAAAAAAATTTTTGGGGTGTTCGGGCTTCCTGAAGGTAATACCCGGGTATTAGGTTATGGGGCTAGGGTAAGGTTTAAGGTTTTTGGCGTTAGGGTTAAAATCACTGTCCAAAACCTTTTAGGAACATGTTTCAGACCTTTTGGAGTTAGTTAGACCAAAAAAAAAAGAAAATGAAAAAAAAAATATTTTGGGGTGTTCGGGCTTCCTGAAGGTAATACCCGGGTATTAGGTTATGGGGCTAGGGTAAGGTTTAAGGTTTTTGGCGTTAGGGTTAAAATCACTGTCCAAAACCTTTTTAGGAACATTTTTCAAACCTTTTGGAGTTGGTTAGACAAAAAAAAAATGTAAAATGAAAAAAAATATTTGGGGTGTTCGGGCTTCCTGAAGGTAATACCCGGGTATTAGGTTATGGGGCTAGGGTAAGGTTTAAGGTTTTTGGCGTAAGGGTTAAAATCACTGTCCAAAACCTTTTTAGGAACATGTTTCAGACCTTTTGGAGTTGGTTACACCAAAAAAAAAGAAAAATGAAAAAAATATATATTTGGGGTGTTCGGGCTTCCTGAAGGTATTAGGTATTGGGGCTAGGGTAAGGTTTAAGGTTTTTGGCGTGAGGGTTAAAATCACTGTCCAAAACCTTTGTAGGAAGTCTTTTCCAACCTTTTGGAGTTAGTTAGACAAAAAAAAAAAGATAAATGAAAAAAAAATATTTGGGGTGTTCGGGCTTCCTGAAGGTAATACCCGGGTATTAGGTTATGGGGCTAGGGTAAGGTTTAAGGTTTTTGGCGTTAGGGTTAAAATCACTGTCCAAAACCTTTTTAGGAACATGTTTAAGACCTTTTGGAGTTGGTTACACCAAAAAAAATGTAAAATGAAAAAAATATATATTTGGGGTGTTCGGGCTTCCTGAAGGTAATACCCGGGTATTAGGTAATGGGGCTAGGGTAAGGTTTAAGGTTTTTGGCGTTAGGGTTAAAATCACTGTCCAAAACCTTTTAGGAACATTTTCCAACCTTTTGGAGTTAGTTAGACCAAAAAAAAAGTAAAATGAAAAAAAAATATTTGGGGTGTTCGGGCTTCCTGAAGGTAATACCCGGGTATTAGGTTATGGGGCTAGGGTAAGGTTTAAGGTTTTTGGCGTAGGGTTAAAATCACTGTCCAAAACCTTTTAGGAACATGTTTCAGACCTTTTGGAGTTAGTTAGACCAAAAAAAAATGAAAAATGAAAAAAAAATATTTGGGGTGTTCGGGCTTCCTGAAGGTAATACCCGGGTATTAGGTTATGGGGCTAGGGTTAGGTTTAAGGTTTTTGGCGTTAGGGTTAAAATCACTGTCCAAAACCTTTTTAGGAACATGTTTCAGACCTTTTGGAGTTGGTTAGACCAAAAAAAAATGTAAAATGAAAAAAAAAATATTTGGGGTGTTCGGGCTTCCTGAAGGTAATACCCGGGTATTAGGTTATGGGGCTAGGGTAAGGTTTAAGGTTTTTGGCGTTAGGGTTAAAATCACTGTCCAAAACCTTTTTAGGAACATGTTTCAGACCTTTTGGAGTTGGTTACACCAAAAAAAAAAAAATGAAAAAAAAATATATTTGGGGTGTTCGGGCTTCCTGAAGGTAATACCCGGGTATTAGGTTATGGGGCTAGGGTAAGGTTTAAGGTTTTTGGCGTTAGGGTTAAAATCACTGTCCAAAACCTTTTTAGGAACATGTTTCAGACCTTTTGGAGTTAGTTAGACCAAAAAAAAGAAAAATGAAAAAAAAATATTTGGGGTGTTCGGGCTTCCTGAAGGTAATACCCGGGTATTAGGTTATGGGGCTAGGGTAAGGTTTAAGGTTTTTGGCGTTAGGGTTAAAATCACTGTCCAAAACCTTTTTAGGAACATGTTTCAGACCTTTTGGAGTTGGTAACACCAAAAAAAAATGTAAAATGAAAAAAAAAAATTGGGGTGTTCGGGCTTCCTGAAGGTAATACCCGGGTATTAGGTTTTGGGGCTAGGGTAAGGTTTAAGGTTTTTGGCGTTAGGGTTAAAATCACTGTCCAAAACCTTTTAGGAACATGTTCAGACCTTTTGGAGTTGGTTACACCAAAAAAAAAGTAAAATGAAAAAAAAAATATTTGGGGTGTTCGGGCTTCCTGAAGGTAATACCCGGGTATTAGGTTATGGGGCTAGGGTAAGGTTTAAGGTTTTTGGCGTTAGGGTTAAAATCACTGTCCAAAACCTTTTAGGAACATGTTTCAGACCTTTTGGAGTTAGTTAGACCAAAAAAAAAAAAATGAAAAAAAAAATATTTGGGGTGTTCGGGCTTCCTGAAGGTAATACCCGGGTATTAGGTTATGGGGCTAGGGTAAGGTTTAAGGTTTTTGGCGTTAGGGTTAAAATCACTGTCCAAAACCTTTGTAGGAAGTCTTTTCCAACCTTTTGGAGTTAGTTAGACAAAAAAAAAAGATAAATGAAAAAAAAAATATTTGGGGTGTTCGGGCTTCCTGAAGGTAATACCCGGGTATGAGGTTATGGGGCTAGGGTAAGGTTTAAGGTTTTTGGCGTTAGGGTTAAAATCACTGTCCAAAACCTTTTTAGGAACATGTTTAAGACCTTTTGGAGTTGGTTACACCAAAAAAAAATGTAAAATGAAAAAAAAATATTTGGGGTGTTCGGGCTTCCTGAAGGTAATACCCGGGTATTAGGTTATGGGGCTAGGGTAAGGTTTAAGGTTTTTGGCGTTAGGGTTAAAATCACTGTCCAAAACCTTTTTAGGAACATGTTTCAGACCTTTTGGAGTTAGTTAGACCAAAAAAAAAGAAAAAAAAAAAAAATATTTGGGGTGTTCGGGCTTCCTGAAGGTAATACCCGGGTATTAGGTTATGGGGCTAGGGTAAGGTTTAAGGTTTTTGGCGTTAGGGTTAAAATCACTGTCCAAAACCTTTTAGGAACATGTTTCAGACCTTTTGGAGTTGGTTACACCAAAAAAAAAATGTAAAATGAAAAAAAAATATTTGGGGTGTTCGGGCTTCCTGAAGGTAATACCCGGGTATTAGGTTTTGGGGCTAGGGTAAGGTTTAAGGTTTTTGGCGTTAGGGTTAAAATCACTGTCCAAAACCTTTGTAGGAACATTTTCAACCTTTTGGAGTTAGTTAGACCAAAAAAAAAAAAAATGAAAAAAAAATATTTGGGGTGTTCGGGCTTCCTGAAGGTAATACCCGGGTATTAGGTTATGGGGCTAGGGTAAGGTTTAAGGTTTTTGGCGTTAGGGTTAAAATCACTGTCCAAAACCTTTTTAGGAACATGTTTCAGACCTTTTGGAGTTGGTTACACCAAAAATAAATGTAAAATGAAAAAAAAATATATGGGGTGTTCGGGTTTCCTGAAGGTAATACCCGGGTATTAGGTTATGGGGCTAGGGTAAGGTTTAAGGTTTTTGGCGTTAGGGTTAAAATCACTGTCCAAAACCTTTTAGGAACAGTTTCAGACCTTTTGGAGTTGGTTAGACACCAAAAAAAATGTAAAATGAAAAAAAAAATATTTGGGGTGTTCGGGCTTCCTGAAGGTAATACCCGGGTATTAGGTTATGGGGCTAGGATTAGGTTTAAGGTTTTTGGCGTAAGGGTTAAAATCACTGTCCAAAACCTTTTTAGGAACATGTTTCAGACCTTTTGGAGTTGGTTACACAAAAAAAAAAAAGAAAAATGAAAAAAAAATATTTGGGGTGTTCGGGCTTCCTGAAGGTAATACCCGGGTATTAGGTTATGGGGCTAGGGTAAGGTTTAAGGTTTTTGGCGTTAGGGTTAAAATCACTGTCCAAAACCTTTGTAGGAACATGTTTCAGACCTTTTGGAGTTGGTTACAAAAAAAAAAAATGTAAAATGAAAAAAAAATATTTGGGGTGTTCGGGCTTCCTGAAGGTAATACCCGGGTATGAGGTTATGGGGCTAGGGTAAGGTTTAAGGTTTTTGGCGTTAGGGTTAAAATCACTGTCCAAAACCTTTTTAGGAACATGTTTCAGACCTTTTGGAGCTAGTTTGACCAAAAAAAAAAAGAAAAAGAAAAAATATATATTTGGGGTGTTCGGGCTTCCTGAAGGTAATACCCGGGTATTAGGTTATGGGGCTAGGGTAAGGTTTAAGGTTTTTGGCGTTAGGGTTAAAATCACTGTCCAAAACCTTTTTAGGAACATGTTTCAGACCTTTTGGAGTTAGTTAGACCAAAAAAAAATGTAAAATGAAAAAAAAATATTTGGGGTGTTCGGGCTTCCTGAAGGTAATACCCGGGTATTAGGTTATGGGGCTAGGGTAAGGTTTAAGGTTTTTGGCGTTAGGGTTAAAATCACTGTCCAAAACCTTTTTAGGAACATGTTTCAGACCTTTTGGAGTTAGTTAGACCAAAAAAAAAGAAAAAAGAAAAAAAAAATATTTGGGGTGTTCGGGCTTCCTGAAGGTAATACCCGGGTATTAGGTTATGGGGCTAGGGTAAGGTTTAAGGTTTTTGGCGTTAGGGTTAAAATCACTGTCCAAAACCTTTTTAGGAACATGTTTAAGACCTTTTGGAGTTGGTTACACCAAAAAAAAATGTAAAATGAAAAAAAAATATAATTGGGGTGTTCGGGCTTCCTGAAGGTAATACCCGGGTATTAGGTTATGGGGCTAGGGTAAGGTTTAAGGTTTTTGGCGTAAGGGTTAAAATCACTGTCCAAAACCTTTTTAGGAACATGTTTCAGACCTTTTGGAGCTAGTTTGACCAAAAAAGAAAAGAAAAAGAAAAAATATATATTTGGGGTGTTCGGGCTTCCTGAAGGTAATACCCGGGTATTAGGTTATGGGGCTAGGGTAAGGTTTAAGGTTTTTGGCGTGAGGGTTAAAATCACTGTCCAAAACCTTTGTAGGAACTCTTTTCCAACCTTTTGGAGTTAGTTAGACCAATAAAAAAATGAAAAATGAAAAAAAAAAATTTGGGGTGTTTGGGCTTCCTGAAGGTAATACCCGGGTATTAGGTTTTGGGGCTAGGGGTAAGGTTTAAGGTTTTTGGCGTTAGGGTTAAAATCACTGTCCAAAACCTTTTAGGAACATGTTTCAGACCTTTTGGAGTTAGTTAGACCAAAAAAAATGAAAAATGAAAAAAAAATATTTGGGGTGTTCGGGCTTCCTGAAGGTAATACCCGGGTATTAGGTTATGGGGCTAGGGTAAGGTTTAAGGTTTTTGGCGTTAGGGTTAAAATCACTGTCCAAAACCTTTTTAGGAACATGTTTCAGACCTTTTGGAGTTGGTTACACCAAAAAAAATGTAAAATGAAAAAAAAAATATTTGGGGTGTTCGGGCTTCCTGAAGGTAATACCCGGGTATTAGGTTATGGGGCTAGGGTAAGGTTTAAGGTTTTTGGCGTGAGGGTTAAAATCACTGTCCAAAACCTTTTTAGGAACATTTTTCAGACCTTTTGGAGTTAGTTAGACCAAAAAAAAAGAAAAATGAAAAAAAATATTTGGGGTGTTCGGGCTTCCTGAAGGTAATACCCGGGTATTAGGTTATGGGGCTAGGGTAAGGTTTAAGGTTTTTGGCGTTAGGGTTAAAATCACTGTCCAAAACCTTTTTAGGAACATGTTTCAGACCTTTTGGAGTTGTTACACCAAAAAAAAATGTAAAATGAAAAAAAAATATTTGGGGTGTTCGGGCTTCCCTGAAGGTAATACCCGGGTATTAGGTTTTGGGGCTAGGGTAAGGTTTAAGGTTTTTGGCGTTAGGGTTAAAATCACTGTCCAAAACCTTTTAGGAACATGTTTCAGACCTTTTGGAGTTGGTTACACCAAAAAAAAAGTAAAATGAAAAAAAAATATTTGGGGTGTTCGGGCTTCCTGAAGGTAATACCCGGGTATTAGGTTATGGGGCTAGGGTAAGGTTTAAGGTTTTTGGCGTTAGGGTTAAAATCACTGTCCAAAACCTTTTAGGAACATGTTTCAGACCTTTTGGAGTTAGTTAGACCAAAAAAAAAAAAAAATGAAAAAAAAAATATTTGGGGTGTTCGGGCTTCCTGAAGGTAATACCCGGGTATTAGGTTATGGGGCTAGGGTAAGGTTTAAGGTTTTTGGCGTTAGGGTTAAAATCACTGTCCAAAACCTTTTTAGGAACATGTTTCAGACCTTTTGGAGTTGGTTAGACAAAAAAAAAAAAACGAAAAATATTTGGGGTGTTAGGGCTTCCTCTAGGTAATACCCTGGTATTAGGTTATGGGGCTAGGGTAAGGTTTAAGGTTTTTGGCGTTAGGGTTAAAATCACTGTCCAAAACCTTTTTAGGAACATGTTTCAGACCTTTTGGAGTTGGTTACACCAAAAAAAATGTAAAATGAAAAAAAAATATTTGGGGTGTTCGGGCTTCCTGAAGGTAATACCCGGGTATTAGGTTTTGGGGCTAGGGTAAGGTTTAAGGTTTTTGGCGTTAGGGTTAAAATCACTGTCCAAAACCTTTGTAGGAAGTCTTTTCCAACCTTTTGGAGTTAGTTAGACCAAAAAAAAAAATAAAAATGAAAAAAAAAATATTTGGGGTGTTCGGGCTTCCTGAAGGTAATACCCGGGTATTAGGTTATGGGGCTAGGGTAAGGTTTAAGGTTTTTGGCGTTAGGGTTAAAATCACTGTCCAAAACCTTTTTAGGAACATGTTTCAGACCTTTTGGAGTTGGTTACACCAAAAAAAATGTAAAATGAAAAAAAAAATATTTGGGGTGTTCGGGCTTCCTGAAGGTAATACCCGGGTATTAGGTTTTGGGGCTAGGGTAAGGTTTAAGGTTTTTGACGTTAGGGTTAAAATCACTGTCCAAAACCTTTTAAGGAACAAGATTCAGACCTTTTGGAGTTGGTTACACCAAAAAAAATGTAAAATGAAAAAAAATATAAATTGGGGTTTTTGGGCTTCCTGAAGGTAATACCCGGGTATTAGGTTATGGGGCTGGGTTAGGTTTAAGGTTTTTGGCGTTAGGGTTAAAATCACTGTCCAAAACCTTTTTAGGAACATGTTTCAGACCTTTTGGAGTTGTTACACCAAAAAAAAAGAAAATGAAAAAAAAATATTTGGGGTGTTCGGGCTTCCTGAAGGTAATACCCGGGTATTAGGTTATGGGGCTAGGGTAAGGTTTAAGGTTTTTGGCGTTAGGGTTAAAATCACTGTCCAAAACCTTTGTAGGAACTCTTTTCAACCTTTTGGAGTTAGTTAGACCAAAAAAAAAAAAAAATGAAAAAAAAATATTTGGGGTGTTCGGGCTTCCTGAAGGTAATACCCGGGTATTAGGTTATGGGGCTAGGGTAAGGTTTAAGGTTTTTGGCGTTAGGGTTAAAATCACTGTCCAAAACCTTTTTAGGAACATGTTTCAGACCTTTTGGAGTTGTTAACACCAAAAATAAATGTAAAATGAAAAAAAAATATATGGGGTGTTCGGGCTTCCTGAAGGTAATACCCGGGTATTAGGTTTTGGGGCTAGGGTAAGGTTTAAGGTTTTTGGCGTTAGGGTTAAAATCACTGTCCAAAACCTTTTTAGGAACATGTTTCAGACCTTTTGGAGTTGGTTACACCAAAAAAAAATGTAAAATGAAAAAAAAAATATTTGGGGTGTTCGGGCTTCCTGAAGGTAATACCCGGGTATTAGGTTATGGGGCTAGGGTAAGGTTTAAGGTTTTTGGCGTTAGGGTTAAAATCACTGTCCAAAACCTTTTTAGGAACATGTTTCAGACCTTTTGGAGATAGTTACACCAAAAAAAAAAAGAAAAAGAAAAAAAAATATTTGGGGTGTTCGGGCTTCCTGAAGGTAATACCCGGGTATTAGGTTTTGGGGCTAGGGTAAGGTTTAAGGTTTTTGGTGTTAGGGTTAAAATCACTGTCCAAAACCTTTGTAGGAACTCTTTTCCAACCTTTTGGAGTTAGTTAGACCAAAAAAAAGAAAATGAAAAAAAAAATATTTGGGGTGTTCGGGCTTCCTGAAGGTAATACCCGGGTATTAGGTTATGGGGCTAGGGTAAGGTTTAAGGTTTTTGGCGTTAGGGTTAAAATCACTGTCCAAAACCTTTTTAGGACCATGTTTCAGACCTTTTGGAGTTGGTTACACCAAAAAAAAAAAAGAAAAAGAAAAAAAAAATATTTGGGGTGTTCGGGCTTCCTGAAGGTAATACCCGGGTATTAGGTTATGGGGCTAGGGTAAGGTTTAAGGTTTTTGGCGTTAGGGTTAAAATCACTGTCCAAAACCTTTTAGGAACATGTTTCAGACCTTTTGGAGTTGGTTACACCAAAAAAAATGTAAAATGAAAAAAAATATTTGGGGTGTTCGGGCTTCCTGAAGGTAATACCCGGGTATTAGGTTATGGGGCTAGGGTAAGGTTTAAGGTTTTTGGCGTTAGGGTTAAAATCACTGTCCAAAACCTTTTTAGGAACATGTTTCAGACCTTTTGGAGTTAGTTAGACAAAAAAAAAAAGATAAATGAAAAAAAAAATATTTGGGGTGTTCGGGCTTCCTGAAGGTAATACCCGGGTATTAGGTTATGGGGCTAGGGTAAGGTTTAAGGTTTTTGGTGTTAGGGTTAAAATCACTGTCCAAAACCTTTGTAGGAACTCTTTTCTGGCCTTTTGGAGTTAGTTAGACCAAAAAAAAAGAAAAAAGAAAAAAATATAATTGGGGTGTTCGGGCTTCCTGAAGGTAATACCCGGGTATTAGGTTATGGGGCTAGGGTAAGGTTTAAGGTTTTTGGCGTTAGGGTTAAAATCACTGTCCAAAAACTTTTTAGGAACATGTTTCAGACATTTTGGAGTTAGTTAGACCAAAAAAAAAAAAGAAAAAGAAAAAAAAAATATTTGGGGTGTTCGGGCTTCCTGAAGGTAATACCCGGGTATTAGGTTATGGGGCTAGGGTAAGGTTTAAGGTTTTTGGCGTGAGGGTTAAAATCACTGTCCAAAACCTTTGTAGGAACTCTTTTCCAACCTTTTGGAGTTAGTTAGACCAAAAAAAAATGAAAAATGAAAAAAAAATATTTGGGGTGTTCGGGCTTCCTGAAGGTAATACCCGGGTATTAGGTTATGGGGCTAGGATTAGGTTTAAGGTTTTTGGCGTTAGGGTTAAAATCACTGTCCAATACCTTTTTAGGAACATGTTTCAGACCTTTTGGAGTTAGTTAGACCAAAAAAAAAGAAAAAGAAAAAAAAATATTTGGGGTGTTCGGGCTTCCTGAAGGTAATACCCGGGTATTAGGTTATGGGGCTAGGGTAAGGTTTAAGGTTTTTGGCGTTAGGGTTAAAATCACTGTCCAAAACCTTTTAGGAACTCTTTTCCAACCTTTTGGAGTTAGTTAGACCAAAAAAAAAGAAAATGAAAAAAAAATATTTGGGGTGTTCGGGCTTCCTGAAGGTAGGTGTGCGGGTATTAGGTTATGGGGCTAGGGTAAGGTTTAAGGTTTTTGGCGTGAGGGTTAAAATCACTGTCCAAAACCTTTTTAGGAACATGTTTCAGACCTTTTGGAGTTAGTTAGACCAAAAAAAAAAGAAAAAAAAAAAAAATATTTGGGGTGTTTGGGCTTCCTGAAGGTAATACCCGGGTATTAGGTTATGGGGCTAGGGTAAGGTTTAAGGTTTTTGGCGTTAGGGTTAAAATCACTGTCCAAAACCTTTTTAGGAACATGTTTCAGACCTTTTGGAGTTAGTTAGACCAAAAAAAAATGAAAAATGAAAAAAAAATATTTGGGGTGTTCGGGCTTCCTGAAGGTAATACCCGGGTATTAGGTTATGGGGCTAGGGTAAGGTTTAAGGTTTTTGGCGTTAGGGTTAAAATCACTGTCCAAAACCTTTGTAGGAACTCTTTTCCAACCTTTTGGAGTTAGTTAGACCAAAAAAAAAAAAAAAAAAAAAAATATTTGGGGTGTTCGGGCTTCCTGAAGGTATTAGGTTTTGGGGCTAGGGTAAGGTTTAAGGTTTTTGGCGTTAGGGTTAAAATCACTGTCCAAAACCTTTTAGGAACATTTTCAACCTTTTGGAGTTAGTTAGACCAAAAAAAAAAAAAAAAAAAAATATATTTGGGGTGTTCGGGCTTCCTGAAGGTAATACCCTTCAGGTTTAAGTATTAGGTTATGGGGCTTGGGTAAGGTTTAAGGTTTTTGGCGTTAGGGTTAAAATCACTGTCCAAAACCTTTTTAGGAACATGTTTCAGACCTTTTGGAGTTGGTTACACTAAAAAAAATTGTACAATGAAAAAAAAATATTTGGGGTGTTCGGGCTTCCTGAAGGTAATACCCGGGTATTAGGTTATGGGGCTTGGGTAAGGTTTAAGGTTATTGGCGTGAGGGTTAAAATCACTGTCCGAAACCTTTTTAGGAACATGTTTCAGACCTTTTGGAGTTGGTTACACTAAAAAAAATTGTACAATGAAAAAAAAATATTTGGGGTGTTCGGGCTTCCTGAAGGTAATACCCGGGTATAAGGTTATGGGGCTATGGTAAGATTTAAGGTTTTTGGCGTTAGGGTTAAAATCACTGTCCAAAACCTTTGTAGGAACTCTTTTCCAACCTTTTGGAGTTAGTTAGACAAAAAGAAAATGAAAACTGAAAAAAAAATGTTTGGGGTTTTCGGGCTTCCTGAAGGTAATATCCGGGTATTAGGTCATGGGGCTATGGTAAGGTTTAAGGTTTTTGGCATTAGGGTTAAAATCACTGTCCAAAACCTTTGTAGGAACTCTTTTCCAACCTTTTGGAGTTAGTTAGACCAAAAAAAATGAAAAATGAAAAATATATATTAGGGGTTTTCGGGCTTCCTGAAGGTAATACCTGGGTATTAGGTTATGGGGCTATGGTAAGGTTTAAGGTTATTGGCGTTAGGGTTAAAATCAGTGTCCAAAACCTTTGTTGGAACTCTTTTCCAACCTTTTGGAGTTAGTTAGACCAAAAAAAAAAGAAAAATAAAACAAATATATTTGGGGTGTTTAGGCTTCCTGAAGGAAATACTCGGGTATTAGGGTATGGGGCTTGGGAAAGGTTTAAGGTTTTTGGCGTGAGGGTTAAAATCACTGTCCGAAACCTTTTTAGGAACATGTTTCAGACCTTTTGGAGTTGGTTACACTAAAAAAAATTGTACAATGAAAAAAAAATATTTGGGGTGTTCGGGCTTCCTGAAGGTAATACCCGGGTATAAGGTTATGGGGCTATGGTAAGATTTAAGGTTTTTGGCGTTAGGGTTAAAATCACTGTCCAAAACCTTTGTAGGAACTCTTTTCAAACCTTTTGGAGTTAGTTAGACAAAAAGAAAATGAAAACTGAAAAAAAACTGTTTGGGGTTTTCGGGCTTCCTGAAGGTAATATCCGGGTATTAGGTCATGGGGCTAGGGTAAGGTTTAAGGTTTTTGGCATAAGGGTTAAAATCAGTGTCCAAAACCTTTGTAGGAACTCTTTTCCAACCTTTTGGAGTTAGTTAGACCAAAAAAAATGAAAAATGAAAAAAAAATATTTAGGGTTTACGGGCTTCCTGAAGGTAATACCCGGGTATTAGGGTATGGGGCTAGGGTAAGGTTTAAGTTTTTTGGCGTTGGGGTTAAAATCACTGTCCAAAACCTTGTTAGGAACATGTTTCAGACCTTTTGGAGTTGGTTTCACCAAAAAAAAATGAAAGATGAAAAAAAAATATTTGGGGTGTTCAGGCTTCCTGAAGTTAATACCCGGGTATTAGGTTATGGGGCTTGGGTAAGGTTTAAGGTTTTTGGCGTGAGGGTTAAAATCACTGTCCGAAACCTTTTTAGGAACATGTTTCAGACCTTTTGGAGTTGGTTACACTAAAAAAAATTGTACAATGAAAAAAAAATATTTGGGGTGTTCGGGCTTCCTGAAGGTAATACCCGGGTATAAGGTTATGGGGCTTGGGTAAGGTTTAAGGTTTTTGGCGTGAGGGTTAAAATCACTGTCCGAAACCTTTTTAGGAACATGTTTCAGACCTTTTGGAGTTGGTTACACTAAAAAAAATTGTACAATGAAAAAAAAATATTTGGGGTGTTCGGGCTTCCTGAAGGTAATACCCGGGTATTAGGTCATGGGGCTATGGTAAGGTTTAAGGTTTTTTGGCATTAGGGTTAAAATCACTGTCCAAAACCTTTGTAGGAACTCTTTTCCAACCTTTTGGAGTTAGTTAGACCAAAAAAAATGAAAAATGAAAAAAATATATTTGGGGTTTTCGGGCTTCCTGAAGGTAATACCTGGGTATTAGGTTATGGGGCTATGGTAAGGTTTAAGGTTTTTGGCGTTAGGGTTAAAATCACTGTCCAAAAACCTTTGTAGGAACTCTTTTCCAACCTTTTGGAGTTAGTTAGACAAAAAGAAAATGAAAACTGAAAAAAAAATGTTTGGGGTGTTCGGGCTTCCTGAAGGTAATACCCGGGTATTAGGTCATGGGGCTATGGTAAGGTTTAAGGTTTTTTGGCATTAGGGTTAAAATCACTGTCCAAAACCTTTGTAGGAACTCTTTTCCAACCTTTTGGAGTTAGTTAGACCAAAAAAAATGAAAAATGAAAAAAATATATTTGGGGTTTTCGGGCTTCCTGAAGGTAATACCTGGGTATTAGGTTATGGGGCTATGGTAAGGTTTAAGGTTTTTGGCGTTAGGGTTAAAATCACACTCCAAAACCTATGTAGGAACTCTTTTCCAACCTTTTGGTGTTAGTTAGACTTAAAAAAAAAAATGAAAAATGAAAAAGAATATTTGGGGTGTTTGGGCTTCCTGAAGGTATTATTAGGTTATTAGGTTATGGGGCTAGGGTAAGGTTTAAGTTTTTTGGCGTAAGGGTTAAAATCAGTGTCCAAAACCTTTTTAGGAACTCTTTTCCAACCTTTTGGAGTTAGTTAGACAAAAAAAGAGAAAAAAAAAATATATATATATATTTGGGGTGTTTGGGCTTCCTGAAGGTATTATTAGGTTATTAGGTTATGGGGCTAGGGTAAGGTTTAAGTTTTTTGGCGTAAGGGTTAAAATCAGTGTCCAAAACCTTTTTAGGAACATGTTTCAGACCTTTTGGAGTTATTTAGATAAAAAAAAATGAAAAATGAAAAAAAATATTTGGGGTGTTCGGGCTTCCTGAAGGTAATACCTGGGTATTAGGTTATGGGGCTATGGTAAGGTTTAAGGTTTTTGGCGTTAGGGTTAAATATCCAATATTAAGTTTAAAAATTGCCACAAACTCAAGTTCAAACACGAAACAAACTCAATTTAAAAAACACCAAAAACTCAAGTTCAACAAATACCCAATTCTTAAATTTAACAATTTTCACAACCTCAAGTTAAAAAAAACCACAAACATAAGTTAAAACAAGACACAAACTAAAGTTCAACAAAACAAAAAACTCAAGTTCAACCAACACCTGATATTCAAGTTTGAAAATTTTCACAGCCTCAAGTTCAAACACGACACAAACTCAAGTTCAACCAACACCCAAATCTCAAGTTTAACAAATTCTACAACCTAAAGTTCAAAAACACCACAAACCCAAGTTCAACAACACCACAAACTCAAGTTCAAACACGACACGAACTCAAGTTCAAACACGACACAAACTCAAGTTCAACAAACACACTAACTGAAGTTCAACCAACACCTGATTCTCAAGTTTAACAATTTCCAAAACCTCAAGTTCAAAAACAACAGAAACAGTTCAAAAAAACCTCAACCTCAAGTTCAAAATCGACACAAACTCAAGTATAAAAACACATACTCAAGTTAAAAAAATAACACGAACTCAAGTTCAACCAACACCCAAATCTCAAGTTTAACCAACACCCAAATCTCAAGTTTAACAATTGCCACAACCTCAAGTTCAACAAACACACAAACTCAAATTCAAACACACCACAAACTCAAGTTAAAAACACGACACAAACTCAAGTAAAAAAAAACCATAAACTCAAGTTCAACCAATACCCAATTCTCAAGTTTAACAATTTCCACAACTTCAAGTTCAAAAACAACACAGACTCAAGTTCAAAAAAACCACAAACTCAAGTTCAAACACGACACAACCTCAAGTTCAACAAAAACCACAAACTAATGTTCAACCAACACATGATTCTCACGTTTAAAAATTTTCAGAACCTCAAGTTCAAAAAACACACAAATTCAAGTTAAACAAATAACAGGAATGCAAGTTCTGAAACGACACAAACTCAAGTTCTGAAACGACACAAACTCAAGTTCAACCAACACCCAAATCTCAAGTTTAACAATTGCCACAACCTCAAGTTCAACAAACACACAAACTCAAATTCAAACACACAACAAACTCAAGTTCAAACATGACACAAACTCAAGTTCAAAAACTCAAGTTCAGCCAATACCCAATTCTCAAGTTTAACAATTTCCAAAACCTCAAGTTCAAAAGCAACACAGACTCAAGTTCAAAAACACCACAAACTCAAGTTCAAACACGACACAAGCTCAAGTTCAACAAACCCCTCAAACTCAAGTTCAAACACGACACATGCTCAAGTTCAACAAATCCCACAAACTCAAGTTCAACAACTGCCACCAAGTAAAGTTCACTAAAAACCATAAACTCAAGTTCAACAATTGACAGAAAACTTAAGTTCAAAAAACACACAAAATCTAGTTCAAAAACACCACAAACTCAAGTTCAAACATGACAAAGTCAAGTTCAACCAACACTCAAATCTCAAATTAAACAATATCCAAAACCGCAAGTTCAAAAACAACAGAAACTCAAGTTCAAACACGCCACAAACTCAAGTTCAACAAATGTAAAAGTTTTAAGTTCAACCAAAACCCAAATCTCAAGTTTAACAATTTCAACAACCTCAAGTTCAAAAACAACAGAAACTCAAGTTCAAACACGAGACAAACTCAAGTTCAACAAACACACAATCCTCAAGTTCAACAATTGCCACAACCTAAAGTTCAAAAACACCCCCAACTCAAGTTCAAACAAGACACAAACTCAAGTACAACAAACGCCACAAACTCAAGTACAACAAACGCTACAAACTAAAGTTCAGTGAAAAATACAGACTCAAGTTCAACAATTGCCACAAACTCAAGTTCAACAAATGACCTAAACTCACATTTAACAATTGCCAAAAACTCAAGTTCAACAAACTCAAGTTTAAAAATTGCCACAAACTCAAGTTAAAAAATGCTGAAACTGAAGTTCAACGAACACCACAAACTCAAGATCAACAAATTTCAAAGTTTGAAGTTCAACAACACCCAAATATCAAGTTTAACAATTGCCACAACCTCAAGTTCAACAAACACACAAACTCAAGTTCAAAAACACCACAAACTCAAGTTCTTAACAACACAAACTCAAGTTCAAAAAACACACAAGTTCAAGTTCAAAAACACCCCAAACTGAAGTTCAAACATGAAACAAAGTCAAGTTCAACCAAATCCCAAATCTCAAGTTCAACAATTTCCACAACTTCAAGTTCAAAAACAACAGAAACTCAAGTTAAAACACGCCACAAACTCAAGTTCAACAAAGACACAAACTCAAGTTCAAAAACACCACAAACCCAAGTTCAACCAACACCCAAATCTCAAGTTTAACAATTGCCACAAAACTAAGTTAAAAAACCACACAAACTCAAGTTCAAAAACACCACAAACTCAAGTTCAAACATGACACAAACTCAAGTTCAACGAACACCCAAATCTCAAGTTCAACAATTGCCACAACCTCAAGTTCAAAAACAACAGAAACTCAAGTTAAAACACGCCACAAACTCAAGTTCAACAAAGACACAAACTCAAGTTCAAAAACACCACAAACCCAAGTTCAACCAACACCCAAATCTCAAGTTTAACAATTGCCACAAAACTAAGTTAAAAAACCACACATACTCAAGTTCAAAAACACCACAAACTCAAGTTCAAACATGACACAAACTCAAGTTCAACCAACACCCAAATCTCAAGTTTAACAATTGCCACAACCTCAAGTTCAAAAACAACAGAAACTCAAGTTCAAACACGAGACAAACTGAAGTTCAACAAACACACAAACTCAAGTTCAATCAATACCAATTCTCAAGTTTAACAATTTCCACAACCTCAAGTTCAACAAACTCAAGTTCAAAAATTGCAAAAAAATCAAGTTCAAATATGACACAAACTCAAGTTCAACCAACACCCAAATCTCAAGTTTAACATTTGCCAAAACCTCAAGTTCAAAAACAACACAAACTCAAGTTCAAACACGCCACAAACTCAAGTTCAACAAACACACAAACTCAAGTTCAAAAACACCACAAATTCAAGTTCAAACATGTCACAAACTCAAGTTCAACAAACACAGAAACTCAAGTCAACCAATACCCAAATATGAAGCTTAGCGTTAAGGGGTGTTCAGACCAAACGCGACTTCGGTGACGTCGGCGATGGCTCCCAATGCAAGTCTATGGACAGCCGCGACCTGACGCGACTTGGCGACTGCTGGCTACCTGCGTCGCGTTGCCGAGGTTGCGTTGCCGAGGTCGCAGGACGCCAAGTCTCGTCGCTCCCAAAGTTCAAATATTTGAACTGGGCTGCGGGATGTATATATGAGGGAGAAAAGGAGGGAGATGGAAGGTAGGAGAAGCGGGTCAGCAGCGACCAGCCGTGTCCTGCGACCGCAGCTTTGGACCTAGTGTGAACACACCAGAGCACCACGCGACGCGACGCGACCTGGTCGCGGCTGCAATTACACCTAATCCGCGGAGCCAAATCCTTGCAGGTACTGACATTAGTCTTGCTGTGCTCAGACTACAATGATAGACGCATTGTGGATTGCGGAGATGAGCCTGTGATGCTTAAATATCGTGATGCCCGGCTGTTTAAATCTCCGACCTTGGCTGAATTCATAGCTTTCGGCGTATTTGTAGATGTCATATGTAAAGTGTTTTCAGCACGCAGAACTGAACTGGACACATATCTCGCCATTATTTCTGATTCAGCCATGACATAGGGAGGATCACTATTCTAGGAACATTACAAATCATTTTCAGCAAAGCTGCTAAGTACATTCAAAGATTCAGCCAAAGACTTGATCAGTCCGTAGTCGACCTGGCTCTAATCAGTTAACAATTCACCGAGCATCAAGCTTTTTCCTGCTTAATCTGCGGGTCTTTCTCTCACCTGGAGGTGAAAGTAAGCCATTACGCAGCAGTACGCCATTTCGGGAAGACATAATCAGCTGTTTAAAGTTTTCACCCCTGTCATGTATCTAGGCTTAGTCTGTTGCTGCACATCAGTCTGCACTCTGCGTTATAACCGAAGTAATCCAATAGGACCATGCCGCTTGAGAGTGAGTGGTATTTGCTTACAAATAAACTCCAAGTGGGAGCACCAGTGCGCACTTTTGATTGGACGCTGGTTGCCTAGGTGCAGGGGCCCACCTTCCGCCTTTTGCGGAAGGAGGGAACTTTTAAAGAGTCAGCTGCTTCAATATTAATGCAGAAATAAGACAAAATGGAGAGGAAAATAATAATAATAATAATAATAATAATAATAATAATAATTTTATGTTTAAGAGAGAGATACAGCAGATGATGATACTGTGGCATCGGAGTCAGCAACTCGCTTAACCTGGGTGTGCTCCTCTTGTACAAAGTCTACGGGTACAGTACCTGGAGGAACCTTATCCTACCTTGTCCACCCCTGCCCACACCTCTAATCGGTGCCCTAAAACTGTGGCTACAGGCCAACCACCCAAGCCTCTCTAAGCCTACTACTCGGAGAAGCCAAGTTACTCCAGGGACGGGCATCTGAAATCAGCATGCCCATGACGCACCCACCTGGTAAAACGGGAAAGAACAAAGCTGTCTACTCTGTCAAATGTCCTTGAGCCGGGGAAGGCACTGGCAAAGCATCCCAACGGCTGTTCGTGAAGCCATTCATTCAGACTGTGTTAGTCTGAGTGCAGCCTTGCAATCCTTAGTGCTCTCTGTTGACAGCTACTTGAGAGCTGGTTAAGCAAAATCAGCATTAAAGTTTATACGATTCTGCATGGTCTCACTTTACCTCTTTTGTACCACCTTCTCTGTAGCCCCAACGCCCTAAATATATCCATTGTATGTGCTTTAATAGTCCACAGTTTTGAATCTCGCACTTTTTTTCTTCTTCTAATATTTCCAAAACTAACTCTGTCTTTGTTCTTTATCCTCCATGTCCCGCTGCCTGAGAGGCCGGCCACTGGCCAGCCACTAAGAGTCTCTCTTTGCCACTGAAGAAGGGAAACCTATATCCAGATTGCAGCTTTCTGCTCACCTCTGCCTGCTCTGCCAATCCTGTTGGCTCCTACCTGAGTACAACTCTACGCATTCACCACGCATAGGCACAGCTACAACTGCATCTTCCATCGTCCCCGTCTCGACGCTCAAGGCTACGGGTCAATGGTCCCGATCAGCCTTTGAATGATACCTCAGGCCCAAGGCTAATATATTATTATTATTAGAATATTCCTATGCTCGATTAGCTACAAAAAAAAAAAATGCTGCTGCTCCTTAATTCTTTCCCATATCTATTGCATTACGCATATTCCCAACTATAAATTTGTGTATGGATTAAATTAATCCTGATCCATGATCATGTTGTGAGGGTAACCAATACTATGCAAGCTTTGTAGGTGGGTAGGTTGCTTCATAGTTTCTCGCTGCTGGCTGCCCTCCCTCCCCCGTAGGTGCCTTCATGTAGCTCATGAAAGCTGGGGAGGGTTGCCAGTATGGCTGCTGCTTTTTCTGCCTTGGCTTTTCATATATGCACATGAAAGGGAGGGGAGGGCATTCCCTCTCATTGCCTTGGGATTCTATGCAAGCACATGAGAGAGCAGGGAACTCTCAGAACACAGCCATACCGACAATGTTAAAAAATATTTTGCTAGTAATAAATAATTGATTCTAACTAAAGTAGTCCTGACTGAAATTAAGCATGGCTGTAGTTCAGGCAGGACACAAGGTACAGTCAAGCTAAAGGTTAAAGCCAGCTGATCTTAAGCTAGCCCTCAGTCAGATGACAGCTTAGCTGATCGCCCTCCACACATCCTTCAGATCGCTACACGGCTCATTCCTTTCACATAGGTGCAGCTACAACCGCAGCTATGACGGCTCCTGTGTCGACCCTCAAAGCCATGGGCCAATAGTCGTCAGCTGCGTACAAATGCTATCTGCGCCCCGAGGCTCGGGACATTCTCGAAGCCCAAAAACTATGAGTACCCATAACTTTGGCACATAGATGCTAATTAAATGAAATATATAAACAACCTGCAGATAAATATCCATGCTTGGGCAACGGGTCTCTCTAACCTGTCTTTCTTTCAGCAGCGCTCACCTCCCCTGCTAGCTCCTAGACTGCACGGCATGGTTGTTTTGGGGGGTTCTGTTCATTGCTGCTCTACCCCTGCCTCCTCCGCCTTCATGATGGCACGTGGAGGGCGGGAAGGTGCTCTTCCTGCCGCTGGCCTTTCACCCCTGCCAACGTGGAGAACGGGGGCCCTGAACAGAACCTCGCGTGCGCTCCCTGCTATCGCCTTTCATGATGGCTCGTGAAAGGCAGGAAGGGGCTCTTCCTGCCTCGGGCTTCCACACAAGCGCGTGGAAGGGCAGGGACCCGGAACAGAATCATGCCGCCAAATCTAACTTGCACAATAAAGCTAAAAATTTGGACAAAGTGTACCTGACTGAAATGAAGCATAGCGTTAGTTCTGTCAGGACACAACGTCAAGCGCTGATCCACAGCCAATGGCTAGTAGCCACCTCAACCAGATGATAATCAGCTGATTCACACCTAGATCCTATTGGTTCTTTGCCTATAGAGTGCCTTATTTAAAACTGCACTAACCCAGCCTCTTCCTCTGCTCTGACAGCAAACCAGCAACACACTGCCACACCAGCTCCACCCTCGTGCCAGCTAATTGCTCCACTGTCCTTGAAGCGCTCCTGTTCCAGGGGGGTTTGTTCATTGCTGCTCTACCCCGCCACCTCCGCCTTCATGATGGCTCGAGGAGGGCGAGTTTAACAATTTCCACAACCTCAAGTTCAAAAAGAACACAAACTCAAGTTCAAACACGCCACGAACTCAAGTTCAACAAACAAACAAACTCAAACTCAAGTTCAAAAACACCACAAACTCAAGTTCAACCAACACCCAAATCTAAAGTTTAACAATTGCCGAAGCCTCAAGTAAGAAAAACAACAAAAATTCAGGTTAAAACATGCCACAAACTCAAGCTCAACACCGCCACAAACTCAAGTTAAAAAACACCACAAACCCAAGTTCAAACACGCCACGAACTCAAGTTCAACCAAATCCCAAATCTCAAGTTTGACAATTGCCACAACCTCAAGTTCAAAAACAACAGAAACTCAAGTCAAAACACGCCACAAACTCAAGTTAAACAAACACACAAACTCAAGTTCAAAAACACCACAAACTCAAGTTCAACCAACACCCAAATCTCAAGTTTAACAATTGCCACATACTTAAATTCAAAAAACACACAAAAATTCAAACTAAAGTTCAGGGAAAAATACAGACTCAAGTTCAACAATTGCCACAAACTCAAGTTCAACAAACACCACAATCTTAAGTTCAAAAAATGCCAAAATTTCAAATTCAACAAATGACCTAAACTCACATTTAACAATTGCCAAAAACTCAAGTTCAACAAACTCAAGTTCAAAAATTGCAACAACCTTAAGTTCAAAAAACACACAAATTCAAGTTCAAAAACACCACAAACTCAAGTTAAATGAACACCACAAAGTCAAGTTCAACAAATGTCAAAGTTTTAAGTTCAACCAACACCCAAATCTAAAGATTAACAATTGCCAAAACCTCAAGTTAAAAAACAACACAAACTCAAGTTCAAACACGCGACAAACTCAAGTTTAACAATTGCCACCAAATAAAGTTCACTAAAAACCAAAGACTCAAGTTCAAAACTCAAGTTCAAAAATTGCAACAAACTCAAGTTCAAACACAACACTCAAGTTCAAACACGACACAAACTCAAGTTCAAACACGACACAAACTCAAGTTCAAACACGACACAAACTCAAGTTCAAACACGACACAAACTCAAGTTCAACAAACACACGAACTCAAGTTCAACAATTGCCACCAACTAATGTTCAGAGAAAAATACAGACTCAATGTTAACAATTGCCACAAACTCAAGTTCAACAAACACCACAAGCTTAAGTTCAAAAAATGCCAAAATTTAAAATTCAACAAATAACCTATATTAACATTAAAGAATTGCCAAAAACTTTAGTTCAACAAACTCAGGTTCAAAAAACACACAAATTCAAGTTCAAAAACACCACAAACTCAAGTTCAAAAATGCCGAAACTTAATTTCAACCAACACCCAAATCTCAAGTTTAACAAATTGCCACAACCTCATGTTCAAAAACAACAGAAACTCAAATTCAAAAACACCAAAAACTCAAGTTAAAAAAAACCCACACAAATTCAAGATCACAAAACAGCAAAATCTCAAGTTCAAACACGACACAAACTCAGGTTCAACAAACACACAAACTCAAGTTTAACCAATACCCAATTCTCACGTTTAACAATTTCCACAACCTCAAGTTCAAACACGACACAAACTCAAGTTCAAACACGACACAAACTCAAGTTCAAACACGACACAAACTCAAGTTCAAACAACACCCAAATATCAAGTTTAACATCTGCCAAAACCTCAAGTTCAAAAACACCACAAACTGAAGTTCCAAACGACAAAAACTTAAGTTCAACAAACCCCAAAAACTCAGGTTCAAAAATACCACAAACTCAAGTTCTAAATGACAAAAACTCAAGTTCAACAAACACACGAACTCAAGTTCAACCAATGCCCACTTCGCAAGTTTAACAATTTCCACAACCTCAAGTTTAAAAAAAAAACAAAAACTCAAGTTCAGACACACCACAAACTCAAGTTAGAAAAACACACAGACTCAAGTTAAAAAATAACCAGAAAATCTAGTTCAAACACTTCACAAACTCAAGTTCAAAAACACCACAAACTCAAGTTCAACCAACACCTAAGTCACAAGTTTAACAATTGCCACAAACTTCAGTTCAAAAAACACAAAAGCTCAAGATCAAAAACACCACAAACTCAAGTTCAAACACGATTCACAAACTCAAGTTCAACCAAATCCCAAATCTCAAGTTTAACAATTTCCACAACCTCAAGTTCAAAACCAACAGAAACTCAAGTTCAAACACGCCACAAACTCAAGTACAGAAAAACACCACAAACTCAAGTTCAACAATTGCCACCAAGTAAAGTTCAGAGAAAAATACAGACTCAAGGTTAACAATTGCCACATACTCAAGTTCATCAAACACCACAAGCTTAAGTTCAAAAAATGACAAAATTTCAAATTCAACAAATGACCTATATTCACATTAAACAATTGCCAAAAACTCAAGTTCAACAAACTCAAGTTAAAAAAGTGCCACAAAATGAAGTTCAAAAACACCACAAACTCAAATTCAAAAAACACACAAACTCAAGTTCAAAAACACCACAAACTCAATTTCAAACACGATACAAACTCAAGTTCAACAAACACCACAAACTCAAGTTCAACAAATGTCACAGTTTCAAGTTCAACCAACACCCGATTCTGAGGTTTAACAATTTCCACAACCTCAAGTTCAAAAAACACCACAAACTCAAGTTCAAACACGCCACAAACTCAAGTTCAACAAACGCCACAAACTCAACTTCAAAAACACCACACAAACTGAAGTTCTAAAACGACACAAACTCAAGTTCAACAAACACAACAAGTCAAGTTCAAGCATCACCCGATTCTCAAGTTTAACAATTTCCACAACCTCAAGTTCAAAAAACACACAAACTCAAGTTCAAAAACACCAGAACCTCAAGTTCAAAAAACATAATAAACTCAAGTTCAAATATTCCACAAACTCAAGTTCAATGAACACCACAAACTCAAGTTCAACCAACACCCGATTCTCAAGTTTAACAATTGCCACAACCTCAAGTTGAAAAAAACACAAACTCAAGTTCAAACACTTCACAAACTCAAGTTCAACAAACGCCACAAACTCAAGTTCAACAATTGCCACCAACTAAAGTTCACTAAAAACCAGACTCAAGTTCAACAATTCCCAAAAAATCAAGCGAAACAAACTCAAGTTCATAAGTTGTCACAAACTTCAAACACGACACAAACTCAAGTTCAAAAACACCACAAACTCAAGTTCAAAAAGACACAAACTCAAGTTCAACAAACAAAACTAACTATTTAGAGTAATTTTGAGGTGTTTTTTGTAGACTTACCCTAGTGGTCCTATGTTGTTGTTGATGTGAGGCGTTTCTTTTCCAGTAGTCTAAAATCTGTTGGAGGGGGGAAAAGGTTCCAGCTGTCCAGCCGCGGCGGCAGCGGTGTGTCTGAAGTCCGGGGTCCTCGGCGGGGGAAAGAAGATAGGCGCTCCGCGGCAAGGTTTGCTGGGACTCGGTGCCGTCGGCGGGTCGAAGCTCGGTGGTGGGCGGCTTGGAGTGATGGAGGTGCGGCGTCTTCTTTCAGGTGGCGGCGCGGCGTCTTCCTCGAGGCGGTGGTCGGTCTTCTTGGTCCAGTGGTCAGTGCTTTGTCTCAATTACAGGAACAGGAATTGCTCTTTAGTGCACAGCACTTAAATGTGCTTTTGACAGGAGAAGACATCCCCAGAGTTGGGCTCGAGTCATGGTTCGTGCTGTTCCTCTCAGACATGGTTGTGTTCTCTTCTCGATGTTTGTATTCCAGAATGGATGTCTCTTGGTTGTATTTTAAACTTTCAAGTTGTTTTAAGTTAATTTTAATGTAGTTTATTTATTTTAAATTTAGTTTTGCTACATTAAATTTGTATGCAATCGTAAGGGATTGTGGGTATTTTAGTTCTGAGGGATGAGAGCCTAAGGAATCAATCTTCCTGTTACAGCAAAGGATTGTGGGTAAAACCGTGAGTGAGTGAGGTACTTCCTTTCTGCCATGAGAGCCTTGGGAATCAATCTCCCTGTTGCAGCAAAGGATTGTGGGTAAAACCGTGAGTGAGGGAGGTACATTTTTCCTGGCATGAGAACCTCAGGAGTCAGTCCTTCCTAAGAAAAAAGAGGGGAGGGGGAAGACAAACAAAAGCACAGGAACCCTAAAATGAAATAAAATAAAATAAAATGAAATAATATAAAACAATGAAAAAATAAAAAATAAAAGAAGAACAAAAGTGGATTGCAAAAGGGAAAGGAGAAGAAAAAAGGAAAAAAAGAAGTGTCAAGAGCAAATAGCAAAAAACGGAAGTGAGCTTAAAAACAGAGAACAGTTCCCTAAAAGACAGACAGAAATGTAAATTTGATCAATGTCCTAAGGGAAAATTTGCACGTGTATGTGTGTTCTTTTTTACTAGCTTAGTCTGGTGTCACTGATGGTCAGTTATCAATAAGTATTTATTATTTAAATTTTTGATGAAGTTGTTTGTAGTGGGGTTAGCGGCTAATTTTAGAGTGTTAAAAAAGATGTTAGAGGGGGAGGATTTAGGTGGCACGGCGGTTCCCCTTCAGGTCTCTCTTAATCTTCAATATAGGTGACCCAACAGGGGTTACCCCCGGCCGGGGTAGGCCGAGGCTGAAGATCACCTATTTGTCATCTGTGAAGGTGAAAATAAAGGGGCAGGGGAGGGAATAAGAAAGAGGGGGGTGTTAGAGAGAGGGGGAGAGATGAGGGAGAGAGATGAGGGAGAGAGAGAGAGACAGAGAGGGGGGGGGGGGGAGAGAGAGAGAGAGAGAGAGAGAGGGAAGAGGGAGAGGGGGGTTTAAGGGAGAGGTGGAGATGGTGGAAAATAAAGATTGGTGAGGGGGATTTGGTGGCGGATGAAACATCCCATAGCTCCCCAGCTCTCACCATCCATGTGAGGAGAGTGAGCAAGGGACATAGTCACCCGACCCGACTAGGTCTAGGCTCTGCTCTCCTCACGGTCCTCACAAGATACAAAGAGATATGTAAACGTGGAAGTGAGAGTTCTCTAGGCAGAGTTTTGGGTTTGGTTTGAGCTGAGTTGGTCAGTTGATTATTGATTACTATTTTAAGTTCTAAAAGTGGATAGAGTCAAAAAGTCACAGAGGATTGTGGTGGGAGCAGGTGGTCCATCTGGCACCATTCTGCTCATGCAGGGATTCGAGTGATAGAAAGAGAATAGATCTTGCCACCGTGACTCGCCATTGAGACTCTCCTCACCTGCTGGTTTTCATCCTCTGATAGGAGAGAGAGGTACAGATCAGGAGAGAGGGAGAAAAGGAGGGAGGCAGGGTGGGGTCAGGAGTTAATTTGTCTTGAAAAGTATTTATCTTTTCGTCATTGCTGTTAGGGTTTAGATGTTTTTTGTTTAGTTTTCTGAGGAATGTAGTGTTAGTATAGGTTCCAAGGTGGAGGATTCTTTGGAATTCACTCTCACCCTTGAAACTGGAAGATCTTAGACTCTATAAAGGGGGGGGGGGGGGGTTTGTGTGCACAGAAGGAGCATGGGCTCAGACTATTCTCGGAATGATATTGTGACAAGTCTGTCCGAAGGTAAGTGGCTGGTTAGGTGTGGGAAAGAGATAGAGTGATAGCCCCCGCTTTCGTCAGTTGACTTGGCGGTTTGAGGTAGGCTGATCAAGGACTTGCACTGGCCGGCGCATGTCGACCTGTCACATGTTCCAGTCGAGTCTCCGAGCTCAATCTGTGTGTAAAAATTATGTGTTGGTAGAAAGTTTAATGACTCAGCTCAGTTGGTATGCTATGCTGTCTATCTTTTAGACTATGTGTTTGTTGAGCAATTTTATGTATATATTATGTTACAGGGCTAGGAAAAGGTTAAAGGTTTTTGACGTTAGGGTTAAAATCACTGTCCAAAACCTTTGTAGGAACTCTTTTCCAACCTTTTGGAGGGAGCTAGACCAGAAAAAAAAGAAAAAAGAAAAAAAAAAATTGGGGTGTTCGGGCTTCCTGAAGGTAATACCCGGTATTAGGTTTTGGGGCTAGGGTAACTTTTAAGGTTTTTGGCGATATGGTTAAAATCACTGTCCAAAACCTTTGTAGGAAGTCTTTTCCAACCTTTTGGAGTTAGTTAGACAAAAAAAAAAAGATAAATGAAAAAAAAATATTTGGGGTGTTCGGGCTTCCTGAAGGTAATACCCGGGTATTAGGTTATGGGGCTAGGGTAAGGTTTAAGGCTTTTGGCGTATGGGTTAAAATCACTGTCCAAAACCTTTTTAGGAACATGTTTCAGACCTTTTGGAGTTAGTTAGTCCAAAAAAAAAGATAAATGAAAAAAATATATTTGGGGTGTTCGGGCTTCCTGAAGGTAATACCCGGGTATTAGGTTAGGGGCTAAGGTAAGGTTTAAGGTTTTTGGCGTGAGGGTTAAAATCACTGTCCAAAACCTTTGTAGGAACTCTTTACCATCCTTTTGGAGTTAGTTAGACCAAAAAAAAAAACGAAAAATGAAAAAAATATATTTGGGGTGTTCGGGCTTCCTGAAGGTAATACCCGGGTATTAGGTTAGGGGCTAAGGTAAGGTTTAAGGTTTTTGGCGCGAGGGTTAAAATCACTGTCCAAAACCTTTGTAGGAACTCTTTTCCAACCTTTTGGAGTTAGTTAGACCAAAAAAAATAAAAAAAAAATATTTGGGGTGTTCGGGCTTCCTGAAGGTAATACCCGGTATTAGGTTTTGGGGCTAGGGTAACTTGTAAGGTTTTTGGCGATAGGGTTAAAATCACTGTCCAAAACCTTTGTAGGAACTCTTTACCATCCTTTTGGAGTTAGTTAGACCAAAAAAAAAAACGAAAAATGAAAAAAATATATTTGGGGTGTTCGGGCTTCCTGAAGGTAATACCCGGGTATTAGGTTAGGGGCTAAGGTAAGGTTTAAGGTTTTTGGCGCGAGGGTTAAAATCACTGTCCAAAACCTTTGTAGGAACTCTTTTCCAACCTTTTGGAGTTAGTTAGACCACAAAAAATAAAAAAAAAATATTTGGGGTGTTCGGGCTTCCTGAAGGTAATACCCGGTATTAGGTTTTGGGGCTAGGGTAACTTTTAAGGTTTTTGGCGATATGGTTAAAATCACTGTCCAAAACCTTTGTAGGAAGTCTTTTCCAACCTTTTGGAGTTAGTTAGACAAAAAAAAAAAGATAAATGAAAAAAAAATATTTGGGGTGTTCGGGCTTCCTGAAGGTAATACCCGGGTATTAGGTTATGGGGCTAGGGTAAGGTTTAAGGCTTTTGGCGTATGGGTTAAAATCACTGTCCAAAACCTTTTTAGGAACATGTTTCAGACCTTTTGGAGTTAGTTAGTCCAAAAAAAAGATAAATGAAAAAAATATATTTGGGGTGTTCGGGCTTCCTGAAGGTAATACCCGGGTATTAGGTTAGGGGCTAAGGTAAGGTTTAAGGTTTTTGGCGTGAGGGTTAAAATCACTGTCCAAAACCTTTGTAGGAACTCTTTACCATCCTTTTGGAGTTAGTTAGACCAAAAAAAAAAACGAAAAATGAAAAAAAATATATTTGGGGTGTTCGGGCTTCCTGAAGGTAATACCCGGGTATTAGGTTAGGGGCTAAGGTAAGGTTTAAGGTTTTTGGCGCGAGGGTTAAAATGACTGTCCAAAACCTTTGTAGGAACTCTTTTCCAACCTTTTGGAGTTAGTTAGACCACAAAAAATTAAAAAAAAATATTTGGGGTGTTCGGGCTTCCTGAAGGTAATACCCGGTATTAGGTTTTGGGGCTAGGGTAAGGTTTAAGGTTTTTGGCGATAGGGTTAAAATCACTGTCCAAAACCTTTGTAGGAACTCTTTTCTGACCTTTTGGAGTTAGTTAGACAAAAAAAAAAAGATAAATGAAAAAAAAATATTTGGGGTGTTCGGGCTTCCTGAAGGTAATACCCGAACATTAGGTTATGGGGCTAGGGTAAGGTTTAAGGTTTTTGGCGTAAGGGTTAAAATCACTGTCCAAAACCTTTTTAGGGAACATGTTTCAGACCTTTTGGAGATGGTTACACCAAAAAAAATGTAAAATGAAAAAAAATATATTTGGGGTGTTTGGGCTTCCTGA